CATCTCGGGGGAAGGATCTGCCAGAATCATGCAATTTCTATGTTAGACTCTGTAACCCGGATACGTCAAGGGCAATCGACTGACCATTTATTCAGTTAAACTACTTCAAGGGAGATAATTGCCGATGGGCATGTCATTCACGGATGCGGAAAGTGGTTTCTCAATATTAGTTCTACCTCCGCGCCGACTCGGGGCATGAGAGTAGTCAGTGAAGGCTAGTCGAATCAATAGAAAATGACGCCCTGGTATCACGCAGAAATTATCAGGATGGTTCGTCTCACTTTTGAGGTGTTCCATGATATGATCATGGTGGAGAGATGCTTCACAGTCCCGACTGTGTTGCCTCTGATAATGACCAATTTAAAGATAATATTCACCTCTCGTATATACACCATCGACATACAGTTATCCCCCTTTGTCTAAAGACCACTGTTCCTTCTGTGATGTCACATCAGGACTGGAATCGAGGCTGACGAGCGAATGTGCCTCTTGCCAATATGCCTGCCAAATGACACGTGACCGACTCCCTAGGCATCACGACGCCCTTTCGCAGTACTAATTAATGGTAAAGATTTGAGTAAATATTTACAGGTGAAGGGCAGAATCTATTAACCAGTATCGAACTATTCAATTTGCGGGTCAGGTCAAAGCAGATGTGAAAGATGTGTTATTTGATGTACAGATCCACACCAAACCTCACCTAGCAAGTTATTCAAACTGTGTAATGTATGGGCAGGTAACTGCCGGATTACATACTGTGACTTCTACAATGGACATTGATTACACGGCCCAGGTCGGATCTAGAAATGACCACTATCTCACTGAGATTGGCTCCTCTTTAAGTTATCATCTTCGTTCATATGGTTCCTTAACACTGTAGTCTGACTGACTGACTGAGTATGGTTTTACGCCGCTTTTAGCAGTATTCCAGCAACATCACGGCGGGGGACACCAGAAATGAGCTTCACAAATTGTACCCATGTGGGGATTCGAACCCGGAACACTGTAGTGTGAAGCCCATTTCTGGTGTCCCCGCCGTGATATTGCTGGAATACTGCTAAAAGCGGCGTAAAACTAAACTCACTCACTCACTCACTTAACACTGTAAACTGCATCTCGTCTTGCGCCTTCATTCGAATAACTCTAATTTGTACCGATATGTACAACTCGCCAGATGTAACAGACCGGATCAGGAACAATAATATATCTTTGCAAGGTCCAACTGAGTCACCCAAAAAACACTCTAGTCATTCAACTGATCTAGCAATAACAGGATTACCGTTAACCCATTCCTCAAGTCATGCCTCCTACCCTCTGATATGATTATGTTACCCCAGAAAAAAATCAAGGCATACAACTGAGAGGGTTAACATTCAATGTCTGAAAATATCGTTAGCTGGAATTGTATACGAACTTTCTGGTGTCCCCGCCGTGATATTGCTGGAATACTGCTAAAATGTCTGAAAATATCGTTAGCTGGAATTGTATACGAACTTCAATATGCTTTGGATTTGTTCAATATTTGAAAAAAATAATATGTATGTTTTATTTCATACACTTATAATTATTTTGACATTTAGAAATATTTAAGCATCGTTTTCTCATAAACCAGAGAGAGTAAACAGTGGTGGAATATACTCATAGAAACGAAAAAGGGAACACATGAAAGTCTTAGTGTTCCTTTATGTATTTCCAGAATTTCACTCTCAGTGCAATGTATACCTTGTGAAGAAACCTGGAAAAGAATAAAGGAACACTTGTACTTTATGAGTATATTTTATGCTGTCGTCTACAATCTTATTCAGATAAGAACTAATTGGGGTTTTTCAAAATTAAAGAACCATTTCAACACATTTTCATAAATAGTTTTCTCGGAAGCCAGAAAACAAATTGAGCTGATAATATTTCAAAGATACTGACTAACTGAGAAGCCGTCCCTGTTTCTACTTTCATCAACGGCCAACTTTGGCCATTCCGGAAGCAGCGTAATACTTCATACTTTCTGAATATTCCTTTGAGGTAACACTTCCATTTCTCGGTGTATATTGGCAGTTAAAACAGACACACGACACTTCTTCGAACGGGTTTCCCAGTGGCTATAGCGTCATCTCGTCACGCAGAAGGCCCGGGGTTGATTCGTCACATGGGTGTATAGTGTGAAGCCAATTTCTGTGTCCCCTGTCCTCATATAGGGCCCGTATGTAGGTCACGACACTCCAGGTGACAAACAACGTATACTTGGTCCGGTCTAGTAAAGTTATAGTTGGCGGTCGCGCAATTTGGAACCAGAACTGGTTCTTGAATATACGCTTGTCATCGGAAATCTGGTAACAGAAGTAGGCTGGGCCCCGTCTCGCATATCGCAAGTTGGCGCGCGCAATGATAGCCGGGAACCATCTTAGTATCGGAAGTAGCGCCTCGCGAGACTTACAGGCCGTATTGCGGCATTATTGCTAAGAGCGACTTAAAGTGTATTCATTCATTGGCAGATGAACACTTCATTTTCCCCAACTTACACCGCGTCTTGGTGTTTTGTAACCTAAACCCGAGGCCGTGTTTGGCCACGTCACCTCGTAACATGCGGATCTTTAGACTGTGACATCGCACTAACATTAACTTACTTCATCGGCGGCTACATGAACAATGGTCGAGTTAATCCAAGAGAACGACAGCGACAGTTTGAACAGTGCGATGACGTTTGTAGGTGGTCCACCACCGCGTCTTGACGGTACGTCAACCAATATGGCGTCATCCTTCTCTGTTGTTTCACCAACACCCGTCAGATGTGACTGCTAATATTCCATGTTATTATGCATTGTCTTCTTCAAAACATTTGGTTGTTTCCTCCACTAAGGATAATATTGATCAGGAAGTTACAACCAAGAGCTTAGTGGGACTAAAATCGACCAATGCTGAGTAATCGTTCGTTTATTTTACAAATATTCTTTCTATACCCAAGTGAGAGAGGAAGTGTTTTTGAATAAGCACCTGCCACCGAGAACGGAAGTGCAATAGACAAGAGTCCCCATGCGGGCCAGCGTGCAGCATGAGGTATGTGTTTGTCAGTGGCTCGTGAATGCTCGGCAATCTCAGTATATTCTTAGTGTTTATCATTCAAACCTTGTATCGTCCTACAAGTTTGACCCAAAAACAACAACGCAATCCTACTTATATTTGAACCCACTTTTTTCGAAACATAACCCCTCACACGCGAATGCTTAAAAATACGCTCTTTTTATAAACCGTGCCTCGCGATGAAAACTAGTTGTATAGAATTAAATAATTTTATGCATGTATGCAGTAATGGTACGGCCATCGACAGCTACCTAAACTGTCATTTTTAGCATTTTTGCTGAGTCTGACTAACCGTTAACCATGAACCTGTCGGGGTTTCTTGTGTTTACAGATGGTTCTGTTCCATGACGGAAACATACCAGTAATGTTTCCAATCAAATGTTTAGAGAGAACAAATTAATTTCTATGCGTACAAGTTTAATGGTTCCATGTACACAGTTTGGCTGTATTTCAAACTAACGAAATAAATTCAGGAACCACGGATACAGTATTGAAACATGTTACAAAGCTTGTTGGTTTTCCTGCCTCTCTATCTTCTGCTGTTTGCGGACATCCCATGCTCCCGTCCGTCTCTAACAGACTTAAGTTCAGTACATGTCATGTAGGATGCGGTCGCCGGTGTGGTCCTATTGCAGCAAATCAGTTAACCTGTATTGATCTGGAAGGCATACTTCCACGAAAAGATGGCAAAGCACTTAATTTGCATCCAGCAATGAGCGCAATTGATTCTAGATGAAAAACATATCCGTGTTCCATTGGCAGCACAGAGAATCAGAAATCCGAATGAGCCTGAAACAGACCGGAATGCCACTAACACCATTGCAAGCCGCTGATTAGGTCTGTTATTATCACCGTGTTTCTGTTCAGTATTTTGTCAAATCGTTACCTTGTATTAAGGCCAGAGTGCATGCTTAAATTGATTTCCTAAACAACTAAACCGTACCTTAGTTACTCAGTAAGACAAGACGCTTCTAACAGGCCAAATCACATTTATTCTGTTGATTCGGAAATTCCAACAGTAATGTTTTCGCTGTTGCTTTGACAGAACAAGTGTAATTAAGAGGCGGGTAACATAGACATACACTGACATACAGTTTTCCCATGAATCTTCAATAGCTCAGCTGTAACACTTAAACAAACCGCATCGAACATGCACTTGAGTGTTTTCGCGTCTAGACATCTTGAGCATGTCTCTGAAGTGTGGTCGGTGGTTCTCAAGTTCACAACACATGATTATAGGGGCCGGCGGGGTAGTCTAATGGTTAAAGCGTCCGCTCGTCACGCCGAAGACCCTGGTTCGATTCCCCACATGGGTAAACTATGTGAAGCCCATTTCTGGTGTCCCCCGCTGTGATATTGCTGGAATATTGCTAAAAGCGGTGTAAAACCAAACACACTCACTCATGATTATAGGCCGGTTAAGTGAAAACCCACACAGGACTTTTTCATATAACTGCTTGCCGAGACTAGAGCGGGGTTATTTCATACACATGCTTACACTCCTTCATAGGTCCGGGTCTGCATTTGTTGGGTGACTACGGTAATGATATATTTCTATATTATGTTCCTAATTATTGTCCGGTCTTCATCATGCCCTTGATGTCACCAGTGAACAGCCGGGGTCAAGGCATTCCGGCTTTGATCCGTGTTTGACTTTAATTTCACGTGAAGCATATTCTTGGAAGAGACGTTCCTATAGAAAGCTGAAGATAGGAACAATAATATGAACATCTACGCCTACACGCAAGAGAGTAGGCGGTGCGTTTAAGGGTCTAGAATGTGTGTTCAAGACTGAGACTGTGTGTTGCTGGGCGGTGGGGTAGCCTAGTGGTTAAAGCGTCCGCTCGTCACGCTGAAGACCCGGGTGCGATTCCCCACATGGGTACAATGTGTGAAGCCCATTTCTGGTGTCCCCCGGCGTGATATTGCTGGAATATTGCTAAAAGCTGCGTAAAACTAAACTCACTCACTCACTGTGTGTTTCATTTGGATATTTTTAACCAACCTGTGTGACACAAGTCCGCTGTGTTATCGCTGCGTCGATAGCAGGGTGTGGTGATTATGTAGTTAGTAATGCTCATTAGCTGTGCATTTCATTCCATCATGTTTGATGCACACAACATGGCCGCTGTCGTCTTCAAAGAGGTCCCATGTAGCCCGCAGGTCTGGCTGGAGAGGGACACTTGTGATGAGCGTTTGTTCTGTATCTGACAAGCTGACAAAATTCCAATCATGTTACTCTTTCATCTTGAAATTACACAGCCGTTCGAAACAATCTAATGACATCGTCATTTTCTGGCAATAGAACATAGTTAGATCTCGTCCCGAGAAAAGTAATGGTGTCAGTGACAAGGCGTGCGTCTTTTGAAAAGTTCTCCACATTTTATCGGTTATTAGTTTCATCAGCTAAGAAAGTGACAGGGTCATGTTAAAACCAGAAATCACAAACTAATTGAGGAATTGTAGAACTAAGTGCATTGTTCGTGAAGTACTCTCCTCCCAGCGTCCAAAGTAATATAATATAATTCAGTGACACAATTAACAGACTTAGCAAATATTTATTGAATGGCATGATTGTTGAAGGACATGCAACTACAAATTTTAAATATTGATTGTGGAGGTTGGAAATCAGTGGTTGTAGTGTGCTTTAGCTTCGCGTGCTATGCATCTTTTTGACTCCCACTTTTAACTCGGCTTTTTCAAATCCATTCCCAGTTCGTTTTTATGAGAGATTTTATCAGTTAGAACTTTGTATCTTTGCCGAACACAATCACGAAGTCAGATCGAAAACGACCACGTCGGAACGTTGTGTTCAGTCAATCTGACCTGTTGCTATTCGTATCGCCATCTCTGCTACATCCCTGAGATTACTTGGCTGATGAATGCAACGAACATTAAATAGGAAAAGAGCGGTACTTGGCATATAAATGAAGCTGTAAGCGTCCTTGGTGACTAAAGGTTTCCATGCTAACACCCTCTTGATCGAATACAGCTCAATATCACCCGACCTTTGCGACAAATAATCGTCTGCGTGTGGATGCTTCTTACCGGAACGATCGAAAACCGGTTGCATAAAATGGTGTAATTCTCGATAATCTAGTCAAGGAGATTTGTTTGAATTCAGCTGTATTGCTAATAAGGAATTGTGTATTCTGTGCGGTATTCTCTTGATACTGTGGTTAATTGAACATCTTCAACCAGCAAGCAGAGCGAGAAACCAGTCCGACGAACCGTACCCAGAACACCACAGCTATGAGAATTGTATGAGTGAGACTTTCTCAAACTAGCGGCTGAAAGGCTTGGCTACATGGATGTCGTAAAGCTGTTGCCGACTATGACTACCTCGAACAATATATTTATCAAAAGGAAAGCATGACGATACATTTATGACAAGTATTTGAAACAAAAGTAAGTCGCAATGCGCGTTAGAGAACTCAGTAATGAACCGTTTGTCGGATGACCCAAGTCAGACGTGCAGATGGGGGTCGCGAAAGGCGCAGCAAGCACCATTTACATTACACTGATTACTACACGTCAAACTTGTTTACTCGCCAAATCATACCAAGCTTTCGAAAAAGTGTTGTGTTATGGAATAGTTTAGAAGTACCCTGTAATGTGTTTCAAAACAAGTGCATTGATGGTCTGCCCACACTCGAATTGATAAGAACTTATACCTCCCGCCTACCTCATAAAGTGACCTCGATGTTACATTTATGGTATTTTTGTAATGAAAACATGAAGGTTACATTCATGTTGGGAGCCTTAAAAAGATCGATATCAGATAAAAAAAAATTTTAAAAATCGTAAGTGTGACAGTTCTGAGACATATCATAACACAATGCTTGAAAACCTCATTTTAAGAATGTTGATATTTTCAGAAAAGAAAAATTGTTTTAATCGCATATTACATGAAGCTGATTGACTCCACCATGCCAGTCTTATTATTTGACACAATCCATCCTATCTATCTATCTATCTATTATATAACATTTTATTGAACTGTACAACTTGCCACCTAGGCTCGGCCCCAAAACTTAAGTAACTCCTTTGTTATCTTGCAAGAAACGTTTGAGATACTTTTTACACATGCAACAACCTCGGCTGTTATTGGCATTCAAATAATGAAAACTTAATGGGAACTTGAAGGTACACAAGGCATCACGATGAACAAAAGCAAGACCCTCGGTGAAGGTGCTGTGATGCGGCAACTAGAGAGCTTTATCAAAGTCCCCGATGTGTGCTTGCAGCTCTTTACTTTACATACTATGTTCCGCTCTAGAGCAGACGACACCTGCAATGTTTTAACAGCAGTGTGACAGCTACCATGAACTTGACATGTGTGCATGGGTGCCTTCACAATCGATTCCAATATCTGGTTGCCAACGACAACGATGTGCTTCACCATGTCCCAGAAGCAATTGTTGAACTGTCATTATCAGAAGGACAATAAAAATCTCAAAAGCAGCCATCATTATTTTATGTCAGAAGTTGAATTGATTGTTGTTTCTTATCAAAGAGAATAGTTAATAGGAAAACATGCATATACAACCAAACTGCACACAGCTTGGGAGAAGAGACAAGGAAGGTCCTTCCTGCAAGAGCACTGGATGGAATAGTAGAAACCAGCCAGCTTCATATTGTGATATACGTCTGTGCTCATTAGACTAATATTAATGATACAATGCTTTCCATATCAGAGTAGTGTGATGCTCTTTTAAATCTTCTTAGGAGCAGACCCGTGAAGATCCGGGGTAGAATAGGTCTTCAGCAACCCATGTGCTTGCCATAAAAAGGCGACTATCTTGTCGTAAGAGGCGACTAACGGGATCGGGTGGTCAGTTTCGCTGACTTGGTTGACACATGTCATCGGTTCCCAATTGCGCAGATCGATGCTCATGCTGTTGATCACTGGATTGTCTGGTCCAGACTCGATTATTTACAGACCGCCGCCATATAGCTGGAATATTGCTGAGTGCGGCGTAAAACTAAACTCACTCACTCACTCTTAGGAGCATGCTCTATTAGACAAAGCCATCTTAAATAGGATTGTATCTCCCGTACTTAAACATGAGCTCATGACCTCGGTTGAGGTAAGATGGCTCTGTAGACTGAAGCAGTGCCTAACTCAAGGAGACAGGAAAAAGTTATAAGACATCTGTCTTGAATATAATTTACCCATTCTTCCAGATCTTTGGAAACTTCATTTTCACACACGATATACCTTAATGGTTTAGTTACCAATAAAATTAATGTTCAAATGGAGGTTATTTCAGATAAATATTACATTTGTGTAAGGCTAATTCAACATGCATGCCCCTGCAAATATCTCCACATTAAGGAACCAGTGTACATTCAGTTTGTCTTCTCAACTCCATGGGGAGTATATGGATAAAGGAGAGCATTTTGTTTGAAACCAGAAACTGCACATTGTGAAAGTATGCTCACATTTTCTGTCATTATTATTATGTATGTTTATCATCAGGTCTGTTTCAATTGCCAGACCATCTGACCCCTGAAGATCCGTGTAAGAATTGATCTTCAGTAACCCATGTTTGTCTCACTTATGAAGATCCGGGTTAGAATTGATCTTCAGTAACCCATGCTTGTCGTAAGGGGCGACTAACAGGATCAGGTGGTCAGGCTCGCTGACTTGGTTGACATGTCATCGGTTCCCAATTGTGTAGATCGATGCTCGTGCTGTTGATCACGGGATTGTCTGGTCCAGACCGCCGCCATATAGATGGAATATTGCTGAGTGTGGCGTAAAAATAAACTCACTCATTGCAGACTATCTTGTTGACTGTTCAGGTATCACTGCAATTAACAAGTAAGAATTACATCTTTTTAATGTAGCAGAATCCTTTGACCAGCCTGGTTGGCTGATTATTATCCATAAATCGTCAGCATATGTGGGTTTCTCCAAATTGACAATCTACTGTGGCCTGCATTTCTTCAGCCTTTTCCCCCCTAGTGAGGCTGACAATGATGTAACTAAAATCTCATGTCATCATTACTAAACATTGTTGTCTTGACAATTTCATGTACATGTTTTGTTATTAATGTATGTTGTGTTATCAAACCAAAACTTTCCTTAACGTACTTCACGCCTTTCGAGTATATGGTACTTCTCACCATCATCGCCAACTGCATCGTCCTGGGCTTGGAGGAACATCTGCCGGAGAATGACAAGACCCCTCTGGCTGTTCAGCTGGTGAGTACACCCCACACCCCACAACCCTCGTCCCTCACAGCCAACACCCCACAACCCTCATCCCTCACACCCCACAACTCACAACCCTCATCCCTCACACTACATACCCCACAACCCTCGTCCCTCGCACCCCACACCCCACAACCCTCGTCCCTCACGCTCCACACCCCACAACCCTCATCACTCGCGCTACACACCCCACAACCCTCAACCCTCACACTACTCACTCCACACCCCACAACCCTCATCCCTACACACCCCACAGAACTGAATTTGTTGCAGACCTTACTTTGACAGGTTTTAAAATACGATTACATACACCACTAATGTATTAAGATGGACCTTGTTCAAAACCCCATATTGATCAGATCGGCATTTATCTTATTCACTATGAATTATACTGACATGTAATCACTTTTAATGAAGAACCACATGGTATAAAATGAGCACCTATCATGGAATATATATATTGACCTACTTGTTATCATGTTAAAATAAGATATTGCTTGCCTGTTTTAACTAGGTCAATCTTCTTATAACAAGCAATGAGGTTATATTGCTTTGAGTGAACATACATTGATGGCTAGTTCACGCTGTGCTTTGTTGTAGGGACAGCTGGACCATCGTGTTCATGTTAACTCAATGTGTATTTGAAAGGCCAAATATAGATTTTCCATATCAGTAATCAATAATATGTACATTGAATTACCCTCTGTCACTTGATGACATTATCCAGTTGAAATTTATGAGATTGGTGAAATAACTTGTCCATTTTAAGCTTCCATAAAATAACCCTTTGAGCATGGCAGTTTTATTACAACTTAAATGACGGACCTGCCTCACTCTTGTCACCGTCATTTAAATGACTATAAACATGTGAAGCTCTCCCTAAATATTTGATAAATTGCATTAAGAAATAGACAATGACAAGAGATATGCAAAAGGTTTAACTAATAACTTTGAATAGGTTTCTAGACCAAATTTTGCTTTCACCTAGTGATTTTATAAACAGAACTATAGCCCAGGGTATTTCACTATTTTTCAAAATTAGTATCCATTGTATAATCCTTTGTAAAGGCAGACCAATTTTGTTTCTTGTTTTACGAATCCGCTGGTCGTATTTTTTTCAAGAATAAGAAAAATAATATATTAATTTCCCCTGCTCAAAGAATAAATCCTAATGTTTTTGGTGGCCAAAAATGTAGACTTGCCCCCCAAAAATGTTTTTAGATTGATTTTTTGCCTCATATACACTTCATAAATTGCCAAAAGTAAAGTACTTTTAGTATATAAATGGAATAATACTTTGGTGATTTTTTTTTCCTCCTGCCTTTAGGTTTTCTGATGAAAAAATCTGTTAAACAAGAAATATAAATGGTCTGGCATAAATAAAATCATGAAGAAATGTTATCAGTGCATATGTCCTTGTGTTTCAAAAACCAAAAACAATACCTCATGACTCAGAAATGATGATTTTGATGCAAATATTAGTCATACCCTAGGTTAAAAAGATCCACTTCCAGTTTGGTTAAAATATTCTATGGCACCTGCGGGCTGTTGAAAGCTGTGAAGAGCATGGCATTCACATCACTCAGCATCCTGATACAATGATTCACTTGGACTGAGTTACCAGTTCCAGCTGAATGAACTGGAAGTGGGTGTGTGTTTTATTCATGGTTATTCTGAAGAGGAACAACATATTAGTCATAGTAAACATACTCTACTGACGTCATGCAGTACAGTTACTGACAATCACTCATATGACAAACAATGCTTGGGCCATACATGGACGATATCTGGATATACTCATAGAAATAAATAAGGGAACACATGAAGGTACAAGTGTGCCTTTATTTATTTCCAGAATTTCATCCACAGTGCAATACATACCTTGTGAAGAAACCTGGAAATGAATAAAGGAACACATGAAGGTACATCATTTCCATGGGTATATCTCACAATACTTTATTTGTGCTCTCTCACAATTTGGGTAGCCTAGTGGTTAAATACAGAATTTCATCCTCAGCGCAATACTTGTGAAGAAAAACCGGGTTCGATTCCCCACATGGGTACAATGTGTGAAGTACCATTTCTGGTGTTCCCTATTGCTGGAATACTGCTAAAATATAAAACTACATACTCACTCACTCACTCACTCACTTACAAGCAAGCCTTCTTAGGCAGATTCATTGGCATCTGATCAGAAATTCTTTTAGCAGTTCAATTATGTAAATTAAACAATAGATCCAGTAAATACTTGCACATACCAGTATATGTCCAGTAAATACTTGCACATACCTGATTTATAAAGGATTTACTTGTAACCATGGTAACAGCTGACATTATGTTACATTGTGGCTGAAGCTTGAAAGCCTGCTTTCATTTCAAACATCCTCGAAATGGATGCTGTTAGTGAATTTGCTGCTGGTTGATTTCGCAGACTTCAGACATGGTGCGAAGTAACACAAGCAGTGCCACCTAGTGGGGTGTCAATTACACAGGTCTCATTCCTGGTGGTGTTAATTGCTTTGTGTTGACAAGAGACATTGATCAATATTGATATTGCCTGCACTACTCCGGCTAAAGCATCTGTAAAGAATACATTGAAACAAAACATTGCAGTGGAATAAAAGCACTGATTCATTACATGTCCATGATAGTGATAAGTTACATTTGTGGCGACATAAACAGAAATCAACATGATCTGATTGCTTTATAAAAATGTAATGCATACATTTAATGAATGATGAGTTTAAACACATTTGTAGTATACATTTACAACTTGTGTGGCTGAGTACTAAACTATACTTGCACACAGGCTATAGAAAAGGTTAGCAACAATTCCCCAATGTAACATAATATTCATTAGTGCAAAGTTCATATAAATGTTATGCTTTATATATTTAGTACTAAACCTAAAACTGCAAACCTCACTACTGTAACACAAATGTAATAATAATAGTGATAATAATAAAGTTATAATGTAGAGCACATTAGTTTCCTTTTATGACATCTTTTTACTGTTTTAATCAAAATACAATAGCATGCCCCTTTCTCTCACACCCACACCCACACCTGTACGCAAACATACACACTTATGCACACATGCACACATAATCTCTCTCTCTCTCTCTCTCTCTCTCTCTCTCTCTCTCTCTCTCTCTCTCTCTCTCTCTCTCTCTCTCTCTCTCTCTTTCTCTCTCTCTCTCTCTCTTGCTCTCTCTCTCTTTCTCTCTCTCTCTTCTCTCTCTTTCTCTCTCTCTCTCTCTCTTTCTCTCTCTCTTGCTCTCTCTCTCTCTCTCTCTCTCTCTCTTTCTCTCTCTCTCTCTCTCTCTCTCTCTCTCTCTCTCTCTCTCTCTCTCTCTCTCTCTCTCTCTCTCTCTCTCTCTCTCTCTCTCTCTCTCTCTCACACACACACACACAGAGTGACACCCACTCAAAACCACATCTGTTTTCAAATTTTCAACATGTATAACTATAGTATGTTTTAGTTCTAATTTATTATAAGATATCATTAAGTTCTTGAATCAATCTTAAAATTTGTCGAATTCTGCTGAAACACAATTGCTTATTGAGTAAACATAAAGATTTGTCTGTCATCAACGACGTGTAGATTTCCACATATTCCAGTATCCTAACTCCATGTTTCTGTATCCTAACTCCTTGTTTCTCTCGTTTCAGGATGATACAGAAATATACTTTCTGGGCATCTTCTGTGTGGAAGCTTTACTAAAAATTGTAGCTCTAGGTTTTGTACTTCATAAAGGCTCATATCTACGAAACATTTGGAACATAATGGATTTTATAGTAGTTGTTACAGGGTAAGTCATTAGTTTATTACATTTATTACAATTTGTCTGAAAGTCATTAAACAGTAACTATTAAGCCTTTTGGGGCATCAATATTACAATGGAAATTAATGTAGTATTGAAGTTTAATGACCTTCAGATATTGAAATTGTTGAATGACATGTTTTCATCCTCATGTGATGTCATTTTGTATTTGAGATGTCTAATTGCAGGCAGTCATATTTTGAGTGTTCCCCCGATCAGTGAAAACTGAAATATGGGAAATACTGATTTTAGAATCATCCATGAGATCTGAGTTATAATGGCTCATATCCTAAGCTACCATGTTAGTTGGGAGGGAGATGAGCAAGTCACAGGTGACAGTATGATCCTTGTATAAATCTGACCAACTCACTACCGGTCTTAACTAGTGGTGTTCCGATGATCGAAAATAATCGAAAATCGATCGCAAGAAGGATTAAAAAATTGTTAAAAAACATATTTTCGATTAATTGGAATTTTGTTGTATTAGTTTAAAACATTTGAATGAAGTAAACTAGCGATTAAATTTGACGAATATTCACGAACAAACATGCGTTCAACAGCATAAAGCTATGTGCATTGTAAAATTTTAACTACTTTCATTGTTTAATTACACTTCCAGTGTCTTTCTTCCATGCATGCATTTCATTGCATGACAGTATTAGTTATAAGGAACATTTATTAGAAAAAACCTGGGGAAAAACCTTCAAATTGTTGATTTCATTAAAAATATATATTTCGATTATAATCGATAATCGTTCACCACAATCCTCCGATAATTGATAGTGGATTTGGTTTCCGATTCCCAACACAAGTCTTGGAACACAAACATATAACATGCTGCCCTTACCATGTGTAAAAATTGGTTTACTAAATATTGATGCCCTTACCATGTGTATAAATTGGCTTTACTAAATATTGATGCCCATACCTAGTATATAAATTGGTTTACTAGATATTGCTGCCCTTACCATGTATAAAACTTGGCTTTACTAAATATTGCTGCCCTTACCATGTGTAAAACTTGGCTTTACTAAATATTGCTGCCCATACCATGTATATAAATTGGTTTACTAAATATTGCTGCCCTTACCATGTGTAAAAATTGGTTTTACTAATTATTGCTGCCCTTGCCATGTGCAAACATTGGTTTACTAAATATTGCTGCCCATACCATGTGTAAAAATTGGCTTTACCAAATATGTGTACCAGGTGGTCTTTATAAACAATGCCCTTGTCATGAGTAAGGATTGACTTTTAAAAACTGTTGATGGAATCGCCGAAGAAGGACACCGGTGTCCGTAACCTTGGTAATCCCATCATGTACTTGATCAACTATTTGATCACCGATTCCAACATGATCAACAGCTCAATTGTCACAGATTCCTGTTTTCTTTCACAGAACTATTGGTTTAGTTTTCCCGCTGGTGGACCAATCACTGATAAGATCCCTTCGAGTGTTAAGACCCTTGAAATTGGTTACAGGGATAGAGAGTGAGTGAAATAGACAGGGGAGTGGTTATTAACACCCTTACTTATTTCTCCAAGGCGGTCCTGGTTGATTGACGGGCACCCCTGTAGACAGCTTACCTCCCTTTACCATTCTCCATCATCATCTTTTAAACATAAATATACCTAACTTTTCAATAGTATCAATATAAACACTTTTCTCTTCATGATTTAGACATTGTATAAAAAGTCAGATTTTTTTAAACTGGTATTTTTAAATTAATTTGATTTACAGATTAGCAGATAATATGAATAGAATCAGAAAATTATTTTATTTTTATGAAATACAGTTTATATCCCCAGCAAGCCATCCCTTGCTTCTTACATATTGTCATTCAGTTTCCAACAGGTTTCATTCCCATGGTGCTGGTATGCTAATTTTGTACCCCAGTATGTACTTGTATGACACATGTTAAACACTCTCTTTCAGCTCTCATATTGTGTTAGAAATTGTTCATATGAGCCTTTACATTTTCTATTATTTTACAATTTCTGAAGCCCATAATACTTACACCTGCATTAACTCTCCTATAATTTCAGTTGGTTGGTGAAAGTTTTTATATCACTGCTACTTTGGACACAATATTTTCAATATTTTAGAACTATATCTGTTTTCACATTAACTAAATTTTGCCTTTAGTTGTATTTCAAATCTAGCTTGCAGAAATTCATTTGAAGTTTGGTTTTCAATTTATGATTTGTAACAAAGTTCACATGAAACTTTGATGTCAATTGAACTTTGAAATTATTTCATATATTTCAAAGTCAAGATTGGATATATATTTTTTAAACTTTACTTCAAACTATTTCATTTTATACTTTTCTTCCGTTTTTGTTCATTTTTTAAAATTCACAATTTCCATAAAAGCAAAAGAACATGAAATGGAACCATACACTCAAACTCAAACTAGTTCCCGGTAAAAAGCAGTGTCACTCTTCACTCCAAAACACAACCCAGATATCCCCAAATGGTAAAGGGTTATTATCGACATGTTTTATTTTACCCCGGGCAGGTTTATAACCCTTCTTCATACAAGCACTTCCTCATCATCTTTCGACCTGCGAACCCTCCGAGCTGTCAGGGTTTTAAGACCCCTGAAGCTGGTGTCTGGAATCCCAAGTATGACCCATGATTGGGATCAAAATTTTGCATGAAGGCCCTATAGTTTAACTGTGGTTTGGTAATGTTGTTTGTGTCCTACCAGAAATTGTCAACAATTCTTCCTTACATGATTCGAAATCCCAGTGGTCAGTATATTGTCCATTTCTGAAGTGTTCCCCAGACTGACGTCAGTCTCTCATGCCATAAGTATATCTCTCAGTCAGTGAGGACTTTCAAGTCATGGTGAGATTGAATTGCTGACACTGTGCCCTCTTCTAACATGTCTACTCTTGCATGTTTGAATAACACTTCCTAGACTAGCTGAATGAACTTGATTACATAGCAAGGACACCAACTTGAGTGGTAGTACCATTGTTGATAGTTTTGTGTAGACATGCTCATATATCATTGTCATCAGGGGCTTATGTTACCCACATGGCTGAAGCTAACTTGCAAATTGATACAGCTTGTGTTGGCAAGAATGTTGTGCACCATGTTGGAAACTGCTGTTCCTGTGTCCACAGATTGCATCTGGAACATGATGTCCCCCTCGTTCCTTAGTATACATCATGGCAGATGTAACCTGTGGATTGTCAGACATGAGTGACAATTAGTTATGTTATGCAAATCACCATATTGGTTATCATGTCATCATCTGGGTTGTCATCATCATCATCTGGGTTTTCATCAAGAGGGTTGTCATCATCTGGGTTTTCATCATCTGGGTTTTCATCAAGTGTGTTGTCATCATCTGGGTTGTCATCACACGTGTTGTCATCATCTGGGTTGTCATCTATCAGGTTGTCATTGTCACTATCACAATCCTATGTTCCCTACATCTCCACATGGTCATTCATATAGATCTCTGTGTTTGTCTGTAGATCTGTCAGTCTGTCCTTTTTCTCCTATCTTTGTCTCCTTGTGTATCCCTTATGTTCTCTGTCTCTCCAAACATTCATCCATTTACCCTGTGGCTATCTACCACAATCCAGGCTGTGCTTACCCACGTGACCCTCTATTCACAATTCAGCCTCTCTTTACCCTGTGACCGTCTACAATCCTACCTTACTTCACCTTGTGATTTATCATCCATCTACCACACTATTATCCAGCATCTGTCTGCTACCAATCCATCTACCACCTACCAATCCTTCATCTATCTCCTAACAATCCATCTACCTGTCCTGCATCTATCTCCTACCAATCCATCTACCTGTCCTGCATCTATCTCCTACCAGTCCATCTACCACCTACCTACATCCTGCTATCTCCTACCAATCCATCTACCTGTCCTGCATCTATCTCCTACCAATCCATCTACCACCTACCTGTTCTGCATCTATCTCCTACCAATCCATCTACCATCTACCTGTCCTGCATCTATCTCCTACCAATTCATCTACCACCTACCTGTCCCGCACCTATCTCCTAACAATCCATCTACCTGTCTTACATCTATCTCCTACCAACCCATCTACCACCTACCTATCCTGCATCTACCACCTACCTGTCCTGCATCTATCTCCTACCAATCTATCTACATCTACCTGTCCTGCATCTATCTCCTACCAATCTATCTACCACCTACCTGTCCTGCATCTATCTCCTACCAATCCATATACCTATCCTGCATCTATCTCCTACCAATCCATCTACCACCCACCTGTCCCACATCTGCCAACCAAACCATCCATTCATCACCTGATATAATCTCTGATGTCCTGCAGCTTGCTGACATACTTCAGTTCGATGGGGTCCACGACCTTCAACCTGCGTACCCTCCGAGCCGTTAGGGTTCTCCGACCCCTCAAACTAGTGTCTGGGATTCCCAGTATGTACCCTGTGTGGTCAGCGCCAAAAGGCCTGGTCACCAATGTGGCGGTGCTCATTGTTTCTCTATCATTCAGGTGGCAGCAGCTAGTCATGATCTCCCCATGTCATCTACCGTCTCCTGCGTCTAACACACTCAAACATTAGCTTCTGGATCAGATAACACTTGCTCTTTTCAAAACAATTTCAATTTTTTAAACATTTATTTCAAATAATCAGACAGTTTAACAATTCAAAGATGGTGAAAAAATGATAAATAATTTCATCTTTTGGTGCAATTTTACAACAAAATGTTTAGATTCAGTATCTTATTCTTCTGAAAGGATTTCAAGCATGCAAATTCATCAAAAGATTCTACAAATTGTTGAGTTTGAGACGAGGTAGAGGAGATCATTGTCGTGCATGTGGCTGACATTGTGGCTAAATTTTCTGATATAGGGAGGGGGGAAATGCATGCCACCACCTGTCAATCATGTGTCTCTGTCATTACATCACTCATCTCCAGTGTGTGCTATTTCTTATTTCCAAGCCATTGTTATCTATTGTGTTTGGTAAATCACTGATCAATGTAATTAGTGTTTGGTAGCATGCTTGTTTATGTTTGTAAATATGTTTTAGTTTTGTAACACATATTTGAAGCATCATTTCTTTCTGAATGCATGATCTGTCGTAACTGTGTGTGATGTTTTTAATTAAATCAGTAGTTATAATTTTGAAAACTAATAATAATACAATACTTCTTATTGAGATTTCTATCAGCATTTCTATGAAATGTAAGCATGTATTTATATTTTTAATTCTTCAAAGTTTACTTGTAATTTTGCAAGAAGCTTATAGAGCTGTTATTATTTCCGAGATAATTAATTTTTAACTTTTTACAATACTGAGAAAAGAATATGAACAGTTTCTGTCAATGTTTTGTAAAACACTCACTAAGTGGTTGACCAAGAGATGTCATCTATACTATCATCATCACTATATTTGGTACCCCTACTGGAGGTTCTCAACCCTCCATATTGAAACAATATTCATCTGAAGCCAGTATTGGACGACATTGTTAATTTTGATCTAAGGAAATTAAAATTGCCTTTTATCGATGGGAAGTTTGATAAATGCACAATGAACAATAAACCCTGAATCACATGTGATGATCTCTTGATGATGTATTTCAAAATTTCAGTATACACAGCACTGACAGAAACGTATTTGTATGTCTCTGTTTTGAATGTATGTAAAACCACAAACATTTTTTTTTTTCATTTTTCTTGTCTTTAAAAAGCAGTTATGTGTATATATAACATTTAGCTATTACTTTCAATCTTCTTTTAATAGTGTTACATGTTTTTAAATTTTAAATGTTTTTTAAAAATGTAAATTTCAAAATGTAACAAACCTGTCTAATCTGTAGTCAGTATTTTTCTAATAAAATCATTTGTAATATTCTTCTTATGAAAAAGCAAGTTTTTATATTTCACTGTGAAGAAATACTTTCATTGAAATGAGTGTGTATACTGAAACGTCTTTTGTATATTTCAGGTTTGCAGGTGGTGTTGAAATCTATCATAAGAGCCATGGCTCCACTGTTACAAGTGTGTTTATTGGTGCTTTTTGCAATCATCATCTTTGCAATCGTGGGCCTGGAGTTCTATTCCGGTGCTTTCCACAACGCTTGTTTCAAAAACCAATTTGGTAGAACGTTAGGTGAGTATTTCATGCAATGATATCACATACATGCAATGTAGCTGGTATTAAACTACATAAGTAGGGAAACCAAATATTGATTCTTTCTTTAAAAACATAATTTATTCAAAACTATATATGGTTTAACATGTTCATATTTTCAAATACCAAATAATAATGTTTTCTGTTAATAATTTATCTCCTAATCAAAGAGCAATTTTGAATTATATTTGGTAAATTCAGCTAAATATACCTTAAGAAAATGAACTTATAATTTACAGAAATAGACATTTTTCAAGGATTCCATTACATCAAGGGTCAACTTTGTGATACATGCAATTGTACATATAATGCTTAAATCGTATAGGCCCTCAGTCCCCAAGTGATTTTTTTGTGCTCATTTGTGACTTTGATATTACCTTATCATTCTTTCCTTTCAATACCTAAAACAGCAATACTTATTTGGGATTAATGGAAGAAAGATTATATACTGGAATTGTTAACAGTTAGAAGACATAAAACATTGCTTCTATTTTGAATATTCTGAATGTTTTTGCACAAATATCCTTAGTATTGTGTGTGGATTGTATTTAGCTGGTTTTGACTGCATAATGGAATCAGATGGACGTCCATCTAAACCCAAGCCACACAGCATTGGGACGGAGAGAGTTCTTGTTCCATAGTACAGAAGGATTCTGGTTGATCCTGTGTCATGGACCTGTGAAGATCCGGGTTGGAATTGATCTTCAGTAACCCATGCTTGTCGTAAGAGGCAACTAACTGGATCGGGTGGTCAGGCTTGCTGACTTGGTTGACACATGCCATCAGTTCCCAATTGCGTAGATCGATGCTCATGCTGTTGATCACTGGATTGTCTGGTCCAGACTCGATTACTTACAGAAGGCCGTCATGTAGTTGGAATATTGCTGAGTGCGGCGTAAAACTAAACTCACTCACTCACTCACTACTGAGTCATGGACCAACATGGGTACCTGCCAGATCTTCATAACACAAACTGACTCTTTTCTTATTAGAAAACTAGGTGCTCATTCTGAATGTTGCATCAAAATTTCCTAGCTTCAGGTTTTATACTTCTATCACTTACCATCTGGGAAGGGCAGTTGTCGAACGATTGACAAACTTTGTAGGCTATCTGGTTAGGGATTGAAGTCCTTTGTGGATGGTCCAGTTAAGGATGAAGTACTTGTAGGCTGTCTGGTTAGGGATTGAAGTCCTTTGTGGACAGTCTAGTTAAGGACCGAAGTACTTGTAGGCTGTCTGGTTAGGGATTGAAGTCCTTTATGGATGGTCTAGTTAAGGATGAAGTACTTGTAGACTGTCTGGTTAGGGATTGAAGTCCTTTATGGATGGTCTAGTTAAGGATGAAGTACTTGTTGAAGTCCTGTCTGGTTAGGGATTGAAGTCCTTTGTGGATGTTCTAGTTAAGGATGAAGTACTTGTAGGCTGTCTGGTTAGGGATTGAAGTCCTTTGTGGATGGTCTAGTTAAGGATGAAGTACTTGTAGACTGTCTGGTTAGGGATTGAAGTCCTTTGTGGATGGTCTAGTTAAGGATGAAGTACTTGTAGACTGTCTGGTTAGGGATTGAAGTCCTTTGTGGATATTCTAGTTAAGGATGAAGTACTTGTAGACTGTCTGGTTAGGGATTGAAGTCCTTTGTGGATGGTCTAGTTAAGGATGAAGTACTTGTTGGCTGTCTGGTTAGGGATTGAAGTCCTTTATGGATGTTCTAGTTAAGGATGAAGTACTTGTTAGGGATTGGCTGTCTGGTTAGGATGAGTTGAAGTCCTTTGTGGATGGTCTAGTTAAGGATGAAGTACTTGTTGGCTGTCTGGTTAGGGATTGAAGTCCTTTGTGGATGGTCTAGTTAAGGATGAAGTACTTGAGTCTGTCTGGTTAGGATGGGATTACCTGTTCTAGTTAAGGATGAAGCCTTGTGGATCTTCTGGTTAAGGACAAACCTGTTGACTGTCTAGTTAGGGATGAAGAAGTCCTTTATGGATGCTCTAGTTAATGGATGAAGTGAACTCAAAATTTCTAGTTAAGGATGAAGTAGGGATTGAAGTCCTTTATGGATGTTCTAGTTAAGGATGAAGTACTTGTTGGCTGTCTGGTTAGGGATTGAAGTCCTTTATGGATGTTCTAGTTAAGGATGAAGTACTTGTAGGCTGTCTGGTTAGGGATTGAAGTCCTTTATGGATGGTCTAGTTAAGGATGAAGTACTTGTTGGCTGTCTGGTTAGGGATTGAAGTCCTTTATGGATGTTCTAGTTAAGGATGAAGTACTTGTAGGCTGTCTGGTTAGGGATTGAAGTCCTTTGTGGATGGTCTAGTTAAGGATGAAGTACTTGTAGACTGTCTGGTTAGGGATTGAAGTCCTTTGTGGATGGTCTAGTTAAGGATGAAGTACTTGTTGGTTGTCTGGTTAGGGATGAAATACTTTGTAGGTAGCTAGTTAATGATTGAAGTACTTTGTAGGCTGATATTGTTGATATTGCAGCCATTTCTATGTAGGAATTAAGAAACTGATCAAATTAGAAAGAATGTCAGGATGTTGACATCTGGAACATGTCATGTTATTTTGCAAATTGGAGGCATACCACCTTACAAAATAGATACAAATATGTTCCATTTATTTATTTTTTCAAATGTACATGGCAACTAAATATATTTTTGAATATTCTGATACATGTATCTACCTAATACTGGCTGATTTCAATTTTATTACTTGATTAACAATTTTCTGATTTTCCAGAAGTTGTTGACTTATGTTATGATTTTTCTTCCAGGTGACATCGATTATGGTGATGAACCTGATATACGACCGTGTGCAAAAAATCCCAATTCTGCAGGAGGTTTTAAGTGCCAATTAAATATATCTAAATGTAAAGAAGGTTGGCAGGGCCCCAACTATGGAATCACCAGCTTTGATAACATCGGCTACGCTATGTTAACAGTGTTCCAGTGCATAACCATGGAAGGATGGACCACAGTTTTGTACTATGTAAGTTACACAAGACGGACCAAATTACAAGACGATTTCTTCTCAGAGATTTTATGTACTGAATGAATATTCATATCCAAACATTCTTCTCTACAGATTCGTTCGATTCCCTACATGGGTACAATGTGTGAAGCCCATTTGTGGTGTCCCCCGCCATGATATTGCTGGAATATTGCTAAAAGCGGTGTAAAACTCACACTCACTCACTCACTCACTCACTCACTCTCTACAGATTCTTTTGGATGAGTTGAGTGTTTATTGACATCTAAGAAGAAAGAATAATCAACATTTGTTTTCACCCTCGTTCCAACACAAAAAGGGAGATGGGGCAGCCTCATGGCTAAAATATTCACTCACATTAATGGCCAAAGACCCATGCTTAATTCATCACATGGTTACAGCATTTGAAGGCCATGTCAGGTGTCTCCTGGGGGCGGTGGGGTAGTCTAAGGGTTAAAGCTCGTCATGCCGAAGACCCGGTTTGATTCCCCACATGGGTACAATGTGTGAAGCCCGTTTCTGGTGTCCCCCTCCGTGATATTGCTAGAATAGTGCTAAAAGCGACGTAAAACTATATTCACTTACTCAGGTGTCTTCCCACCTTCATGTTTTTGCGAAATATTGCTGAAAGCTAAAAACCGCATGATACCATATTCAATGACTCAGTCCAAACGGAAACCTAAACTTGGTTGTGACAACTTCTCCTGTATGTCATTGCTACTGGTTCAGTAGTAATCTGTTGTTTCCAACTCTAGTCTACATGTCACAACAGAAATTGATTCAGTGCTCCGCATGACCTTCCAGTTTAGTTACATGTTTCCAAATAATAATGAATGTTTTTTTTATTTTTCAGACAAATGATGCCTTAGGGAGCAATTTCAACTTTTTATATTTTATACCTCTCATCGTCCTGGGATCATTCTTCATGTTGAATCTAGTACTGGGAGTCCTCAGTGGGTACGTACTGTGTTTTCATCAATGGCAACAATATTTCGTGGTCACATGGTCACAACAGTTCTTTTGGTTACAGGTTATTTCACCCCAACACATTCACCCCATACAGTTTCACCCCAACACATTCACCCCATACAGTTTCACCCCAACACATTCACCCCATACAGTTTCACCCCATTTAGAGGATGTTTCACCCCAGCAAATAATTATTATTATTATTATCAACTATAAAATTGTTTCAGTAAATAGTCAGTTTATGGAATAAAAGCAATTTACAGATAAATTTACTCACTGGATATTTAAAAGGTATCAATTAAACATTACCGGTATTTATCAATGGGTATTAAGTATATTAGCGGAACTGTCACTACCATAGCTCACAGCAATCTGTCTATTAGGGGACATACAGAAGAAACTAGGGAAATCCTATTGCAATTTTCATAGCTATATTGTGCAATTTGTCATTGAAGTTTTTCTGTTCATTTAGTCCTTATTAATTAAACACACAATCATAATTAATATGCATTGATGTTATGATGGATGGATATGTTATCAAATATTACCCAGCATCAGAAGCTTCGAGAATATGAGTACATATAAAAGTTATCTTGAATCATCTTGTAAACCATAAGAAGCTATGTTCTTGTGGTAGGTAAATATCGTCTTACTGTCTGCTTAAATTTGTACCAAATGAAAATAAAAACTTGATTATCTATCTACCATTAAGTGTGATTCCCATATGCTTTGGGTAATTTTAAAGCTTTAAATAGAGGCAGAGAAAATCGGTTCTGTTTCAGAAAGTTATTGCAGCTACAAGTACGGTAGTGCCTATTATATAGTTAAACATAGACTTATGATGGTCGTCGCACGGTGAAACAGGCTCCATTTTGTTATTATTGCAAGTTTTCCTTTGATCATATCAGTCCTGCCTTTGGTGGATTTCTGAATAGATATCAGTCTAAACACCTCTTTGACATAATGATTGTTTTTTTACACAATCTCATATGACTGACAGAAATTTGAATATATCATGCTTAAAGATTGCTCATGTTAGTCTATTTGTATTTATACCATACATTGACGTCATGACAATCTTTTCATATTGATTCTGCACTAAATGAAAAATAGTGTCACTTTGAGGGTTATTTGAATCTTGATTTTTTAAGATTTGGTGTAAATATGGATAAATGATGCTAGTTATCTTCAAATGCATCCCATTTCTAGTTACTGCATGGTGGGGTAGCCTAGTGGTTAAAGCGTTTGCTCGTCACGACGAAGACCTGGGCTCGATTCCCCACATGGGTACAATGTGTGAAGCCCATTTCTGGTGTCCCCGCCGTGATATTGCTGGAATAGTGCTGAGAGCAGCATAAAACTAAACTCACTCACTACTGTATAAACTACAAACACTTGAATCAGGTTGGGTTTCATTATACTGCAACATTCATAGATGCAAGAGTAGTGGTGTTCCGATGATCAAAAATAAATCGAAAATCGATTAAAAGAAGGATTAAACATTGTTATCGATTGTAAAAAACATATTTTCAATTAATCAGAATTTTGTTGTTTTAGTATAACACACTTGAATGAAGTAAACTAACCATTAAATTTGACGAATATTCACGAAGAAACATGCGCTCAACAGCGCTCAACTGTGTCTTTCTTGCATGCATGCATTTCATTGCATGACAGTATTAGTTATAAAAAACCATTAATTAGGAAAAACCTTTAAAATTGGTCATTACACTAAAAATGTATATATTATATTTCGATTATAATCGATAATCGTTCACCATAAGTCCTCCAATAACCGATAGTGGATTTGGTTTCTGATTCCCAACACAATTCAAGAGAGATATATATGGTTAGACAGGCAGATAAGATTTTCTTAAGCTCCAGAGTTGTTCTTGATGTCTGAGACTCTTCAAGATCTTAAATAAGACTATTCTGGACAAGAGATGTTCCTGAAGGTTCTATATTAATCTGCTGACGTCAGCTGTGAGTGTAGCCTGCAACCAGGGCATCTTTCCTTCAGCTCAGTCTAACCGTTGTTGACCACGTCTGGATGACCCTCGTTGTTGACCACGTCTGGATGACCCTTGTTGTTGACCACTTGTTGATGACCCTTGTTTGACCGCTTGTTGATGACCCTTGTTGATGACCCTTGTTGACTGACCCTTGTTGACCACATATTGATCACTTGTTGACCACTTGTTGATGACCCTTGTTGACCACTTGTTGATGACCCTTGTTGACCACATATTGATGACCCTTGTTGACCACTTGTTGATGACCCTTGTTGACCACTTGTTGATGACCATGTTGTTGACAACACGCTGTTAACCCTTTGTTTTGTTTGAAAGACAGTCCTCGTCTGAAATTGATGAGCAATTAGCAATGACTGCCTTTCCTCAATCTTTCATGAATCTCTGTGGTCCAAGACTAGGATGTAATTATGTAAATGTAGCAATGAAGTGGGTCACTTCAGCCGTTTTCGATTGTAGAGATCAAAAAAGAGTCAAAGCCTTTCAGTGAGCCATTCATTCCAAGACGTGCGATGGACCGATTTTGCTAATTCTGAATGTGGATCGATATCCACCAATCAATACTACTGCAGTAGCAGCAGTAGCGGAGTGTTGGATGATCCATCCTCAATGCAAGTCAGCAAATACAAGCAGCGTTAGGCTTTCGATCAATATCCAAGCTTGTTTACATCACAGGCATCACATGACATCACAGGCGTCACATGACCTGTAGGCCTCATTCATTCAAAATGTTCACCAACCAATTTGTCTCGAAGCTTTAAGCTTTGACCAACTGAAAGCCTGTGTGTTTTGAACACAATGTGATTAAATTCAGAAATAGTTCCACAATCCTTGAACATCACTCCGAAAAGGAATCCATTTTGATCTCTGTGTGTATGTGAATAAATAATTCAAAGATTACCTTTTTTGAAAGTGTTACAACTATCAGCTGTAGTTGGTTTCAGATTCATTCAGGCTTTTGTCATTACTATTACTAGGGCCTTTTTACCTCCACCTGGGATTGAAAACACAAGTTAATTCATAATTTTTACATCACACAGGAATACCTGAAAAACATAGACAAACGTTTGTATCAAGTTTATTTATACAATCCTGGTTAAAATCCACCCCTCCTATTGTGAAATAATTGTTATTATTATTGTAAGAAACAGTCAAAGAGAATTGGGTGGTTAGACTCAGTAAGTTTGATGCTCTTCATGTGTCTGATGTTGTGGCCTCTTGCTTATGTCACTGCTGACCCGTGAAGATCAGGGTTAGAATTGATCTTCAGTAACCCATGCTTGTCGTAAGAGGCGACTAACAGGATCGGGTGGTCAGGCTCGGTGACTTGGTTGACACATGTCACATTATCGCAATTGCGTAGATTAATGCTCATGCTTTTGATCACTGGATTGTCTGGTCCAGACTCGATTATTTACAGACTGCCACCATATTGCTGGAATATTGCTGAGTGCGGCGTAAAACTAAACTCACTCACTTATGGTAGCAACATTCCTTGACTTACTCAATTGTAAAAGTACCTGCATATATTGAAACACTTTTTTGTGATACAAATCTTTCCTTTCTCCAGCGAATTTGCCAAAGAGAGAGAAAGAGTAGAAAACCGTAGAGCGTTCTTCAAGCTACGTAGACAGCAACAGATAGAACGGGAGTTGAATGGATACCTGGAGTGGATTTGCAAAGCGGGTAGGCTTCGCTTCATTTCATTTTTACTATAGCTGTATATTTAGTCATGACACTGACAACATGCTGGCAGTCACCACAAACAAAATGTTGTCATGGTGATATAGCTGTATATTTAGTAAAGGCATTGACAACATGATGACAGTCACCACTAACTTTATGTTGCCGTAGCGATGTAGCTGTATATTTAGCCAAGGCACTGACAACATGCTTGCAGTCACCATCAAAGCCACGTACACCACCAACACTATGTTCACCACCAACACCAACAACCACCTTCACCACCAACACCACCTTCACCACCAACACCACCTTCATCACCAACACCACCTTCACCACCAACACCACCTTCATCACCAACACCACCAACACTACCTTCATCACCAACACCACCTTCACCACCAACACCACCTTCATCACCAACACCAACAACCACCTTCACCACCAACACCACCTTCACCACCAACACCACCTTCATCACCAACACCACCTTCATCACCAACACCACCTTCACCACCAACACCACCTTCATCACCAACACCACCAACACCACCTTCATCACCAACACCACCTTCACCACCAACACCACCTTCATCACCAACACCACCAACACCACCTTCACCACCAACACCACCTTCATCACCAACACCACCTTCACCACCTTCACCACCAACACCACCAACACCACCTTCACCACCAACAACCACCTTCACCACCTTCACCACCAACACCACCTTCACCACCTTCAACACCAACACCATTTTCACCACCTTTACCACCTTCACCACCAACACAATCAACACCACCAACACCACCAACACCACCTTCACCATCTTCACCATCAACACCACCTTCACCACCTTCACCACCAACACTATCTTCACCATCAACACCACTAACACCACCTTCACCACCAACACCACCAACAACACCAACACCACCTTCACGACCCGTGAAGATCCGGGGTAGAATAGGTCTTCAGCAACCCATGTGCTTGCCATAACAAGGCGACTATCTTGTCGTAAGAGGCGACTAACGGGATCGGGTGGTCAGTTTCGCTGACTTGGTTGACAAATGTCATCGGTTCCCAATTGCGCAGATCGATGCTCATGCTGTTGATCACTGGATTGTCTGGTCCAGACTCGATTATTTACAGACCGCCGCCATATAGCTGGAATATTGCTGAGTGCGGCGTAAAACTAAACTCACTCACTCACTCACTCACCACCTTCACCACCAACACCACCTTCACCACTAACACCACCTTCACCACCAACACCACCTTCATCATCAACACCACCAACACAACCTTCACCACCAACATCACCTTCACCACCTTCACCACCAACACCACCTTCACCACCAACACACCAACACTACCTTCACCACCAACACCACCTTCACCACCAACACCACCAACACAACCTACACCACCAACACAACCAACACCACCTTCACCACCAACACCACCTTCACCACCAACACACCAACACTACCTTCACCACCAACACCACCTTCACCACCAACACAACCTACACCACCAACACAACCAACACCACCTTCACCACCAACACCACCTTCACAACCAACACCACCTTCACCACCAACACAACCAACACGACCTTCACAACCAACACAACCTTCACAACCAACACCACCTTCACCACCAACACCTCATTCACCACCATGTTCACCACTAATGCTATGTTCGCTTCGCTCTAGAAGAAGTGATACTCAGTGAAGAAAAAACCACAGATGAAGAAAAGTTAAAAATCATGGAAGGTATGTATGGTACGTCGACCTTTTTACACTCTCCTCGGTGCTGTGGTCTGTCGTTATGTTTGTCTGTCGTCATGCTCAGCTTCAAACCTGATAGCCTTATGTTAAAAAAACAACTGATAATATACACTTTCTAAAACACCTAGGTGGTATTCATAGAAAAACTGAGGTCTTTCTCAGGTCAAAACCTAGGTTTCTGAAATCTGACTCGGCTACATGTAAGTTTCTGCTAAATCCAGAACGTAGCTAGTATCCAAAGAAAAGATAATTGATTTTCATCTTACATATGCACATGTCCTCTGTGGGATTCCCAGTTATGTTTAAAATTCTGGTGAAAAATATGTCAAAAATAAATGTAAAGAAGATGAAGCAGAACTGGGCCGAAGATGTTCTTCTAGTGTTGACGGAGTTGTACAAGCAGTCCATCCTGTTTTGGAAGGGAACCTTGGTCTGGGTGGACATGGAACAAACTTTTTGACAATATGACAGATGACAAACGTGTGATGCACTGATTGACAACACTAGAAAAGGTGGTCTGGCTGACACCTTGATCATCTGCTCTACACAACAGAATCTTTCCTGTTGCAGAGCGTCTAAATGGAATCAGCACTGAGTGTGCCGGGTCAAGTGTGTGGTTATTAGGGGTGTCACGATACACCAATCTCACGATACGATACGTATCACGATTTTAAGGTCACGATACGATACGTATCGCGATACATAATTTTCGGCCTGTTCATAGCATTACCTTACCGGCAACGTACGCGTTCGCTGATTGGTCCATCAAAATAGTCTAGCCAATCACAAAAGATGTTAGTTTCCAACCTATTTTTTAAGTAAAGCTAGCTACATCTATTTATCGGAGCGGTCTCGTATAATTTTACTATCAAGACTTTGAAGGAGATGGATATAGCATAAAAATTTGAATCGATCAAGTTTTAAAATAGGAATTGATACACGCAAGCATGTATCGCATATCGTTTCATCGATACATCGATGCATCGATACATTCGCGTATCGCGACACCCCTAGTGGTTATTGTTAGTTGCAGACGCTATGTCTGGTGTTATTACATTGGTGACAAACCTAAGACCATTTCAATCTGAATGGTATCGCCAGATGTATTCCTCCACATCATTCTATTCATCAAGCCTTTGCCTTCTTTGGTGGAACAGACCGTGAAGGTCCGGGTTAGAATGTGCCTTCAGTAATCCATGCTTGTCGTAAGAGGTGACTAATGGGATCGGGTGTCATCGGTTCCCAATTGCACAATTGATGCTCATGCTGTTAATCAGTGGATTGTCTGGTCCAGACTCGATTATTTACAGACCGCTGCCATATAGCTGGAATATTGCTGAGTACAGCGTAAAACTAAACTCACTCACTCACTCATTGGTGGAACAAGAGAGCCTCAGTGGTATGGCAGCTATATATTTTGTTTACTGACTTAAGTCCAACACTTTGTAGTTAACACTAACCAAGTCTTAAGATTTAAGTGAGGGATGGCCAAAACTTAAGCCTAGGTTGCTTGTCTGAAAGTCAGGAAAGGTAAACTGCTAAGTCTTCTTTCAGACTTTAGTTCTTTTATGAATACCGCCACTGGTGTTAATCCAAGGGTGCATGAGTACCAACAGTATTAACCCTGGGATATGTGTGTGTCTGTGTGTGTGTCTGTGTCTGTGTGTGTGACAACAGTATTAACCCTGGGATACATGTGTGTCTGTGTATCAACAGTATTAACCCTGTGGTACATGTGTGTGTCTGTGTATCAACAGTATTAACCCTGGGATATGTGTGTGTCTGTGTAACAACAGTATTAACCCTGGGATACATGTGTGTGTGTGTGTGTGTGTGTGTGTGTGTGTGACAACAGTATTAACCCTGGGATACATGTGTGTCTGTGTGACAACAGTATTAACCCTGTGGTACATGTGTGTGTCTGTGTAACAACAGTATTAACCCTGGGATACATGTGTGTCTGTGTGACAACAGTATTAACCCTGTGGTACATGTGTGTGTCTGTGTAACAACAGTATTAACCCTGGGATACATGTGTGTCTGTGTATCAACAGTATTAACCCTGGGATATGTGTGTGTCTGTGTATCAACAGTATTAACCCTGGGATATGTGTGTGTCTGTGTATCAACAGTATTAACCCTGGGATATGTGTGTGTCTGTGTAACAACAGTATTAACCCTGGGATACATGTGTGTGTGTGTGTGTGTGTGACAACAGTATTAACTCTGGGATATATGTGTCTGTGTGTGTATTAACTCTGGAATAACATGTGTGTGTGTGTGTGTGTGTGTGTGTGTGTGTGTGTGTGTGTATCAACAGTATTAACCCTGGGATACATGTGTGTGTGTCTGTGTGACAACAGTATTAACCCTGGAATATATGTGTCTGTGTACCAACAGTATTAACCCTGGGATACATGTGTGTGTGTGTGTGTACCAACAGTATTAACCCTGGGATATGTGTGTACCAACAGTATTAACCCTGGGATACATGTGTGTGTGTGTGTGTGTGTGTGTGTGTGTGTGTGTGTGTGTGTGTGTAACAACAGTATTAACCCTGGTGTGTGTGTGTGTGTGTGTGTGTTTGTGTTTGGGTGTGTGTGTGTGGGTGTGTGTGTGTGTGTGTGTGTGTGTACCAACAGTATTAACCCTGGGATACATGTTTGTGCGTGTGTGTACCAACAGTATTAACCCCGGGATACATGTTTGTGTGTAACAACAGTATTAACCCTGGGATGTGTGTGTGTGTGTGTGTGTGTGTGTGTGTGTGTGTGTGTGTAACAACAGTATTAACCCTGGGATACATCTGTCCTATGAAAGAAGTGATTGAAATTTATAAACCTCCTACCACCACCCCTAAACATCCACGTCCAGCTTGTTGACTATCCAGGCGAGCTGATTCTCTCCATGTCTTACAGGATACTGCAGGTGGTGTATGCTTTGATTTTATTATTACAATTTACAGCTTCATGATGGCATGGTGTTGTTTTTATTTTATTTTGTGCATGGAATGTTTCCCCTTGTAATGGTAATTAAACCAATGTATTTGCATGAAATCTTGTACATGGTGTTTGAATGTTAAACAAGACGTAGCCATAGCCTTTGAATATTTTCTACAGATACAGGACACTTTTGTAACATGTTGTTTTAGTTAAAGATTCATTCTAAAGTTGATTTTACAAACAGATTCAAACGGTAAAGTTGGTTACCCAAACCCAAATTGTACGTGGTCGTCCGGGGGGCAGTTGTCCACAGACTCCACTGGTAGCAACAGCACCGTGAAATATGGCGTCCCTGAGGAGGTGTTGGAAGAGTATGGTGTTTGCAAAGTTGACAAATGTCCAGATTCCCCACAGTTGTCAAACTGTATTGATGTGGACTTGCTGTTGAGCGACAGGGGTAACCGACTGGTTGGCAGGCCATCAGACAAAGGTTGGATCCACACCCATCCTCCTGAACCACCCCATTATTACCACCCTTTGCCTACCCATGACTAGGAGCTTGGGTGAGGGGCTGCCAGACAACCATCCCAAACCCAGACTCATACCTCAACATGGAATAGTGTAGGGTTCAGTAGGGTCCCTGGCCTAACCCACACCTGTGTTGTCTTTCTGGTAGGACTATAGCAGCTGATGAATATACAAGAGTCATTATGAACTGAGGATGGTTGTGTGAGTGAGTGAATTAAGTTTTACACCGCACTCAGCAATATTCCAGCTATATGGCGGCAGTCTCTAAATAATCGAGTCTGGACCAGACAATCCAGTTATCAACAGCAAAAGCACTGATCTGCGCAGTTGGGAACCGATGACATGTGTCAACCAAGTCAGCGAGCCTGACCACCCAATCCTGTTAGTCGCCTCTTACGACAAGCATGGGTTACTGAAGATCAATTCTAACCCGGACCTTCAGGATCTGAGGATGGTTAAACCCTGTCTATTACATAATCATTATGTGAAAGGTATAACTACTTCTTCATCATCTGTTGATTCTTTCATATATACACTCTCATCTTCATATAGTGCCATAATTGTCAGATAGCAAATATTGCCCTAATTATGTGGACAGATTTGTCTATTTTTGAAACTTTCTTCACACAGACATCATTGAAAGCAAAATAGCCCTGATAAAAGCCACGTATTATATGTAGATGAGAGTGTATGTGACAAGTCCCATTCCTGACTTGCACACATTACATTAGAGTAGCCTTGACTACATTGCTGGTGAAGGATGACTTGGTGAATGTCTTTCAGATTTCAGCAGCCACAATATTCATATTACTGATCTCTGTTTTCTGAAAGAATTGGTACATTTAACCCAAGGAATTATCATGATATATGTTCATTGTATTTTTTTGGAATGTGCATGAGTTGTCAGTGTTTTACTTTTCAGGAAAGTAGTAAACCTGTTTTGTGTTTCTAAAAGAACATGATTGATGATTGTATATTTGTAGACTTGATATGTAGACATATTGCTGATTGAGGTGGGTGTGGCCCAATCAGGCAAAGCACTACAGGAGTTGCATGTTCTTGGCATGCCAGATACCCATGGGTTCAAATCCTTCATGGCCTGATTATGTCCCTTGGTTTGTCAGTACCGTCTTTGTGACCTGGGGCAGGTGGGTAGCCTAGAGGTTAAAGCGTTGGCTTGTCATGCCAAAGACCTGGGTTCGATCTTCACATCGGTACAATGTGTGAGGGCCATTTCTGGTGTCTCCCGTCGTGATATTGCTGGAATATTGCTAAAAGCGGTGTGAAACCATACTCACTCACTGTTTGAGACCCGCGTCACATCAAGATCCCCTCCCACATTAAGCTGACACACTATGGTATAACTGTTTACTGGAGTACTGATTTAATTCACATATATGTAAATTACAAAGAAAATGTTTTTGAAAGTATATTATAAATACAGTCTGAATAGTTTCTCTTGTTAGAAATTGACATTGGTTAGTTGTTGACTTTCATTGTTTAATGTATTGAACACACCAACATTTGTCATTGTATGAACAGATTCTGCGCCTGTGGAAGGAGTGAATGTATGTGAATCATCTGGTTGAAAAATGTAGATGTGTGTTTGTTTATTCTGAAAGAGAAGAAGTGTACATGTGTGTGTGTTTATTCAGAGAGAGAAGAAATGTATATTATAAGTTGTTCACTGGTCACGAGGGGGGCATGGGTTGATGTACCCTCGATGTTTGTTTATGTTCCCTGAGCCCAAAGGGCGAGGGGAATATAAACAAACATCGAGGGTACATCAACCCATGGGCCCCGAGGGACCAGTGAACAACGTATGTATCTTACCGAACACCTTAATGTTAATTTTGAATTGTTTTAAGCACGGGTACAAATGTTTATGTAGCCATCACTAGACTTTGCTGACAAGAAAAACAGATTTAGAGTTATCTCCCTTCCATCAATTTGCATTCGCAAAACATCGGTAATTTCCGTACATCATACGTGATTCAATGTAATTCGAGATAAAGAATTACTACCACGAAGTACCAGATGAGTTGCCATTGACAGCGGGGTACATTGAAATGTACCTAGCTTGTAAGCGGGGTACATTGAAAATAATAGAAGAGCACTCAGCCAATGAGAAAGCGACATTTATGTGTGAAGTAAGATAAGTGTGTTTGTTTATACAGAGAGAGAAGAAATGTACATGTGTCTTTGTTTATCCAGTGAGAGAAGAAATGTACATGTGTGTTTGTTTATCCAGAGAGAAAAGAAGTGTACTTGTGTGTTTGTTTATCCAGAGAGAAGAAATGTGTACATGTGTGTTTGTTTATCATGAGAGAGAAGAAATGTACATGTGTGTTTGTTCATCCTGTGAGAGAAGAAATGTACATGTGTGTTTGACCTTTGAGATAGAGATACATGCATGTGCATTTGCTGTGAGTGACATGTACATGTGTGTGTAAAATCTATGTGTGTTCTGAGAGTGAAACATACATAAGAATCTTCTGGGAATAAAATATTAGTATGTGTCTTGTTGTCTGTACATGTGTGTCCTGTGTGCGAAATATGTGTGTATGTGCCAAATGTGTGTGTGTGTCCTGTGTGGCAAATGTATGTGTGTTCTGTGTGTGAAATGTATGTATGTGTCCTCTGAATGAAATGTGTGTGTGTGTGTGAAATGTATGTGTGTTCTGTGTATGAAAATGTATGTGTATGTGTTCATGTGTGTGAAATGTATGTGTGTGTGGCAAATGTATATGTGTGTCATTGAAATGTGTGAAAAATGTGAAATGTATTTATGTGTGTGTGAATGAAATGTGTGTGTGTGAAATGTATGTGTGTGTGTCCTGTGTGTGTGAAATGTATGTGTGTGTGTCCTGTGTGTGTGAAATGTATGTGTGTGTCCTGTGTGTGTGAAATGTATGTATGTGTCCTCTGAATGAAATGTGTGTGAAAAGTATGTGAAATGTACATGTGTTCTGTGTGTGCCTTTGTGTGAAATGTACATATCTTCTGTGTGTGAAATTATGTGTGTGTGAAAGGTATGTGTGTGAAAGGTATGTGTGTTGTTGTGTGTGTGTGAAAGGTATGTGTGTGAAAGGTATGTGTGTTCTGTGTGTGAAATGTATGTGTGTTCTGTGTGAAATATATGTGTGTATATTTCAGCACGCCGTCGTGCAGCAGCCAGGAAGATGAAGCAGTTGAAAGGGGAAGAAACAGATGATGACAACAACGAGCTAAATGATGAAGACCTTCTGTCAGATCTCAGTGGTTTCCCAGGTAATACACACCTTTGTTCCAATTAATACTACCATGCGTAATGTTTACCTTCCGCTCAGACGACTTTATAAGCTGTAATGTCTCATTCTACATATTCCTGTTCCTATTAATTCATCCAAATAATGTTTATGATGATTGTTTTTCCAGGAAATAGAATAGGAAGAAATGCTAAAAACCGCAAATTAAATGGCAGATGTGGATCATTTTGGAGAGCTGAGAAAAGATTCAGGTATGTTCTAGATATGGCTCAGGTCAACCTAGATCCCAGGCTATTTACTCTGTCTCAGTAGGGATTGTAAAGTCCGGGTGAAAAGACAGCCCCACAATCACTGACATGCACTTAATAACTAACATTGTGTTTACAATACCTTATATATGTACAATCGCAACTATGTATATATGTATAAATCCAGCTGATATGGGAGATATGGCCTTTGATAATTTGCCTTATATACAGAGCCACTATATTCTGCATAGAGTTGTCATAGAACTAACACATTATTTCACTGAGCAATTGGGGTGGTGGGGTAGCCTAGTGGTTAAAGTGCTGGCTCGTCACGCTGAAGACGCTGAGTTCGATTCCCCACATGGGTACAATGTGTGAAGCCCATTTCTGGTGTTCCCCGCCGTGATGTTGCTGGAAAATTGCTAAAAGCGGTGTAAAACCAAATTCACTCACTCATTTATTGAGCAGTTGCTGTGTGCATTCATGTACACATGGAAATATTACTTCAACACAATGAATATACTTCACAAACATTGAAGAAAACAACCTTTAATACAACCTATATAACTCTATCTCACATATATGATATCTTTAATATACAGGCAATGCAGAACAATCAAATTCTTTTCAGATTTTCTATTCGCAAGTTAGTGAAGAGCCAAGCGTTCTACTGGATTGTGATCGTGCTGGTGTTCCTCAACACAGTGTGTGTGGCCTCTGAACACTACGGCCAACCGGACTGGCACTCTGACTTCTTATGTGAGTCAACTGTAGTCTGGGTCTGGGGATTCAGTACAGGAATATAGGTATCAGTACCTGGGGATTCAGTACAGGGATAAAGGTATCAGTATCTGGGGATTCAGTACAGGGATATAGGTATCAGTACCTGGGGATTCAGTACAGGGATATAGGTATCAGTACCTGGGGATTCAGTACAGGGATATAGGTATCAGTACCTGGGGATTCAGTACAGGGATATAGGTATCAGTACTGGGGAATTCAGTACAGGGATATAGGTATCAGTACCTGGGGATTCAGTACAGGGATATAGGTATCAGTACCTGGGATTCAGTACAGGGATATAGGTATCAGTACCTGGGGATTCAGTACAGGGATATAGGTATCAGTACCTGGGGATTCAGTACAGGGATATCAGTACAGGGTATCAGTACCTGGGGATTCAGTACAGGGATATAGGTATCAGTACCTCAGGGGAGGTTCAGTGGGGACAGGGATATAGGTATCAGTACCTGGGGATTCAGTACAGGGATATAGGTATCAGTACCTGGGGATTCAGTACAGGGATATAGGTATCAGTACCTGGGGATTCAGTACAGGGATATAGGTATCAGTACCTGGGGATTCAGTACAGGGATATAGGTATCAGTATCAGTACCTGGGGATGTTCAGTACAGGGATATAGGTATCAGTACCTGGGGATTCAGTACAGGGATAAATGTATCAGTACCTGGGGATTCTACAGGGATATATATGGGGGAGTTCAGTACAGGGATATATGTATCAGTACCTGGGGGGATTCAGTACAGGGATAAATATGTATCAGTTCAGTACAGGTATATATGTATCAGTACCTGGGGATTCAGTACAGGGATATAGGTATCAGTACCTGGGGATTCAGTACAGGGATATAGGTATCAGTACCTGGGGATTCAGTACAGGGATATAGGTATCAGTACCTGGGGATTCAGTACAGGGATAAATGTATCAGTACCTGGGGATTCAGTACAGGGATATAGGTATCAGTACCTGGGGATTCAGTACAGGGATATGTATCAGGTATCAGGTACCTGGTATCATACCTGGGGATTCAGTACAGGGATATAGGTATCAGTACCTGGGGATTCAGTACAGGGATATAGGTATCAGTACCTGGGGATTCAGTACAGGGATATACCTTGGGGTATCAGTACCTGGGGATTCAGTACAGGGATGTATAGGTATCAGTACCTGGGGATTCAGTACAGGGATATATGTATCAGTACCTGGGGGAGGTATCTCAGTACCTGGATTCATACAGGGATATAGGTATTCAGTACAGTACCTGGGGATTCAGTACAGGGGATGGGTATCAGGTATCAGTACCTAGGGGGAGGTATCAGTACCTTCAAGTACAGGGATATAGGTATCAGTACCTGGGGATTCAGTACAGGGATATAGGTATCAGTACCTGGGGATACAGGGATATAGTACAGTACCTGGGGATTCAATTACAGGGATATAGGTATCAGTACCTGGGGATTCAGTACAGGGATATAGGTATCAGTACCTGGGGATTCTGTACAGGGAGGTATCAGTACAGGGATATAGGTATCAGTATCTCAGTACAGTACAGGGATTCAGTACCTGGGGATTCAGTACAGGGATAAATGTATCAGTACCTGAGGATTCAGTACAGGGATATATGTATCAGTACCTGGGGATTCAGTACAGGGATATAGGTATCAGTACCTGGGGATTCAGTACAGGGATATAGGTATCAGTACCTGGGGATTCAGTACAGGGATACAGGGATGTAGGTATCAGCACCTTGGGATTCAGTACAGGAATATAGGTATCAGTACCTGGGGATTCAGTATAAGGAAGTATCATGTATAGGTGTTAGTACATTCTGAGATGTTTAAGCTTTCCAGATGAAGAATGTTGTCCTCAGATAAATGCTTGTGGTTAAAGGGAGGTAAACCTTTTACAAACCTAGATCTTATTCAGATGACCATTGTGAATACTGCAAGTGCATAATTCACAAGTATATCAGTTACACCTGGCAGATGAACAATGAAAACAATTAACATTATTGAATGTTCCTTGTGTTCTTGTAGATTACATGGAGTTCATGTTCCTGGCTCTCTTCATCTCCGAGATGTTCATCAAGATGTACGGACTAGGTGTGCGTGTCTATTTCAGATCGTCTTTCAACATCTTTGACTGTGTGGTAAGTGCAACCACCTGTTTGGAACAGTACAAACTCAAATCTCATATGTGAACCATATTGATAAAAGTTAATTGTAACTGTCAACATAATGGCTTAAATAAAAATGTTGAAAGAATACTTCAAAGCGTTTGATGTCTGTCTGATGAAACCCTAAAATGTGACCATATGTCCCCATGGTCCCTAGTATGGTGACCTACCTTCAGTTGTTGGCATCAATAAGCCTGCTTTTATATTGTGTTGTCCTCTATAGTTAAAATGTTTTAGATTTAATTACTGGTTTTATGTTTCTATCTGTGTTAATCTAGTTATTTCACTGTCCATTGTCGACAGGTTTTGGTAATTTATAACTCTTTAAGTCACGATATGGCTGAAATATTGCCGATATGATTATAAATCTTAACTCACACCCGTGAAGGTCTGGGTTAGAATGAACCTTAAGTAACCCATGCTTGTCGTAAGAGGTGACTAACGGGATCGGGTGGTCAGGCTTCCTGGCTTGGTTGACACATGTCATCGGTTCCAAATTGTGCAGATTGCAATTGAACAGCTCATGCTGTTGATCACTGGATTGTCTGGTCCAGGCTCAATTATTTACAGACCGCCGCTATGTAGCTGGAATATTGCTGAGTGCGGCATAAAACTAAACTCACTCCCTCCCTCCCTCCCTCTTTATAAACTCACTCTCACTCACTCAATTCTGACCAGTTTGAGTGGCAGTTGTACAAGCATGTTGATATTTGTGTCTCCAGGTCATCGTAGGTAGCATCATAGAAGTGGTATGGTCCTGGTTCAAGTCTGGATCCTTCGGTATCAGTGTGCTCAGAGCTCTTAGGCTGCTGAGGATCTTCAAAGTCACAAGGTAGGTAATGGTAAAAAAACCAGATACCTAGAAGTTCAAGAACTCTTGCAGTATGTGAAAGTTACGCTGGTCCTGTGGTCCCTGACTAGTAAAAATTCATCAGGACCACTAAATGATAAGTTTGCAGTGGTGGCCAGTGATTTTTTGACCATCTTAATAATGAAAATTGTCTTTAAATTAAAAACGTGAGATCGTATATTTTAGCATGGATTCAAGTAAAGTAATATTCGCAAGAGGAAGTGCATTGGAACAGGAACCAGTTTTACATTCGCATTCACTCGTCAAGCCACTCCAACTCAATCGTGTATTTCCGCCGATGATACCGATATGATATTGGCCCGAGGATAGCAAAATAAAACGTACACTCCGAATGCAACCATATCACGTGATCTGTCGAGATTTTGACAGTAGGATTTTCAGTCATTCTGTCTTTAAAATGTAAATTTCAATTATATATGTTGGCATTGGAATAAAACAATCAAACATTAACAGTCTGTCATTAGTCTGATTAGTAATAGTTTTAATAGTTGAGTAGATTTACGAATATTATTTTGGATCAGTTAAGTACAGATCGGACCGCTAATTATTGTCCACTCACTGGTCCTGTGGTCTAGTGGGATAATTTGTATGGTTTCGAACACTGCTCTCAAGTATAAGCAGCACTGAGGTGGACAATACACAGTTAATGTACTTACCGAGTATAAGTTTTAAGTTTTCATGTCCATCTGTATGTACACCTCTGTACAAGCAAATAAATATCTGGCACCTGCAATTTGTAAATATTTTAAGAGAGGTGATTCGCAGGTATATGAACATTTGTGTTTCTCTATGGAGCTAGTGTGAAAGAATATTTGATTGCCATCACAAAACTGCTACAATGAGTTGAAAGAGAGTTAACTCAAGTCCTACTCCACATCACTGTTTGCCATGACTTGTTGTACAGGTACTGGGCATCTCTGCGGAACCTGGTCATCTCCCTCCTCAGCAGTATGAGATCCATCGTGTCACTCCTCTTCCTGCTGTTCTTGTTCATCCTCATCTTCGCCTTGCTTGGGATGCAGTTGTTTGGAGGAGAGTAAGTCATTCATGCCACGGCTTCCTCATAAGTATCAACTTTTTGAACATCTAGCACAGTAAGTCATTCATGCACACCATGGATAGATCTGCTATCAATGAACATCTAGCACACCATGGATAGATCTGCTATCAATGAACATCTAGCACACCATGGATAGATCTGCTATCAATGAACATCTAGCACACCATGGATAGATCTGCTATCCATGAACATCTAGCACACCATGGATAGATCTTCTGATGTATACTGAATCCTTTGTCCACTAGAAGTCTGTATTCTATAGCTCCTGACCCTGTAACCCGTGAACATCCAGGTTAGAATTGATCTTCAGTAACCCATGCTTGTCGTAAGAGGCGACTCATGGGATCGGGTGGTCAGACTCGCTGCCTTGGTTGACACATGTCATCATATCCCAATTGCATAGATCGTTGCTCATGCTGTTGATCACTGGATTGTCTGGTCCAGACCCAATTATTTACAGACCGCCACCATAGAGCTGGAATATAGCTGAGTGGGCGTAAAACTAAACTAAAGGCTTTGCTATAGCTCATGTAACACCCAGTAAATGAAGTTGTCTTGAATTTGTGATGCCATTTTATTCCCTAATTTAATTTAATTCTGTAATTAATTAATAATGTGTCATATGTACCTCTGCAATAGTTTTTTTTATTTTTATTAGTAATTGAAGTTTACAAATCCTATTTATATTATTTCAGAATGAACTTTCCATCGGGGAGGCCGTCGTCACATTTTGATACTTTCCCCATCGCACTTCTTACAGTGTTCCAGGTGAGACTGCATCACACTCTTGTACTGCCAAATAGATTCTTATAGAAACTCTTTTAATCATGACAGAAATTGCAGACTTTTTATTTAAGATGTGACGGAAAATTTACGCGAGATACATTCCCTGTAACGAAATAAACATGACAAAGTATTTTGAAGTGGGCCAATGTCCTGCGAGACTGCAAACGATAGTACAACAATGTCTTACAACTCACCTCTGTGGTCAAGGGGAGATAATCCAACAGTTTCTCCAGCATGATTGATTCTAGGAAACAGCTGTTTTGAATTTAATCATTATTCTTGTTCGCTATCTGTAACTTTATGATAACTTAGAACTTTGCTGTATAGCACCGTGCCTATTTGTAGGATGACATGTTGTAGAAAGAAACGTAGCTGTCTTAGAAACTTATTGTGTTTGGGTACTTGCTGCTAGATAGACTGTCAGTTAATGAATTAATTCATATTTGCTACAACCAGTGCAATTGACTTTAGATAATATAAGAAACTTCTAATATTAAAGGACTGCGTCATACCAAAAGACGTTAAAATATGGTACTTGTTGGTCCCTGCCTGGCACTCGGCATTAATGGGTACAACAAGGACTAGTCGGCTCGGAGTCAGTATAATGTGTCTGAGTGGGGTATTCATGCTTCACTGCGGCATGGTAGCTCAGTGGGCTAGCACTATAAAACCAGCTTAAATCTGGGCTGGTACAAGCAGCTGCACATCCACATACACACGCATGCACGTCGTCATATGAGCGAAATATTCTCAAGCACAACGTTAAACCCAATTTCACTTCACCTCACCTCTAATATTAAAGAATGTCATGGCTATATTTGGAAATTTGAAACTTATGCATTGTGTATTTCAGATTCTGACAGGGGAGGACTGGAATGAGGTGATGTACAACGGCATCCGAGCTCATGGTGGGACGGAATCGGGCATGATATTCTCGTTGTATTTCATTATACTGGTGCTATTTGGTAACTGTATCCTTCACACAGTAAACACTCACATGTAGGGCACGCTGTGTCCTGTGGCAATACTTACACACACATATCACATTCTTTGCCATGTTTAACACTGAGTTATTAGTCAGAGTGAGTGTGTGTGGTTTTACGCCGCTTTTAGCAATATTCCAGCAATAGAGAGTGAGTGAGTGGGTTTGGTTTTACACCGCTTTTAGCAATATTCCAGCAATATCACGGCAGGGGGACACCAGAAATAGGCTTCACACATTGTACCCATGTGGGGAATCGAACCCGCGTCTTTGGCATGACAACCAATGCTTTAACCACTAGGCTACCCCACTGTCCCAGATTAGTCAGAGCTCTAGTTTTTTTCGTAAACTCTGTTACAGGGTGACATTTTTAGAGTTGATCTGAAGACTTCACAACTTGGGACCACTTATTTCAAACATTGAACACAAGCTGGCTGTCTTGGTCCCCAGGAACCCATGAAGATCCGGATTAGAATTGATCTTCAGTAACCCATGCTTGTCGTAAGAGGCGACTCATGGGATCGGGTGGTCAGGCTCGCTGACTTGGTTGACACATGTCATCGGTTCCCAATTGCGCACATCGATGCTCATGCTGTTGATCACTGGATTGTCTGGTCCAGACTCGATTATTTACAGACCGCCGCTATATAACTGGAATAATGCTGAGTGCTGCGTAAAACTAAACTCAGTCACTCACTCACTCACTTGGTCCCCAGATGCCCACATTGTGGTAGACCATTGTAATTCACAGGACCATGACAACATTGATGCTTAAAGAAAATTATGATGAATAATTGGAACTGAAGCTATTGGAAAAACAATGTAAACAAGACCGTGTCCGCAGTTGGGTGAGTGCTTCACGGAGTCTGTAGTGTTGTAGACCTTGACAGAGCTCTCCAGATACACTGCTGAACGTGTTCTTGGCCATCGCTGTGGACAACTTGGCCAATGCCCAGGAGCTGACCGCTGCAGAGGAAGAGCAGGCAGAAGAAGAGAACATGGTACGTACAGGCTGACCTAGGGTTCCTTGTCTGGGGCTGTTGTACAAAGAAGTCTTCACACTACGGTGATCGTACATCAGGATACAGTTTTTGAGAAAGGGGGGTGCACTGTTTTGAAGAGGGGGGTATTTTTGCACAGTTCATTCTCACCCGTTTTCACGAGAGTTTCAATGGTCATTAAATAAACTTTCAGGACAAAAGGAGGGGGTGCGCACCCCTGCACCTCCCCCGCTCGATCCGCCTATGCATGCCTGAAGATGGTAACTAAGTCCTCAGTAATGCAGGAAATATTCCTCAATTACAATCACCGCAGTTGCCACAATGCACTGTGCAGATTTATCTCCCCTTACTCATGCCCGGTAGGTTTGAATCCATTGTTAGATCCACATTCATTATGTTTCTAGGTTTGTCAGCACCAAACCATTGTTTGTGAGTTTCACCATAGTTGTCAGACAGTTTCCTCACTTTAAGCTGACATCCCATAATTAAACCCCTTTCTTACTGTAATATCTTGTTGATCAGCGGAGAGAAGAGCGGGAGAAGGCAGAGGCTGCAGAGCTGTTGGCCGGTCAAGCTCCCCCACAGGTCAACATCTGTCCCCCCTCACCACAGAACAATGAGGATGGGAAGACAGGCAACTTCAACTAGTCAGTATTTTACCTCATTTACTCAATTACACCACAATTAATGTACTTTGACGTAATATAAGAGCTTTGTTTTGTCAAAAAAAGTCCATTAAAATATACCAGCTTTATCATTACTATTAAGTATTGCATGAAGATATTATGATTTAGTATTACTAAAAGCTACAACTAGTAAGTATTATATCAAGAATCAAAAGTAGAAGCAGTTATTTGGTTCCTTTAGTCAACAATTAATCAAATTTCTGTATTTAAGAAATGAACGGATGATAGTTCTTACCTTATCACTTCATAACATTGGATAGGTATATACATTATTTCAATAGATACTTCTGCTTACCAATATCAATTATTCCCGAAACATTTTGATCATGATAAAACATGTTGCCTTTGTCGATCATTGTGACTATATTCAACCTAATTCCAGCACACTCTTTGTTTCAATTATGTCATCTTCCTTGCCTTGCACAGAAGCACAAGACCAATATTTGCCAGTTATTCAAACAATCCAAATTCTAGACAGAATTCTTTACTGTGGCTGTCATTTCTGAAAGGCAATACATTCAAAATATGTGACTGATAAATATTGAAGATCAAGAGTTTTGTCTAGTCAAAGAGTGGATCATCAAAATTGGACACATTCCTGCCTATCCTTGGACAGATCCAGTTAAAATAAAACCCTGCACAGGCACAAGATTAATTCTGGATGCAAAACATGTCATCTTTGGATATAAAGAAAAACGAAATGATGTATTAAACCTGATTTTCATCGGAACAAAATACTATATATATGCAAAGAGATGTTCTAATTCCACAGTTTGTTGGATTAAAATATTACCTACACACCCTGTATGAAATTGACAAATTTACTACCTTTTCGCACTGTAACTACGGTAATTCTTCACCTTTTTTTGGTCATCTTGCCATAACTTCTTCATATAAATTACAATAACAATGTGTTCTTCTGGCCTTGTATCACCCTACCGATTATCTACCACCCGTGTCCATACTTTGTGCATTTACATGTACCACAAACACAACAATTAAGTACCCATCATAAAGTGATATAAAAAAACAACAACCTGCATCTACTCATAAGGCCAGAGGAATTTTATTTCTTGTTTTACGGATCCGCCGGCCGTATTTTTTTAAGAATAAGAAAAAAAATTAAAATTCATTTTCGCCAATCAAAAAATAAAATCCCCATGTTTTTATTGGCCAAAAATGTAAATTACAACAAAAAAAAAAATTTGATTGTTTTTTGCCCCATATACACTTCATAAATTGCCAAAAATGAAATACTTTTAGTATTTAAAAGGAATATTACTTTGACTGGTGATTTTTATTTTGTATTTTTTTCCCTCCTGCCTTTAGGTTTTCTGAGGACAAAAATCCGTAAAACAAGAAATGAAATTGGTCTGGCCTAACCACACCTTTTTCTGACACAAAACTGAAAATGGTAATCCAGCCTTCACATTAGCAAGCAGTATATTTTGGCTAGTAGAAAAACTTATTCAATACAAACCCTTGTGTTGTTCCCGTTAGTTTCTGACAAACAAAATCACACCATTTTTTTCAACTGAAAGCTGTTTCCAAAACCCACTTGTTTTCCGTCTTCGGAGTGAGTGAGTTTAGTTTTATGTTGCTTTAAGCAATATTCCATCAATATCACAGCAGGGGAAACCAGAAATGGGCTTCACACATTGTACCCATGTAGGGGATCGAACCCGGGTATTTGGCATGATGAGCGAACGCTTTAACTACCTGGCTACCCCACAGCCCCTTTTTCTATCTTAGCGACACATATATCCATGATATGAATTAGGTTGAATATTCAATGCACAATTTTATCTATTATCTAATGCATCATATAAATTGAAACAAGCTTACACTAGATATGTCTCCATATAGAATTGTTAAAATATAAGCCTTATTTCTTAACAAAGTATTTATGGGGCGCGGTGGGCGAGCTGGCTAAGGCGCCAGGCTAGTGATCCAGTGAGGTTGAGGTGTCGGGATCGAGCCCACCCGTGACCGGGTGTAAAAACCTTGGAGTCAACTTTGTGTGCAGACTCTTTCAGTGTTGTCACAACCCCTAGTGTACAGTACACAACCCTGTGCACTTAAAAGAACCCACGAATCCGTTGGTATTTGACCAGATGGTGGCCACATGAATACGTGCAAACACCTAGTTGCAGGTACAGCAACGTGCAGTGAACATGGACAAAGTACTGTGACAATGTGTCCCAGTCCACCCAGCTGTGAATGGGTACCTCGTTAGGATGAGAAAGTCACAATAACTCGGTGCGCCTAGTGGCTGCAAGAGTTGTATACTCCCCAGAGAGTTGAGATTGATAATGCGATGTGCCGTTGAGATTGACATCCAATTATCGAGGGGAAAAAGTACCAGCGCCTTGAGCATGCACTAGTGCGTGGATATGTGCGCTATATAAATATCCTATAATAATAATAATAATAATTTGCTGCTGTTGTTTGACATTATCGTTACATGTTTCTATAGTTTCTTGTAGCTAGTCTGTCTCTGCAATCGCCACTGTTTCTCTCCCTCATATGACCTTTGACCTCCTATTGCAACACCAGCATTAATTTCAGTAGTGGGAATCGTATTGACATCAATCTCCGTCAGAACAACCTCAAGGACAATCGAGACAAACAAATCCATGTAAACCTGGCCAACAATCTGGACGACGATGATGACAATGGTGAGTTGCACATGTGCCAGTTTCTTGTCTATTTCTCCACCATTTCCATGTTGTGTACGACTAGCTTGGTGGTAGTGCCTGCCATGTACATAATAATAGTAGCTGCCATCAAAACTCTACAGTTGTATACAGATGTAATTGTATTTATAAACATATATATTCACACTAATGGTTTTACTTTTTGTGAGGGATGACTCTCAGCCAGAATGGTCCAATCTTTGCAATATTTCTTTGAATAAATAACTTTCCAATTTATATGTTGAAATAATGTAGTTAAGTTTACTTTGGATTAAATTTAATGGAGTTTCCATGGTAACTTAATTTTGATTCAGCGGTATTGGATAGAAGTTCTTGTGATCTTGAGACCAGTTTAGCCTGAAATGAATTATGTAGATCAGCGATTGTTCAAATGCATCTGTCCTACTTTAAAAATTAGAATTTGCTTATGTGCTGTGCTCTATGTATTAGTAATAACATCCAAGTCTGAAATTTATCGGACAACATATGCATGAGCAGAACAAATATGTACTAGTAATCATTATCATCCTTTCAAATAAATTGATTATATTATTTTCACGATCTATCATCTAATGTAAAATGTCCAATATCTTTGATGAATGATAATATCATAGCATGAATGGAATACTTCATCAGGATAACTGGCTAAACTTACTAGCAGAGAAGCTTTTGCTTTCCAGTGATAGTGCTTGCCTCTGTTTTAGGCACTACTGGCTGATCTGTCAACATTTTGCTATGTAGAATATATAAATATGTATATTGGCCTTTCTAACCAGTACAGTTAAACCATGTTACACCTGACACATACTTTTTGTCAGAAGGTCATCGATATTTTCTTTTCATGAATAACAATCATCGGTGTGTCATATCTCGACATCCCTTACTGTGATTGTCCAAAATGTTAATTTTCTTGACCAATATGATCCGGAGTAACAAGGTTTCTGGGTATTTTCAGAGGTTTTCTTGCATGTATTACAACTGTTAGTTTTCTGTTCATTTCATGTACAAACAATAGCCAGCAGTACATGTCTGATGTATGTTTAATGGTCTACAATAATTCAATCTTGGTCCGCTATTTCAGCTAAAAATAAAAGTCCATACAAAGGAGGTAACGCCTGCCTTTTCATTGATTTCTTTTTTTGGTGATGGAACTGAGAGTTGTCTCCCTTTGGGACTCAGAAATGTAATTGCAAGTTAAACAAAACATGAAATGTGGAATATATATCTCATGTTAGTCTTTGCAACCAGTTTATAATTGACATTGATTTTTGAAGTCAATAGGGAGGCAACTCATAAAAAAGATAACATTGAAATCATGCCTGTTTTGCATTGAAATTAGCATGGAGTGACATTTTTATTCAGCCATTAAATCCATTAGATAACTACTTTAAGAATGTATTTAGCAGAATATCAGGCATGAATAGAACTGAACAAACTGCAGTTTCAACAGAAATCATTTATCCTTAGTTGAATCCAGTGAATGGTTTAAGAAGGTAATGACTGAATATTATCTTAATTCTCGCTCTGAAAAAAGTGTGACATTAACATTTGTATTGTGCCTGGACTTATCTCAGTAGTTATTTGGAGTAGGGTGGGTCTGAGACATTAGCATGTAGGTTTCAGAAGCCCTTAGACTCTGAACACAGAGCGTACCATATTCCATGTATTCAGCACTTCCTTCTTAACAATAACTCTCTGTTAGGAATTTGTAACATGCAGAGGGCCACCCCGACCCTTCCGGTCAACGTTGTTGTCTTTTTAAACGTTTTTTGCTATGAGCTGTATATTTTTCGAGCAATGCTTCAGTCAGGTGCGTCACGATATGGCTCAAATATTGCCGATGTGATTCTAAATATTAAATCACTCACTCAGTCAGATGATATATGTTCATTGACTGTTTTGTGTGGTTTGGAACCAGTCTTCCTAATTCACACGCTGCGGTTTCCTAATAAGTGCCCTTTTTTGGATTTAATTAGCTAAGTACCAGGGGTGCTAAATATATAGAGTATGAATAGAATAGAATATGGTATTTCTTTCCAGAATAGAACTGTCAGATTTATGTACCATGCACGCTGCAAATAGCTGTAAAATTGCTGATGCGGCATAAACATTTTTCACTTACTCACTGTGTAACATGCAATCTACACTAATGATGATTCAAATATATATTTGTGTGCATCCCCCTTGCCTTGTGATGTTATAAACATATTATTCTCAATTTGTATGCATATAGGACACAATATTTTGTGTCAAATCGAGCCCTGGTAAATCCTTCTTTATCTCTTTTTGTGTGTAAACCTTATGTAATATGATAAAACAGTTCCCAACACCTGGGTTCTTGAGTCAATATCAGAAATCAAACCCAGGCATATTGATAATTTTTGCAAGTAAAACAATGACTGTTTCTACTAAAACATTCAATACAATGTTAACATTAACTTTACTGATCTAATTCAATTCAAATTCAATTGTGAATTTGCTAAAAGTGGATTTTGTAATGATATTTGCTATATTTTATTTACCAGTATCTACAGCATGTTACTTGATCTTTAAATCTATAAATATATTTTAGTAAACTATGTTCTAAAAATAGCATGGTCATGAACATTTATGTATTTAAAGAACTGTAGACTGCCTGCAAATTCAATACTTTGCATCTTGTCAAAATTGTTTGTTCCATTCTTATTCAGTTTAACATTTTGAGCTTAATTGTATTACAGAAATGGAACCTGAAGATAAGGTTCAAAATACTGAGAACAATATAGATAATAAAGGAGGTAAAACATTTCCTTGCTTCATCCCACCGCCATTCTCATTTTTTCAGTTTTATTCCCATTCCAACCACATCTCAAGTCAGACTAGATACATCAGTTTTCACCAGCTGTAGCATTAAACCTGCTGCAGCGTATTTAGCGTGATGCAGACCAACTTGGTGAATTAAATCTAGAGTATTAGACACAAAACGCAAGAAAAAACTCTCCTGTTAACTTGTTTTGAATCTATCATACTAACCAGACTGATTATTCTCTTTTACATTCCAATATACTAACAGTTATCAAATCTAAGATGCAATTTTCTGTGCATACTGGTAATACTGCACTCAGAGTGTTGGATATGAAGCATGTAGTTATTCCCTCTTGAAGTCCCTCTTTATATACTTTTATTGAGGTTAAGGGTACTAATCTTTAGGTACCTGGTTGTATGTAGTATATAGGGGCAATACAGGTATGTGTAACATGGGGATGGCCTCCGTGCTCTACTATATCGAGCAGAAGGCCGGTGGTTCAGTGCTTCGACAAATGTTTAAATATGGTAATTGTTGTAACCTTGCCTAGCACATGGCATTGGGAATATATAACAAGGATTGGTCAGCTCCAAGTCTGCTAAATGTGTTTGAGTATGGCATTCATGTATTCATGTTAAGAAAACTGTATAGTAACTTGGTGGGATGGCACCCTAAATCGGCATTAGTCCTGATAAGTACACACACGCACATGCTGAAAAAAAAATGCACATCGCTTTGTAAGTGCAATAATCTTTAGCGCGATGGTTGACCCAGTTTCACCTCATGTGGCACGTGACAGTGCAGGTGGATAAAGTGTGCAGTCATTCTCATTTGACAATCCATACCTACTCTAACCAATATGGATTTCGGCATTTGAATTTCTTAGATTCCCTTTCTTACATTTGAGAATTCTTTTGGAATGATTTACTTTTATATTATTACCAGTTTTGATCACTTTAGGATTATGGAAAGTGTTGTAGCAGGAAGCAGCAGTAGTGTCCAGGGAGTGTGTGATAGTGTTTACCTGCATGTTCTGGTGGTGGTGGAGGAGATTGACATGTGAGCATGAAGGCTGTCCAGTGGCAAACAGCCTAGCTGCTGTAGGCTTCAGGGACAGACTTGACTCACAGGGCTTTAATGGTCAGAGTCGGGGAGCGTTAATTTAGCTAGGAACCCACGCTTGACAAAAATCAATGTAACTGTTGGATTTCAATAATGAGGTATTGAAAGTGTGTTACTCCACTAAGGTAATGAAAATAAGGTACCAGCATTGAAAATGTATTGCACAGCTATATGTACTGTACTAGGAAAATTACATGACTGAGTGCTGTGACATGCCACCTTAGCTGTTGACAATAGGAGGGACATGACATCTCAGCTGTTGACATCAGGAGTGACATGACATCTCAGCTGTTGACATCAGGAGTGACATGACACCTCAATTGATAGCAGTAGTGACATGGCACCTCAGTAGATAGCAGTAGTGACATGACACCTCAGCTGTTGTCATCAGTAGTGACATGACACCTCAGTTGGTAGCAGTAGTGACATGACACCTCAGTTGAAAGCAGTAGTGACATGACACCTCAGCTGTTTATATCAGTAGCGATGTGACACTTCAGCTGTTGATATCAGTAGTGACATGACACCTCAGCTGTTGATATCAGTAGTGATGTGACACCTCAGCTGTTTATATCAGTAGTGACATGACACCTCACCTGTTGTCATCAGTAGTGACATGACACCTCACCTGTTGTCATCAGTAGTGACATGACACCTCACCTGTTGTCATCAGTAGTGACATGACACCTCACCTGTTGTAGTTTCAGTAGTGATATCAGTAGTGATGTGACACCTCACCTGATGTCAGTAGTGACATGACACCTCACCAGTTGTCATCAGTAGTGACGTGACACCTCACCTGTTGTCATCAGTAGTGACATGACACCTCAGTTGATATCAGTAGTGACATGACACCTCAGCTGTTGATATCAGTAGTCATGTGACACCTCAACTGTTGTCATCAGGAGTGACGTGACACCTCAGCTGTTGTCATCAGTAGTGACCTGACATGTGTGTTGATGTGATGTAACATGTGCAGTATGTATTACAGCAAGTACTACCAGTGACAGCACCATTGACATTCGTCCCCACACACAGCATCAGGAAGAGAACGCCTTCGGAAGCCCCAAACCCATGTTGCCATACAGCTCAATGTTCATCTTCGGACCAACAAATCCGTACGTTTTAGATTTGCATTTGCTTCTTACCTCAGCACAGAGATCAACTAAATTAAGCGTCCAGAGAATCAACATGAGTACAGCAACTCAGTGATAATTCATGCCCACCTTTCAGCTTCAGTTCATAGAAAAATATAGAACCACCATCATTATTTATAAAATTTGCTTTTGTTACTGGTAACTTTTTTATAAAGTTACTTTGTAATTTCAACATTTTTGTACAGAAGATATACTGCCATATAAATTCAGAGATGCCAACCACTCCGATTTTGGAGGAGTTACTCCGATTTTCAAATACAAAATCCACTCTCCGATTTGTCTATAAAAACTCAAATATGATTTTTTTAGAAAACACAAATATGTTTATAAATTTAGAATATTTGGAAGAATTTTAGTAAATAGCCATTTAGATATGTTCATTTAAGTTAAGTATTATCTGGTTAAGTATGCCCAGAAATTTCATATTTCCAGGCAACATCTAAAGATTTTTCATAAGGGAGGCCCCCCAGACCCCCACCATCAAAAGGGGCCCCTCTCACGCTCAACCCCCAACTCTCGCACCGTCAGGGCTCGGGAATTGCTTTTATGCAAGGCATGACTCCGCTTTCATTTGATTCAGGGTTGGCATCTCTGTAAATTCCTAGAGCTAATTATTGTGAGTTGTTATTCTTGATATGAGAACTCGGAAAGCGTAGAAGGATGTCTGACAATGTTTTTTTGTGTTGCAGTATACGTCGATTCTGTCACTTCGTGGTGAACCTGCGCTACTTTGACCTGTTCATCATGATTGTCATCTGTGCCAGTAGTGTTGCTCTAGCAGCCGAGGACCCTGTCAATGAGGGCAGCTTCCGCAACATCATCCTCAACTACTTCGACTTTGTCTTCACTGGAGTCTTTACCATAGAAATGATACTGAAGGTAAGTCCTGTACAGCGGAAAGTACATGCTTGAGATCCAGTGTAAGTGGCTGTTACTTTTGTTTTAATAATAATAAGGGCATTTGTAATGCGCCCGAATTCCGCACCACGGAGGGGCACGCTCAAAGCTCTACAATCTGATTATCATTACCCCAGATAGGTAGAAGATTGACTTATCCCACCAGGTACCCATTTTCTGGGTGAACAGAGGCAAATTTGAACAAACTCATTTGCCTAAGGTGAGACCACATGTATCACATGTGCTTCGTTGTTGGGCGGGACTGAAGTCCCAGAAACTCTCAGGAGTCAAGCTGCGGTCACCCATCCAAGGACTCTCTTGGACCACCCAACGTTGCTTAACTTCAACTGATTTGTGTGCTGAGCTCAACGCACAGGACCACCACTCATTGAAATTCACTGTCCTATGTGAAGCTACATAAAAAAAACACTGACTACTCATTCATCCTTTTCAAATATGGATTTCAAGGATCTGGGGCTCCTTTCACGAAGCAATAATTACTAAGGTTAACCTTAATTCCCATTTCTTTAACATTGCACTGATGTTACTCTAGTGACTTACAATCACCATAGTGCTTTGTGACAGGAGTAACTGTACTATAGGGAATGAAATTATGTTGGAAGGTGTTAATCCCTCAGGGCAGTAGGACCAAGCATGGCTTCCTTTCCTTTACAGAGTTGTCCCCCTTAGGTACATCAGAAACCGATGATAGTCAGCGAGCCTAACCACCGAACCCGTTAGTTGCCTCTTACGACAAGCATGGGTTACTGAATACCAATTCTAACCCGGGATATTCATGGGTCTCTCACTGCAAATAGGCATTAAACCCAACTCACTCACTCCCAAGGTACTTCAGTTCTGACTTTTTGTTTTGTGTATGTTGCAGGTGATAGATTTGGGAGTGCTTCTCCACCCTGGCTCATACTGTAGAGATTTGTGGAATATCCTCGACGCCACTGTCGTCATCTGTGCCTTGGTTGCCTTCGCTTTCAGGTAAAAAACATAACAAGCCGATCTACCTTAGCTGGGATATACCAGACACATTGCAGCTGCAAACTTGATCCAGATTACACAACTCCACATTTTCCAGAAAGAAATATTCTCTAACCTTTCAGTGTGTTATTTGCGCAACCTGCGAATGTTTTTTTCTTTCATGTTGTGCCTATGTGGTTTCTATGTTGTGCCACAACACAGAAGCCCCCAGCAGGCCAAGGCAGCTGATGCTGTCAATAGTGGTGGGATATTGTGCTGTGTCAGCATTGTCTCGACATAGGTAGTGTTGTCATGTTGTCATGTTGTCATGGTACAGTGAAGCATGGCATCGCTTGTGTATGTAGACTCGTCCGCAGATTCCTAAAGCCTACCTTTTAGATTCTCATTGGAAAGTTTTAATAGGTGTGTCCTTAGATTCCTAAAGCCTACATCACAGGCTCTCATTGGAAAGTTTTAATAGGTGTGTCCTTAGATTCCTAAAGCCTACCTTTTAGATTCTCATTGGAAAGTTTTAATAGGTGTGTCCGCAGATTCCTAAAGCTTACTTTTCAGGCTCTCATTGGAAAGTTTTAATAGGTGTGTCCTTAGATTCCTAAAGCCTACCTTTTAGATTCTCATTGGAAAGTTTTAATAGGTGTGTCCGCAGATTCCTAAAGCATCAGGCTCTCATTGGAAAGTTTTAATAGGTGTGTCCTCAGATTCCTAAAGCCTACATCACAGGCTCTCATTGGAAAGTTTTAATAGGTGTGTCCGCAGATTCCTAAAGCTTACTTTTCAGGCTCTCATTGGAAAGTTTTAATAGGTGTGTCCTCAGATTCCTAAAGCCTACATCACAGGCTCTCATTGGAAAGTTTTAATAGGTGTGTCCTCAGATTCCTAAAGCTTACTTTTCAGGCTCTCATTGGAAAGTTTTAATAGGTGTGTCCTCAGATTCCTAAAGCTTACTTTTCAGGCTCTCATTGGAAAGTTTTAATAGGTGTGTCCTCAGATTCCTAAAGCTTACTTTTCAGGCTCTCATAGGAAAGTTTTAATAGGTGTGTCCTCAGATTCCTAAAGCCTACATTACAGGCTCTCATTGGGAATTTTTAATAGGTGTGTCAAGTTATTGTTCAGAAACAAATAAATTCATTATCATGATGCAAGCACTTAGCACTTATGCTACCTTCATGAAACATCTTTTTTGTAAGGTAATTGACATTTTTTTCATTCATGCATTCTGTTAGTGAACACTGGTAACACAATGATTGTGCATGAGTAGGGCATTGTTGTCCTCATTTGAATGCAAGATTGAGAATGTTAGGTTTGTAGGAATATTACTTAAACACCTAATCTGTTGGAATGTGGGGCTATTCTATCACCAGTGCAGCTACGGTGAGCCTTAGTTGTATTACATGAGAAGTAGTTCACAGGTTTAGACACTAGTAGATACATCACCATTTTTGTTGAAGGACAATAAAGTTATGTAATATCCTTGAAGAAGGAGAAGATTGATAGAACAATCAACAGCCAAGTATATGTCCCACATGATGGGTAGGGAATCATGTTGTACCCATGATAGTTGACTAGGGACCTTAGGATGTTGTATGACTATTGTGTTGTATACCGCCGTTGTATCATCAGTACATTTGTATTGTTGGTTTTGTTATTTGTGGTGATGATGTTGTCTTGAACAAATCAAAATACCATATATCAATGACAAAAAGGGGTTTAGTATTAAAAATATTTAATATTGTGATACAAACCTCAGACAAATTTGAAATCAATAAGTTACATAAGTATTGCTGTCAACGACGTTTGCACTATTATCAGTGTTAACAAGTACACCAACATGACACTAGTGTTGACAGTAGCACTGACATGACACCTATGTTGACAGAAGCACTGACATGACACAACAACAATGTTGACAGGAGCACTGACATGACACAAATGTTGGCAGTAGGACTGACACAACAACAATGTTGACAGTAGCACTGACATGACACAAATGTTGACAGTAGCACTGAAATTACACAATTGTTGACAGTAGGACTGACACAACAACAATATTGAAAGTAGGACTGACATGACACCAATGATGACAGAAGGACTGACAAAACACCAGTGTTCACAGTAGGTCTGACATGACACCAATGTTGACAATAGCTCCGACATGACACCAGTGTTGACAGTAGGACTGACATGACACCAATGTTGACATTAGCTCTGACATGACATCAATGTTGACAGTAGCACTGACACGACACCAGTGTTGACAGTAGCACTGACAGGACACCAGTGTTGACAGTAGCACTGACATGACACCAGTGTTGACAGTAGCACTGACAGGACACCAGTGTTGATAGTAGCACTGACATGACACCAGTGTTGACAGTAGCACTGACAGGACACCAGTGTTGACAGTAGCAACGACATGACACCAGTGTTGACAGTAGCACTGACAGGACACCAGTGTTGACAGTAGCAACGACATGACGCCAGTGTTGACAGTAGCACTGACACGACACCAATGTTGTCAGTAGCACTGACATGACACCAGTATTGACAGTAGCACTGACAATGTTGTCAGTCACTAAGCACTGACATGACACCAGTGTTGTCAGCAGCACTGACACAACACCAGTGTTGACAGTAGGACTGATATGACACCAATGTTGAAACCAATTTAGTTGTCACTTGACACTGTTTGATAGATTGTTGTGACTTTTGAAAATCCTGACTCTGTCATTGATATGATGATGTTTTACGCAATATGTGGTACATCAGTTTGCACAGCAAAATTTTCAGTGTGTCTGTGTACGGTGAAATTACAGCAACTTAGCTGGTAATAACCCGTAACATTCTGACACCAGGTGTCAAACCGTGATATAACATTCAGCATACACAAGGCTTGGCTATTGATGCTTGTTGGTTTGTGTTCTGGAATTCAACCTCAGTGCTAAGATTGACATAAATTCTGTGATGTTCCAATACTGGGGAGCAAAAATCATAGCGCTAAGGTAGAAATGGTATACATATATAAAATGGTTGTGAAAATGTGTGTACATGTATCTGTTTAGATGTGTTTGTAAATCAACACATTGTCATCATCTGTGAATATTGAAAAATCTATTATTAAAAGTAGCATAAAGATAAATAATATAACACGAACCATTGACAGGATAATTGCTGATAAGGTGATAAATGAGAGTGTGATAATGCATGTTTGCAAAGTGTTGCTTCTTGATGCATTTTTGACCATATTTTGACATTTCTTAAACATTGTAAAATTAATATATATGCATTTAATGCTTGCTTAACATGAATGAAATATCGTAACAAAATATTTGGAATGCTACAAATATTTATACAAAATAGCATTAGATGGTTTGATGTGAATTACCAATTGAATTCAGTAGTGTTATACTTCTCGATAGAAGTAAGTTTGTACATCTGACGTGAGTCACATTTGATGACGATGTTGCGGGTGAGGCCGTGTTTGTCCTGATGCTTGCTGTGATGTGCCAGTCAGCCATGTTGACCACAGCCCACACAGTGACGCAGCCAACACCAAACGTTGGCATGCTTCAGAAAGAGAAGAACTTTAATAACTCAACAAATAATTTCTTCCAACAATCTGTGCTTGTTCAACTTGGGCTTATGCTTATAATCGACTCTTAACCAATAATGACTATATCATCTGATATCTTAACATCTCATTTTACTCTCATAGTACTCAGATAACAATGCATTCCTCTCTCACACTACTCATACTGTCCAATTATGCATACTCTCTCATGCTGATCGTATTATTTGATAACATTTCATTCACTCACTCTCAGAGTACTCACACTACCTGATAACAATTTATTTGTTTTCATATTCCTCACATTAACTGATAACACCTCATTAATTCTCACACCACTGATACTAAATGATAACAAGTAATTCACTTTTACACCACTGAATAACAACTTAATCTCTCTCATACTACTTGCAGTATCACTCTCTCTCACACCACTCACACTGTCAACTCTCACATCATCAACACTCACACTGTCAACTCTCACACCACTCACACTGTCAACTCTCATACTACTCATACTGTCAACTCTCACACCACTCACACTGTCAACTTTCACACCACTCACACTGTCAACTCTCACACCACTCACTGTCAACTCTCACACTGTCAATTTTCACACCACTCACACTGTCAACTCTCACACTGTCAACTCTCACACCACTCACACTGTCAACACTCACACTGTCAGCTCTCACACCACTCACTGTCAACTCTCACCCCACTCACATTGTCAACTCTCACACTGTCAACTCTCACACTGTCAACTCTCACACCACTCACGCTGTCAACTCTCACACCACTCACACTGTCAACTCTCACACCACTCACACTGTCAACTTTCACACCACTCACACTGTCAACATTCACACTGTCAACTCTCACACTCACACTGTCAACTCTCACACTGTACTCTCACACCACCCACGCTGTCAACTCTCACACCACTCACGCTGTCAACTCTCACCACTCTGTCAGCTTTCACACTACTGCTGTCATTCACTGCCACACCACTCACACTGTACTCTCACACCGCTCACATCAACTCTCACACCACTCACACTGTCAACTCTCACACTGCCATTCAATGCCAACACTCACTTATCACACTATCAACTCTCACATCACTCACACTATCAACTCTCACACTAATCACACTATCAACTCTTACACTACACCATTCACTGTCAAATCTCACACTACTCACACTATCAACTCACCTTAATCACTTATCACACTTCAGCTCAATTTCTCTCTCTCACTCTTCGCTCACACAAACTAAGGGCTCAGATAAAATCACAAATGTCAGCAAATTCACACATTTTTACGATGAAATATTTCAACAATCCAATATGATTTTCAAGCATTTGCAAATTGCAAATCCCTACCTAAAGCTGGCTATGGCCATCAATCTTTACTTGGGGGCTGTGAGGAAACAGATTGATGTGACACATGCTGTGGACCACTGCTTGAAGTAGCGTGTGAAGTTGCTGGCACAGTGTTTGTTCGTGGTCTTTCTATTGTATTGTATGTTGATGTCAGTACTCTTTGTGTACAGTTCGAGTGAGCAACAGGGGTGAGTGGTCCTTTCACTGACTTACTGGAAGGGGATCTACACGGAACCTTACATCCACACTGAACCAAGAGAAATACTCAAATTTCAAAAAATCAGTTAAAACAAATCCATTGTTGTACATCCTATCAAACCATGTACAAGAAGAATTTTTTTTTTTTTCAGTTTTCAGATATTTTCATATTTGATTAAATATCAAATATTTTAAATAATTGTGATCGTTTTACGCTGACAACTTTTCTGGGTATTTGAAAGCGTTGGTTCAGTGTGGACATAACCAAATCCTTGTTTTCGTCAAGCGGTGGCAGTGAATCCCTGGGTGAAGAGTTTGGAGGCAGCATGGTGCCAAGCTTCAGCTGGTTGGTTATCTGAGTACTATAAGCTGCAGGATGTGCCTAGACGTGGTGGAGTCAGTGTTGTACAAAACAGACAATCATCATTGCCATTAAACATCATGATAGCTACATCCCTCCCTCACAGCAGTCAACCATTTCTTAGTGATTGTTTCTTTGGGGATGGGGAGGGGTTTTTTTTATTTCTTTTTGTAGTAGAATTGAGGAGGGACTTATTTGGGTTGGATTTATTTTATTCAGGATGTTCTAGACTGTGTTTAATGATTCTTCTTTGTAGGATACATTGCAGTTTTAGTTTTTTACCTAATATTCTTTTAGTACAAGAGTGTTTATTTCCTGCTGTGAATCCAATACCTATCATGATGTTTTTCATTTGTCATACATGTTTATATTCATTGAATTATTTTAGAAGACAATATCAGCTCTTATAGAAATAGGCCAGAAGATATTTCTTTCTTCCTTTCCATAACACTAACCTTTTTATAAGAATAATTCCTTTTTTCCAACTGATTTTTGGTTTCTCCTTGTAATTCCCATTCAAGGCTAAACAATAGGATCCTAGCAGCAGCTTGTGTTGTATGTCTAAATGAGAATATAGTATATGTATCACCTTCCATATCTTCTGTCAAAACCTCACTGCAGCTACATGGGATGCTGACAATGTAGAACTGCTGGTTTTCTAAATCCAACTTGTACATCTGGTACAGACGAAATATACTGAGGTAAAAAAATAAGGGATCACATGAAAGCACAAGTGTTCCCTTATTTTTTTCAGGTTTCTTCACAATCTATGTGATACAAAGCTTGTGAAGAAACCTTGGGAAAAAATAAAGGAACACTTGTCCTTTCAGGTGATCCCTTATTTTTTTCCCTCAGTATATAAGCACAATAAGTCTACTCATGACTAAATTTTTGTAATGACACTGAAAAGACAATTTTAAGTTTATTAATGCCATAAGATAAATGTCTGTCAACGTCATTGCCTAAAGAAAGCACATGACAGGTTGACAGAAGTCAACAATGCTGTAGATGTTTTGTTCAACCTGATGAGCTTTGGTTGTAAAAACGGCCCTTTCAGTCTAGTATCTACGTCAACACATTGACACTGACTGTACTGTATTCTCAATTAGAATAAACTATGTTTCTTATGTATTATTCATGAGCCTACTTCTGTAGGTGATATTCTTTATGCATAAATAAAATGACCTTTGATGTTTTAATGATTCTCTTATAAGTTAAATGGCAATCTATTGGCCTGTCTGTACGATACTGATCATTTCGACTGATTTATCATAATAATGGTAATGGTTTTTGAAAATATTCTAAAGTTCATACAGGTAAATAAAGGCATATTTTAGTATTCGAAACAACAATTAGAAATAGTAAATAAATATTGTTTTATTTTCTCAACTCCTTATAATGACTCCTTTTTCTGGTTTCAACTTTTTCCGTTTCTGTCCCTTTATTTCTGCTTCTTTATCGAGAAGCGAAATCACTAAAACATGCCTTTTATTGGAATCTGTCATCTATGCAACTTCAGCCCAGTCTGTTATAGTTTCAGCCCTGGTTCTCAACTATTATACTAGAAATCTCTATTAGTACCTTCTGCTGTTTCTTTCAGAATTCAGATTACGTTAACGTAAATATAATCTTAGCATGTTATTGTAAATATTAATTTTTCGTGTACATTTTATTCACATGATTAGCCCCTGAATGTTTAGATATTGATCTGTAGTTTGTGGAATTTCTTCTGCATTTCTACCTTCGGCTGGCTTTGGACTTCTGGAGAGAATATATAATTATTTATATATCTCTCTTCATGCGATATGCTCAATTTTGGTTACTGAGCAGATGCACTTCTTTTGTGTAATGCAAAGGGCACAGTTCACATTATTTAGCCCTTTGGAAGGGATATCCACGTTTTGTCCCTTGAACATACTAGACGACTTCAGTTGTTTCACCGTGGTGGCTGTACATATATCGCCTCTAGTGGCAATCAACGCATTGACGGTATACTGTTTGCCATATACCCATGTGTATTACATTTACTGTTATGATGGTGTTTTTACATGAATTTCTTGTTTGATTCTATCGTTCATGCGATACTTTCTCAATGCATTGTGTTTCACTGTAAATATGTGCCAATTTTGTCACCTTTTTATAAGAGTTTTATTATCTTTGGAGATTGACACCCATTTTCTGTTAGCTCGTATATCATGTACACTGTATATATTGACAGTGGGAAATGGGGGTTGACCAACATTTTGAAAAATCATCACTTAATAATATTTTGAACATAATATTCGAAAATTTACTTCGATATGTCATTATGAATTCATTTTGGTTATTTTTATTTTGCATTTGTGAAATTTTCTTTGAAATTGACATCCCATTCAAAATTGATGCATGTACATTTTGTTTCTTGCCTCCACTTTCTACAGGGTGTACATTGCTAATGTCAGAGCAAGCAAGTCTATAAGCACTGCACGACATGCGTAACTCGGTGATGGTTTGCCATTGACATGTACATGTAATGCACATTACAAAAGTATGCACATTGATTAATCTCAGGAATGTTTTATATCATTTCAATTTTAAATAGTTCAATCAACTATTCAATGAATTTCAACAATTATCACTCAAGTGTTAGAGCTTTCAGTATGTTCGTTTCTAGATGTAGTAGAAGATGGAATTGCACGTCTCTTTCAAACAATTTATTTCCTATATAAAACTAAGATGCTATGAGGAACACTGCTTGGTAGGAACAATTTGAACATAAAGAAGCATTTCTCTGTTGATAAACTCACTTTTCACAAAATTGTACAATGTATATAGATACTCTTTAGCATAGATGTAATAGTATAGAGATTAAGTTCCTTGAGCACTTAAATAGGATGATGATCTTGCAGTCAGCATGCAATGTACCTACTATCTCAAGTGCAAGTAATGAAATAGCATGAAATGTGTCACTTTAAGAATAAGATGAATTCTTGCAAATAACATGAGTGCATAATCTCGCATCCTCGGGATGCATGATCTGTCAACAATCGTATATGCATCGCGCCACAACAGTGATCATTCCGACACTATGTGCATCTTGTACATTTAACCATGAAATGAACATCTTACACACTTTTTGTAACTTTCAGGGGAGACAATGCAGGCAAAAATCTGAACACCATCAAGTCACTGAGAGTTTTGAGGGTTTTACGACCTCTTAAAACAATTAACAGGGTTCCCAAGTTGAAGGTTAGTCTTGTGACAGGTAGCAGTGAGGAAGGTAATACCTAGCTGGCGTTGTGTTCCCAGGGTGTGCACACATGCCCACTCGTTCGCCCAGCTCTCTGACACATTTCATCATTCTTTAGGAAATTTATACATAATTTTTACTAATTTACATATTTCTATGTAGAACCAATCATTTCCATTTTGTTACAGGGTTACGATGTGAGCACCAGTTGTCTTCATGTATTTTCAGTGATCCATTCGTATTTTGCTCACGATATTAATTACACCCAATATATTCTTACTGTCATATTTCTTAGCTTAGTCATGCAAATCCATTCTTGTAGAAATCTGAAATTCAATGTTGCTGAACAAAATAGATGTCCAAACAAATTTGTTATTCTTTTAATTAACAGAAATTCTGTACAGCTATTTTCTGAGTGACTGTATCAATGCCATTTTTGTCTGATGGAGTTACTCCTTGTTTTCAGGCGGTATTTGACTGTGTCGTTCATTCTCTGAAGAATGTATCCAATATCCTCATCGTGTACGCATTGTTTCAATTCATCTTCGCTGTTATCGCTGTGCAACTGTTTAAAGGGAAGTTCTTCTACTGCACTGATGAGTCCAAAGCTACCAAGGATGAGTGCCAGTAAGGACCAGTCTCTGGCTCATAACCCTCTACTGTCACAAACCACAAAGTCTCGCACTAATAAACCCCCAACCTTTTAACATAGATCCTCAAGTCTGGCACACATGCTAGCAGACTCCTGACTCTCTGACACACAGACCTGTTCATCACAGCCCTAGTTCTCACATGCAGACCTGTTCATCACAGCCCTAGTTCTCACATGCAGACCTGTTCATCACAGCCCTAGTTCTCACATACAGACCTCTCAGTCCCTGGACGTCTAGGTCATTCACACATAGACCTGTAATTTCATGGTGGTGACACCAGAAATGGGCTTCACACATTGTACCCTGTGGGGAATCGAACCCGGGTCTTCAGTGTGATGAACAAACACTACACTACCATCTTGTAGACCTGTACATCTCTCACACATAGGCCTGTAAGTCTCTCACACATTGACCGGTAATTCTCTCACACATTGACCTGTAATTCTCTCACACATTGACCTGTAATTCTCTCACACATTGTCCTGTAATTCTCTCACACATTGACCTGTAATTCTCTCACACATTGACCTGTAATTCTCTCACACATTGACCAGTAATTCTCTCACACATAGGCCTGTAATTCTCTTACACATTGACCTGTCATTATCTCACACATTGACCGGTAATTCTATCACACATTGACCGGTAATTCTCTCACACATTGACCTGCAATTCTCTCACACATAGCCCTGTAATTCTCTCACACATTGACCTGTAATTCTCTAACACATTGGCCTGTAATTCTCTCACACATTGGCCTGTAATTCTCTCACACATTGACCTGTAATTCTCTCACACATTGACCTGTAATTTCCTTCACACATTGACCTGTAATTATCTCACACATTGACCTGTAATTCTCTCACACATTGACCTGTAATTCTCTCACACATTGACCTGTAATTATCTCACACATTGACCTGTAATTCTCTCACACATTGACCTGTAAGTCCCTCACACATTGACCTGTAAGTCTCTCACACATTGACCTGTAATTCTCTCACACATTGACCTGTAATTATCTCGCACATTGACCTGTAATTCTCTCACACATTGACCTGTAATTATCTCACACATTGACCTGTAATTCTCTCACACATTGACCTGTAATTCCCTCACACATTGGTCTGTAAGTCTCTCACACATTGACCTGTAATTCTCTCACACATTGACCTGTAATTATCTCACACATTGACCTGTAATTTCCTTCACACATTGACCTGTAATTATCTCACACATTGACCGGTAATTCTCTCACACATTGACCCGGTAATTATCACACATTGACCTGTAATTTTCTCGCACATTGACCTGTAATTATCTCACACATTGACCTGAATTATCTCACACATTGACCTGTAAGTCTCTCACACATTGACCTGAATTCTCTCACACATTGACCTGTAATTATCTCACACATTGACCTGTAATTCTCTCACACATTGACCTGTAATTTTCTCACACATTGACCTGAATTATCTCACACATTGACCTGAATTATCTCACACATTGACCTGTAAGTCTCTCACACATTGACCTGAATTATCTCACACATTGACCTGAATTATCTCACACATTGACCTGTAATTCTCTCACACATTAACTTGTAATTCTCTCACACATTGACCTGTAATTCTCTCACACATTGACCTGTAATTCTCTCATATTGACCTGTAATTCTCTCACATATTGACCTGTAATTTTTTTCACATATTGACCTGTAATTCTCTCACACATTGACCTGTAATTCTCACGGTATAAGTCTCTCACACAAAGACCTGTATATCTCCAACATTAAGACCTGTAAACCAGTCACAATTTGACAAGTGACTCTCTCACACCTTGTAGTCGCTCACACATAGATCCTAAAGTGAGTACATGCAATAATTACCATTTCAGACATGTTTCTCAGTAGTTGTGTCTTACCTTTTACTCTCAATTTTTTGTAAAGAGAATGTAATGCATGGAAGTGGTATATGATATGAAAAACAGACATCCCAGCTAACAATTTCACGTTGTCACAACATCGTCACAATGTTATAATTCGTTGTTACAACATTATTCTATGGACTGCTATTTACGTTGTCACAACATTGTGGCCTAACATTGTCATAAGTCATTTTTACATCACCACAAGGTAAACATTATTTGATACTAACGTGTTTACGTCGTCTTAACGTTCTATTTAATGTTAATGCTTGAATAGTTTTCCCAGTAGTGAACAGTACATAAGAAACAAAGCTGAAATTCACTTCAATGTTTATTCGTCAATTTGCAGGTTGTTTTTGTTGTGTTTTCTGAAGCTGTAGCTGAATAGTGAAGAATGAATCTCAAAGTAAAAAGTTATAAAAAAACGTTGTGAGGAGCCCAAAGCATAAGGTTTCCTCAACGTAAATTTGTAACGTTGTTAATATGTTGTGACATAGTGTTAAAAAATGACACATAATCATAGGCGGATCCAGAAAGATGTGGGTGGGGGGGTGCACACACACCTTTTGTCCTGAAAGTCCTTTTGTCATTGAAACTCGCGTGAAAATGAAGCGCACACACACACACTTTCTCAAAAAGCTGTATCCACCCCTGGTAATCTGGTAATACTGATGGTATGACAACGTTGTGTCTTGACGTTACCTTCCCACAGAGTTGTGAAAACGTTGTGTGTTAGCTGGGATGTATTGTGAGGAATGCTATATGTCTGAAGACACGTTATGGTTGTATGACATACTGAGGTACAGATGAGTTGTGTGTACAGGGGTCAGTACTTTGACTATGATGGAGGGGAAGTGCCCACGGTGAAGGATCGGGAATGGCTACGACAGGAGTTCCACTACGATGACATCGCAATGGCCATGCTGACTCTGTTCACCGTCACAACAGGAGAAGGATGGCCAGGGTATGGAGAAAAACATGCAGGAAGTGCCTGTCTATTTCATAATTGTATTTGGATTCACAATTAATGGATATGTGTAAATTCTCTTTGAATATCAACAATATTTATGGTATGTATTTATCACTCTTGACTTACATCTTTAGAAGATATCTAGAATGTTCCATGTTGGAGTCTTGGCTATGAAGATGAAAAGTATTTAATCTCCAGGCAATCACTTTTCAAGAAGTGGTGCAGGGTAAATTCTGGCATCTTCTATGAAGAATTGATTTTTGATTTCATTGGAGGTGGAAGTACATGTAAACCTCGCAGGATCTAATGCGTTGCTAGTACAAGTGTTCCTATTGTTTCTGTTCAATTCCTTCACAAACTTATTTCGATTTTATGATGTGTAAGTTTTTTGTATGTTTTGTAAATGAACACACCTTTCCACTGTTGATAAATATTTGTATGCTGAAGTATTGCATATGTGTATGTTACAGTATCTTGAAGCATTCAATGGACTCAACTACAGAGAATCATGGTCCCCAGCCAGGCTATAGTATGGAGATGGCTGTTTTCTATGTGGTCTTCTTCATTGTGTTCCCTTTCTTCTTCGTCAATATCTTTGTTGCCTTGATCATCATCACATTCCAGGAACAGGGAGAGAATGAGCTCATTGACCAAGATCTAGACAAGAATCAGGTAAGTCATCTCGCTCAATGACTCTGGCAGGAAGTGGACTGTTTTGGTCACCAATCATAACTTAAACTCCTGTAAAACCTGTTTGGGCATAGCTATCATTCACCATATCATCATAGTCATCTTCATGTGTCCTACTTATGCACATAGAAAATGGATGTCTGTCTGCAGAAAACATGGAGGAGTGAGTTTAGTTTTACACCGCACTCAGCAATATTCCAGCTATATGGTGGTGGTCTGTAAATAAATTAATCTGGACCAGACAATCCTGTGATCAACAGCATGAGCATTAATCTACGCAATTGGGAACCGATGACATGTGTCAACCAAGTCAGTGAGCCTGACAACCTGATCCTGTTAGTCGGCTCTTACGACAAGCATGGGTTACTGAAGATCATTTATAACCCGGATCTTCATGAGTCACATGGAGGATGTTTGCAAAGTTCATTTATTTCAATCATTGCTGCTGATCGGTTGAAGCTGCTCATAATTCAACATTCACCATCACTTTTGTTTACATATCATATTTAATACATCGTTAGTGTTTTTGTTTTGTTTCTGTTGTATTTTTAGTTTTGTCTAACCCTGTCCCAGGTGAGATTGCCTGCATGTGAAGATAACTCAACCATGTATTGTCATAAGAAAAATATACCATTCTACCAAGACATTATAGAATCCTGGGTTCTGCCTTATCTGCTAGTGGTACTGAATCTCTAGTAGACCATGAGTTTGTAGTTCACCACATTAACAGGAAAGAAAATATTCATTGAGAAGCCCTTTCTTCCCAATTTGGCAAGATCAAACACACATCTGGCTTCTTGAAGGTAGTTAAAACAGGTGTTCCTAGCTGTGTCTCTGAATTTGCCCTCTCAATCAGTTCAACCAATTCCACATGACTTGCTGGTTCTGTTGGCGCCAGAGAGTTTGCATCAGCACTGTCATTGCGTCATGGAATGATTAAGATAAACCAACTGTGTTTCCAATATGGAGGTCTCAAACATTGATGTGAAACCTGTATTTTTTTCAAATTTAAACCCATGGCAATAGCATGTTTTTTCAAATTTGAAAACCTGACGGTTGTTTGCTGTACATTAGAAAACTCTGCATTGAAACACGATCGGTTTTTTCTTTTAATTGTTCTGTCATTTGTTTGATGTGAGATGAAGATAAAAGTCATCTCCTCCACGTCCATATGACATGAAACCCTTGAAGATCCGGGTCAGAATTGATCTCTAGTAACCCATGCTTGTCTTAAGAGGCAACTAACTGGATTGGGTGGTCAGGCTCGCAGACTTGGTTGACACATGTCATCGTATCCCAATTCCGTAGATCGATGCTCATGCTGTTGATCACTGGATTGTCTGGTCCAGACTCGATGTTTTACAGACCGCCACAATATAGCTGGAATATTGCTGAATGTGGCTTAAAACTAAAGTCGCTCACTCACTCACTCATATGACATGACATTAAGACTGAAATATGGACATCCTGTGCATCTGAAATGTCGATTTCAGAGAACGTTTAAGATAGCATTGTTAGTGTGATGTGAACTGAGGCCAAATGTTTAACTGTTATGAAATGATGATGTATACAATAGTTCCATGGTTAGCATGAAATGAAGTTAAAAAATCTCTGAAATAAGGCCAGACCAAATTTATTTCTTGTTTTACGGATCTGCCGGTCATATTTTTTCAAGAATAAGAAAAAAAAAAATAGAAATTAATTTTCTCCACTCAAAAAATAAAATCCTAATGTTAATGTGATAAAATCAGTGTGAAGCCTAAACGCACTCAACTTATTTTTAGTTGATATAAACAAACCAAAAGAGTTAACATGGAAACTCATGTGGGTTGTTGCTTTAGGTTTTGTGAGGACAAGAATCCGTGAAACAAGAAATAAAATTGGTCTGGCCTATTGCAAAAATGAAAACAAAACAATCCTTCGTGTGTTTGCATGAAATGAACTTCAATGGGCAGCATGAAACAAAGTGAATAGAAAAACAGTCCTTCAACTGTTGGCATGATATAAAATGAAGATAAAAAGAATATTTAACTTGTTAACATGAAATGAAGATAAAACAATTCTTCAATTGATGGCATGATATAAAATGAAGATAAAAAGAATCCTTCAATGGCTAGCATGAAATGAAGATAAAACAATTCCTCAATTGATGGCATGATGTAAAATGAAGATAAAAAGAATATTTAACTTGTTAGCATGAAATGAAGATAAAACAATTCCTCAATTAATGGCATGATATAAAATGAAGATAAAAAGAATATTAAACTTGTTAACATGAAATGAAGATAAAACAATTCCTCAATTGATGGCATGATATAAAATGAAGATAAAAAGAATATTTAACTTGTTAGCATGAAATGAAGATAAAACAATGAAGATATAAAATAAAACAATTCCTCAATTGTTCAGAAATGAAGATAAAACAATTCCTCAATTCAGGAAACGAATTAGCATTAGAGTAAAATGAAGAATATATACAAATCCTTCAACTCTTAGCATGAAATACAGAATAGAAACATTACTTCAACTGTTAGCATGAAATACAGAATGGAAATAACACTTCAATTGTTTGCATGAAATACGGAATAGAAACAATCCTTCAATTGTTAGCATAACTGTTAGCATGAAATACAGAATAGAAACAATACTTTAACAGTTAGTATGAAATACAGAATGGAAATAATACTATAACTGTTAGCATGAAATACAGAACAGAAACAATACTTTAACTGTTAGCATAAAATACAGAATATAAACAATACTTTAACTGTTAGCATGAAATACAGAACGGAAATAATACTTCAACTGTTAGCATGAAATACAGAATGGAAATAATACTTCAACTGTTAGCATGAAATACAGAACAGAAACAATACTTTAACTGTTAGCATGAAATACAGTACTGAAACAGCCCTTCAACAGATAGCATGAAATACAGAATAGAAACAATACTTTAACTGTTAGCATGAAATACAGAATGGAAACAATACTTTAACTGTTAGCATGAAATACAGAATTGAAATAATACTTCAATTGTTAGCATGAAATACAGAATGGAAACAATCCTTCAACTGTTAGCATGAAATACAGAATAGAAACATTACTTCAACTGTTAGCATGAAATACAGAATGGAAATAATACTTCAATTGTTAGCATGAAATACAGAATAGAAACAATCCTTCAATTGTTAGCATAAAATACAGAATAGAAACAATACTTTAACTGTTAGCATGAAATACAGAATAGAAACAATGCTTTAACTGTTAGCATGAAATACAGAATAGAAACAATACTTTAACTGTTAGCATGAAATACAGAATAGAAACAATACTTTAACTGTTAGCATGAAATACAGAATGGAAACAATACTTCAACTGTTAGCATGAAATACAGAATAGAAACAATACTTCAATTGTTAGCATAAAATACAGAATAGAAACAATACTTTAACTGTTAGCATGAAATACAGAATAGAAACAATACTTTAACTGTTAGCATGAAATACAGAATAGAAACAATACTTTAACTGTTAGCATGAAATACAGAATAGAAACAATACTTTAACTGTTAGCATGAAATACAGAATGAAGAAACAATACTTTAACTGTTAGCATGAAATACAGAACAGAAACAATGAAATAATTCAACTGTTAGCATGAAATACAGAATTGAAAAATACTATGCTTCAACTGTTAGCATGAAATACAGAATGAAACAATACTTTAACTGTTAGAAGTATGAAATACAGAATAGAAACAATACTTTAACTGTTAGCATGAAATACAGAATAGAAACAATACTTTAACTGTTAGCATGAAATACAGAATAGAAACAATACTTTAACTGTTAGCATGAAATACAGAATAGAAACAATACTTTAACTGTTAGCATGAAATACAGAATAGAAACAATACTTTAACTGTTAGCATGAAATACAGAATGGAAATAATACTTTAACTGTTAGCATGAAATACAGAATAGAAACAATACTTTACAGAATAGAAACAATCCTTCAATTGTTAGCAGAAATACAGGAGAAACAATACTTTAACTGTTAGCATGAAATACAGAATAGAAACAATACTTTAACTGTTAGCATGAAATACAGAATAGAAACAATACTTTAACTGTTAGCATGAAATACAGAATTGAAATAATACTTCAATTGTTAGCATGAAATACAGAATGAAAACAATACTTTAACTGTTAGCATGAAATACAGAATGAAAACAATGCTTTAACTGTTAGCATGAAATACAGAATGGAAACAATACTTTAACTGTTAGCATGAAATACAGAATGGAAATAATACTTCAACTGTTAGCATGAAATACAGAATAGAAACAATACTTTAACTGTTAGCATGAAATACAGAATAGAAACAATACTTTAACTGTTAGCATGATATACAGAATGGAAATAATACTTCAATTGTTAGCATGAAATACAGAATAGAAACAATCCTTCAACTGTTAGCATGAAATACAGAATAGAAACAATACTTTAACTGTTAGCATGAAATACAGAATAGAAACAATCCTTCAACTGTTAGCATGAAATACAGAATAGAAACAATGCTTTAACTGTTAGCATGAAATACAGAATAGAAACAATCCTTCAACTGTTAGCATGAAATAAAGAATGGAAACAATACTTTAACTGTTAGCATGAAATACAGAATGGAAATAATACTTCAACTGTTAGCATAAAATACAGAATTGAAACAATACTTCAACTGTTAGCATGAAGTAAACTGAAGAAAGAAACAATCCTTCAACTGTTAAGAATTCATTTCATTGTTCTCATTTACATAATAATAATATGGCAATAAGTTTTCCTTTTGACACTATAACATATTCATGACTCATGCTATTCATTACTGATAATAGAAATGTATCCTATCTATCAGTGAAACATGGTCAAACTTGCACTTGCCTTCAAATGATAAATTCACAATTTGCTACAAATGGTTTTTGTTTTTCAGAAACAATGTATAGACTTTGCTATCCACGCTAAACCTCAGAGTAGGTTTATGCCCAAGTCCCGAGACTCACTGAAATTCAAAATCTGGAAGCTGGTTGTGTCCACCAAGTTTGAGTATTTCATTATGACGCTGATTGCGTTGAACACAATTGTCCTGATGATGAAGGTGGGTGTACATTTCACTTGTCACATATACAGCTGTTATTTTATGTGGTTAACTCCCCCTTGTGGAGCCCATTGGTGGCTTTGATTTACCAGTAACACATGTAGTCATCATGTCAATTTTTGGCAATATCACATATTTTGTAAATTAGATAACTGCCTTTTGCTCAAGAAGAAAGTAAAAACGAGTGAAATATACCATTAAAAATAAGTAGGGAATATTCCATTTTGCGAGCATACCTTTAGCCAATGCATATGAGAAAAGTAATATATATCCATACAGATGAAACATTTCCAAAGGAATGGAATAAATTGTCACATTTTCCCTAAATTTCTCTTCATCATCTGTTTCCTCCTTGGCTTCAGCATTTGCATTTTATCAATCTTGTAAATCCAATATCCCCTACCTTTTTTGGATGGTATATATTATTATTGCAAGCTGACATTGAATCGGTAACTGCAGATCAAAATGTGTTGTACAAGGGTGAGTTACTGTGTAAATAGCATTAGCTTTCTCTTTCTGAGATCTAATCCATACTCTCAACATTAATACTTTTTGATAAACAATGAATTTATAATGTTTATTGTTTAAAGAGATTATTGTAATATATTTATCATGTTATACATATCAATAAAGAACTATGATAGTTTAGCTGTTGGTGTTTGTGAACATTCTGATGACCAACTTTATGTTCACAGAAAAAAGACAGAAATGTGTGTTTATGTTGAACAAATGAATAACAGTGACATCACAATTTTCTCACCGTCCTTCAGTTTCAATGTTGACATGAATGGAACTTAACTGAGGACTGAATTCTGCTTCTGTACAACATTTTACATTTATTTCACATCCGTTACTTCACTATATGATATATGAAGATTGCATTTTTGAAAATCAAACATGAGGGTATAATTTAAGGTAATTTTTGCCATTTTGGTTGTAAACAGTCTTTACTTCACATTTTGTGAAGCATGAGTTAGAGGAGGATTTTAGAGACATTTTGAAAATGCAATCTTCTGTAAATTAATCAGCTTTGCATTGTTTCAGCACTTTATATGTGAGGCCGCTAGCTATTCTGTCCTCATCATTGATAATATTATGTAGGATGTATTTCAGCTTCTTTGTGTGGGGATAAAAAAATATATTTTAGTATGACCCTTTTGTGAGTGTGGCAGAGAGATAAGAGTCAAGTTCAGGGCCTTAAAGACATTGTATCCATATCATTTAGTGTTGTTAATAGCTGGATTGTTAAGTTATGAATATTGCTTCCTAAAAGATAAACTATTATCAAAGGATATCAGTTATACTTAGAAGAACATTGGAATACTATTGGACTTTGACAAGGCTACAGCGAAATTGTAAAATGTCTCTCTTAAACTATGGATTAATATCTAAAGCTATCTTTCTCCCAACAGTAAAATGCTTTCATTATCACAGTCTTCAAATAACCTGTAAGTCCTGATGTCCTAGTATTCATATATGTCCTAGTCACACATTAAACATTGTAACATATCCTTGTCATACATCAAACATTGTGGCTAGGACAGGTCACACATTAAGCATTGTGGCTAGGACAGGTCACACATTAAGCATTGGGACTAGGACAGGTCATGCATTGAGCATTGGGACTAGGACAGGTCACACATTAAGCATTGTGATAGGACAGGTCACACATTAAGCATTGTGTCTAGGACAGGTCAGACATTAAGCGTTGTGGCTAGGACAGGTCACACATTAAGCATTGTAGCTAGATCAAATCACAGATCCCCACAAGTAACTCATGGAAGAATAGTCGGAATACTAATTTATAACAAAAAAGGAGTCCAAATTGTCACATAATGAAATAAGTGCTGTATGAGCAACTGTTGCTGTTGATGGCAAGCAATCTGTCTACAGTAGGTTCCTAGTACTCCCAGTCCTTGCTGCCGGAGGGAGGAAGTGAGAGTAGTTGTACACCTGTCATTATTGTCTTGTTTGCCAGTACCATGAGCAGGGCAGTCTCTATATGGAGGTGCAGAAATACCTAAACATTGGGTTTACCTGTTGCTTCACCATGGAGTGCGGGCTCAAGATGATAGGGTTTGGACCGCGGGTAAGCCGGACGCGCACAATGACCAGCGCCCCGGGTAGACTAGTCAGCTCCATAACAAACTTCACTTTCATTTTCTCACACATCATGTCGCAAGAACTCAAGGGGGTGTTCACCATACAGAAAATTAAAACAAAAGTTTCTTTCTTGGAATAATTGTTCCACATGAAGTTTTGTAATACCCCCTGTTTTCTTGTTGACTAAGTTTATTTATGAGTGGATGCAGGGATGGGAGCTTTTACAATACCTGTTACTTCCTTGTCTGCAATGGGTCCGACTCCATGATGCCAGATTGGCTAATTTCATCCCATTGCACACAATGCCAGGAAAGAAGTGACAGATATTGTTCCATTTTTCATTGAAATAACCTTTCCTTATGCTTTTGGTCAAAGTTGAATCCTAATTTTGTATCACAAATTCAATTTCTTTGATTTTTGTTCTTAGTGTGATGCACAGATTTTTTTAAAGCCAACTCCACACCAAAAGCATTCGGAATCACATCACATGATTTTCTAATGGGAATGGTTTCTCTATATCTTTGTTTTTCTTTCCCTTTCATTTTGCGTACTTTTGGTTCAGTTCGATCCGGGTCAATCCGCGAGAAGTGCTGAGATTGGGCAGGAAATGGCAGGCGCTCTGTCAATAATTAATGCTGTCTTCACCGTACTGTACACGCTAGAGTTCATACTAAAACTACTAGCTTTTGGAGTCAAGGTTTGAATCTGGCCAATGTCATGTTGTCTGCCCTGTGTTTGTCGTCCAATAAGATTACTTTATTGTTGTGCAAGAACCAATCAAATCCATCATTGTTGTGCAAGAACAAGTCAGATCCATCATTGTTGTGTAATGACTAGTCCAAATTGGTCCAGTGTTGTCCAGTCACGGAGTGTCACCTTATGCAATTTGGCTCACGTTTATGTGTCCCACCTCACAGAAATGCCCATAAACACACCTAGATACACATTGTCTTAATGTTTAAATAAACTTCAAAAGTCATTTTTTAACTTTCTCAAATTTGATAACTTATCATCAGAAAAGGATGATGATTTGGAACGTCTGTGGTAGTTTGTATTGTTTTCAAATTTATTTTGTTTACGTATGATTTCATTATTGCATAGGTGACCTCTGCATGTTCCTTTAACATTGACCCCTGTGAACTTTGACCTTTGTGATCTAATGATTGTTAGTTGCGTACATCGTCTTGTGAGCATTTTCCTATTGTAATTATGCCTTGAAGAGAACATGGTCAAAATTTCTAATACCAAATAATTGATCAGTTACTGAAAATCAAATCAATATTTGTTTACAATCATATCAGCTTCATCGGAAATTTTATAGAGACTGTTTATATTTTTTATATTATATTTTTATTTTTTTCCTTTTAGTATTTGGCCATAATTTCAACAGTAATTTCCTTTTGTGAAAGTGTATGAAACATGGCCACAAACACTTGATTTCTTTTATCAAAACAATGTTTTATCTCAGTGAAAGATCTGTATACAAATTTTATCGCTGATTTATGAAAATTTCAAAAGATATAACATAACAATTAATTAGTATCTCTACAATATCTTTTCAATTTTATAATAATTACTGTATATGAGAAACAAGGCATTTGTGCTCTAGTGGTTGTGTGCAGTGTGAGTTGTCTCCCCTGGTGATGTCTTTGTAGTTCCCTTTAATTATGCTTGATTCTATTATTAGCTGTTTAACTTTGACATATGTGCTTGATATGTATAATCCTTGTACCTGCCATTTTAGAGACAGTATCCCGCCTTCACTTTGACTACTTAGCGAAAACACTTGGGTAGTGCTTTGAAATTGTGTCAGTTTTGGCAGAGTGAATGACATAGAGGCTGTCAGTGTAGATGGTACATTGTAGGTTGTAGAGTTCATGTTGGCTAGTTGGTAATGCAATGTGGTTGTAGATAGCTGTGCATGATGATGTAGATTTCCAAATGACCGTTAATATTTTATGTGTCTCATTATATAATTACTAGTCTTTTTTGTCATGAGAAAACAATCAAGTGAAAGAAATATGATAAACATTGTGTGCATATTGATGGGAAGTTATCTTAATCAATCCACAAGTAAATCATCAGACAGATAAATCTTTCATGATTTAGCATCGTTTCATCAGATATATGTTCAGGAATGGGTAAATTTATAAATATCTTAATCTTAGCTACATGTTCATTATTACTGATAATGGTAGTAGTTTGAAAACGATAAAGTTTTTATAATGTAATCTAACTCATGTGTAATAGCACATGAAACGTCACAAGAAACAGGCCAGTAAAGATGTCCTCTCCATCAGCCAATTAAATTGCAATATTTTCATAATGATTTTTCATCCTTGAATGTGCACCCAAAATATTTGTTTAACCTGCATGACTTTATGCATGAGCTTTTTTAAAGCAAACTTTATTTGAACAATAGGTTTTGCTTCTGAGCATATAAAGAAATAGAAATTAAGAATAATTTCCTGTTTTAGTTGATGTTTCTAGATTAGTATTGGTATGTTCTCCATGTAAAGTAAACAATGCAAATCCTCTGATGTGTCATCTCATCATGTGTCGCTTATAGATCGACATCAGAAGCAAAACAAAGGCATATATTCTTTTCTTAACATTTTGTATTCACGCAGAGTTGATTTTGAAGGTTTTATACTAATCATATTATGTTTCCCTGCTGTAACCAAGTTGTCAGGGATATGGAAACAGATTCGGAGTTTCCATCTGTCCCTAGATATTCTGAAGTCAAACTTTGTAAAAAATAAGAAACAAGTTTTTGTGTGATGTTATAATGTCTTATTGCAACTGTAAATGTTTCCATACATTGCTTCTCTTTGGCGATATGGATGATGTGTATTTGAATTGAAACATAACAATTAAACTTTTTTTCAAATTTAAATATGCAAGCACACAAAGTTTTACATTTTTTTAACTGATTTAATTGAAAATCCATAAGGATAAGTGTGCATATCTGTGAATTTCCAGTGACAGTAATATAAATGCATTATATAAATTTGTAGATGGATTTTGAACAATTATGTCTCTCACAGTATGTTTCTAATCATTGGTTTTGTTTCTATTTTTATAGAACTATTTCCGGGATCCTTGGAACGTGTTTGATTTCATCACAGTACTTGGCAGTATCATTGACGTCCTCATCACACAGTACTCTGTAAGTAGCTGTCAATCAAGTTGCTCAGTGGGGCCTGGGAGGACAGTAAGGCCAGTCTCACACCTGGCACCAATGGTCACTGATTGACCCCTCAGTGTGGTCTGGGAGGACAGTAAGGCCAGTCTCACACCTGGCACCAATGGTCACTGATTGACCCCTCAGTGTGGTCTGGGAGGACAGTAAGGCCAGTCTCACACCTGGCACCAATGGTCACTGATTGACCCCTCAGTGTGGTCTGGGAGGACAGTAAGGCCAGTCTCACACCTGGCACCAATGGTCACTGATTGACCCCACAGTGGGATCTGGGAGGACAGTAAGGCCAGTCTCACACCTGGCACCAATGGTCACTGATTGACCCCTCAGTGTGGTCTGGGAGGACAGTAAGGCCAGTTTCACACCTGGCACCAATGGTCACTGATTGACCCCTCAGTGTGATCTGGGAGGACAGTAAGGCCAGTCTCACACCTGGCACCAATGGTCACTGATTGACCCCTCAGTGTGGTCTGGGAGGACAGTAAGGCCAGTCTCACACCTGGCACCAATGGTCACTGATTGACCCCTCAGTGTGGTCTGGGAGGACAGTAAGGCCAGTCTCACACCTGGCACCAATGGTCACTGATTGACCCCTCAGTGTGATCTGGGAGGACAGTAAGGCCAGTCTCACACCTGGCACCAATGGTCACTGATTGACCCCTCAGTGTGGTCTGGGAGGACAGTAAGGCCAGTCTCACACCTGGCACCAATGGTCACTGATTGACCCCTCAGTGTGGCCTGGGAGGACAGTAAGGCCAGTCTCACACCTGGCACCAATGGTCACTGATTGGCCCTCAAGTGGTATCTTGGAGGACAGTAAGGCCAGTCTCACACCTGGCACCAATGGTCACTGATTGACCCCTCAGTGTGGTATGGGAGGACAGTAAGGCCAGTCTCACACCTGGCACCAATGGTCACTGATTGACCCCTCAGTGTGGTCTGGGAGGACAGTAAGGCCAGTCTCACACCTGGCACCAATGGTCACTGATTGACCCCTCAGTGTGGCCTGGGAGGACAGTAAGGCCAGTCTCACACCTGGCACCAATGGTCACTGATTGACCCCTCAGTGTGGCCTGGGAGGACAGTAAGGCCAGTCTCACACCTGGCACCAATGGTCACTGATTGACCCCTCAGTGTGGTCTGGGAGGACAGTAAGGCCAGTCTCACACCTGGCACCAATGGTCACTGATTGACCCCTCAGTGTGGCCTGGGAGGACAGTAAGGCCAGTCTCACACCTGGCACCAATGGTCACTGATTGGCCCTCAAGTGGTATCTTGGAGGACAGTAAGGCCAGTCTCACACCTGGCACCAATGGTCACTGATTGACCACTCAGTGTGGTCTGGGAGGACAGTAAGGCCAGTCTCACACTTGCACCAGGGATTGACCCCTCAGTGCTCCGTGACTGGTATTTTCAAGATCTGTGAGAATCACAGACTGGTCTCAGAGTGGTCACTGACTGACCCTTTAGCACTGACTGAGTGCATCCTCTTTATTACACACCAACTTAATGATAAGGACATAGTATCATCCTCCAGGTTGTTTTCCCAGTACCAGTATGTTTAAATGTATGTTTTTGCGTACTTTATTGCCCTGCCCTGTCATGACTTTGTAGCACTACAAGCAACTTCACTATGAATGTATGACAACGGCATGTATGTTGCAGGATGCTACCGTCAGTTTCGGCTTCTTCCGTTTGTTCCGAGCTGCTCGTCTGGTCAAGCTGCTCCGCCAAGGGTACACCATACGTCTCCTGCTTTGGACATTCTTCCAGTCTTTCAAGGTAATGATGGAAATTGTTGCTTGCTCACAGAAACAAAGGGGTTTGGGTTAAACGTTCCAGTTATATCTTGAACTGAAACATATTAATGGTAAAAATCTACAATCTTCCCACAACGTTGCGAAAATGTTGTGTGTTTAGCTAGAAATGTGTCTGGGATTGTTAATTAAAACAATTGCTAATGTTCAAGCAGCACCCACATCTTACTTTCCCGCCTAACAAATGTATCAGGCCCATGGTTAACTAATGTGGGTGTTTGGTGTATCTTTGATGTCAGCTGCTGACGATGTCTGTCTCGCGTGTTTCAGGCTCTGCCGTATGTGTGCCTGCTCATCCTCATGTTGTTCTTCATCTACGCCATCATTGGGATGCAAGTAAGTCACATATATAATCCTGCAATCCATCACTCCTTCATATTGTAGGAAATAATGATTTGATTAGCCCTGTTTTTCTCTGTAAAGTTATTACTACAATATATGATATTGAAATGCATAAGTTCTGTTGAGTGAACAATTATGGTATGCCTATAACAATTACTGTTGATTTTTTTTCAGGTATTTGGTAACATCCGCCTCGATTCTCAGACTGCTATAAACCGGCACAATAACTTCAGAACATTCTTCGAAGCATTAACACTGTTGTTCAGGTAGGTGAACTATTCTACATAGTATTGATACAGTGTTTGAAGTGTTGCTAAGAGCATTGTTCAAAGTATTAATACTCTTGTTTACCTGAGTAACATGATATGAATATCTGGGTCTATGAAAGACTTGAATCAAGTTTGCAGAGAGTGAAAACTGGACTGAGTTTAGTCCTATTTATAAGTTTAAAGAAGATAATGCTTTCAAAAATGCTTTTGGAATCTAAGGTCAACATGCACATTGCTCTGCACACATACTTGAAGTGCCCCGATATGTTCATATGTTGGTCCACACATACCTGTGGTGTTCTGATATGTTCGTATGTTGGTCCACACATACCTGAGGTGCCCTAATATGTCCATATGTTGGTCCACACATACCTGAGGTGCCCTAATATGTCCATATGTTGGTCCACACATACCTGCGGTGCCCTAATATGTCCATATGTTGGTCCACACATACCTGAGGTGCCCTGATATGTTCATATGTTGGTCCACACATACCTGAGGTGCCCTGATGTGTTCATATGTTGGTCCACACATACCTGAGGTGCCCTGATATGTCCATATGTTGGTTCACAAATACCTGAGGTGCCCCGATATCTTCATATGTTGGTCTGTTACAGGTGTGCCACAGGGGAGAGCTGGCAGCTGATCATGTTTTCCTGTCTCCCTGGCCGACCATGCGACCCGCAGTCGTACCCCATAGATGAGGAGGAGCGTCAGAACGCCTGTGGTCTGAGCATCGCATACTTTTACTTCGTATCATTCATCTTCCTCTGCTCTTTCCTGGTGAGTTGATCTTAGCTCCAGCAGCTTTAAACCACACACCAGAGATTCTCAGTAAACAGCTTGAAATTGATCAAATTACAAAATCGTACATTTTCCTTTGCTGAAGGATTTAAATCTATTGTCAACAACTGGATCCAAGTGTGGTAATCAAATGTCCAGGTTATTTGATGGTGTGAGATACGGTTTTGGTAAGGGGGCAGTGGGGTAGCCTAATGGTTAAAGCATCAGCTCATCATGCAGAAGACCCAGGTTCGATTCCCCACATGGGTACATTGTGTGAAGCCAATTTCTGGTGACCCCACCATGATATTGCTGAAATATTGCTACACAGGCAGGGCTCCTGATAATTTTTCAACATCAGTCGTACATACTCCTTACTTTTTCAATACAGGAGTACTGGAATACTTTATGAGTACATTTAGAGTACTGAATGGAATTTAATGGCGTACCAGTATTCTTGTGTTCCATTTCATATAAGCACCACAACATCGCTATTCTTGTGTAAACAGGTCAATAAACAATAAAACACTACTTTTTCAGTTAAATAAGTCTGTAAATGATTCTAAGACCGTACACCATTGTAGTGGCACGTATCTGATACGTTTTCCCGAATTAAGTCCAACCGTATCGTGCATATTTTTAATTCATACATACACCGATACGGCCCTTACCTGGAGCCCTGACAGGCATAAACCTAAACCCACTCACTCATTCAATTTTGGTGAGGACTACAATACCTGTGCTTGTTTCAGATGTTGAATTTGTTTGTTGCTGTCATCATGGACAACTTTGACTACTTGACGAGAGATTCATCTATCCTCGGCCCGCATCATCTGGATGAGTACAAGCGTGTGTGGGCAGATTACGATCCAGGCGCCACGTAAGTCTTTGTCCGAGCCTATTGAATATTTAAGGAATAGATCAGCCATGTTTCTTAACGCATCTCAGATTAGATACGGTTCCGGTTCTGGTGAAGATCTTGACTATAGAATGGGAAAATGATTTTTTTGACAGCATAAGCTCATATCAGTGCTGCCTTTCATTACTTTGTACAGAAGAAGTTTTTACTACAGGATTCTTGCTATTTAATGGTTGTAATCTTCTCTTTACCTACATATTCATAAGTCATAAGGACTTTTGCAAAGTGTCACTGTATGTTGTTTTATCTTAAGGAGTTTACAAGTTTGTAGTTTTTGTCACCTTTATCTTTCAGTGGTAGGATAACATACTCTGAGATGTACGAAATGTTAAGAAACATGGAGCCACCGGTGGGATTTGGCAAGAAATGTCCATATAGATTAGCTTACAGGGTGAGTATACTTATGACTACCTTACACTCTCAATACATCACCTGGGGTACAGTGGGTCACAAGCAGTCTTGCTTGTCATATGGGTGACTTTAAATACATAAATGTGTCAAGCACTGTGACTTTGTATATTGTAGTTTGCATTCCGAGAAGGTGTGGTGGGATGGTGTTTTGTACTATCAACCACTGGTTTGTCAAGAACAGATTTGATTTACACATGGTCAGATAGCTGAAATATTGCATTGTGTGGCAATAAAAATATAAATTCATAACATGAATAATGATGCATTTCCTAAATTGGTCATCAGCATTCAAGATTCTTTCAGTAGTTGTAGACATGTTGTTTTGTTTATTTCAGAAACTAATACGAATGAACATGCCAGTGGACATGCAAGACAAAGTCCATTTCACAACAACGCTGTTTGCACTCATCCGGGAGTCTCTGATGATCAAGATGGGTCCAGGTGAGCTACAGCCATGTGCTCTGTACATAATAGTGCAGGGTTTTAGATGTTTCAAATGTTATTTGCCATTGAAATGTCATACATATCACTAATGATTTATGTTGATATCATCACTAAATACATCACTAAATACACATGATATCATAATTTACTACATCTGTTGATATAGTTGATATCACATACTTCCTACTTGATGTGACCATGTGTTAATGTGCTATCACCAGCTGAAGAGATGGACAAGAAGGACGAGGAGATGTGCGAGGTGATCCGTCGACTGTGGCCAGATTATGCCAAGAAGATCCTGTACATTCTCATGCCACCCAATGATGGTCAGTTTGTAGGCCTTTTCTCGTATTGTTCATTGTGATATTCTGGGTACAATGTGTGAAGCTCATTTCTGGTGTCCCCCGCCGTGATATTGTTAGAATATTGATAAAGCATCGTAAACGCAACTCACTCACTCACTCATTGTGATATTCTGAAAGAAACTAACATTTTAGGTATAGAACCACAAGATTCAATTTCTCAGGCATCTGAAAATTATACTGAGGGAAACAAATAAGGGAACACCACTTCATGGCAGTGTTACTTTATGTATTTCTCAGATTTCCTCCCACAGAGCTATTCAAAGCTGCTAATGAAAACTGGAACATATTAAAGGAACGCTTGATTTTCCTATGTTCCTTTATTTGTTTCTCTCAGTATATATTTTGCTTATATTTTTTAAGCAATCAGTGTCTTATCAGGTGTACAACATTCAAAGCCTTTGTCAGCCTTTCCAAATTCTCTATTGTCTTTTCAAGTTTTTGTAAGTGACCAAAATTATGTCCACTATTTAGACATATTCCCTTGTTTGGTCAGGTAAACACTTTACCTGCCCTTGCATGTGTTTGTGAGTGTTGCCACCAGTAGGGCATGTTATACACACTAATTCGTGGACTACTTACATCATCAATGTTTGATGGGGATTCATAAACATTTGCATTTTATGTCGTCAGAATCTGCTTTTATGGCTTTTACCAAGATTTCTTCTGATTATGGAAAGAGTCACTGTTCTTACACTGTTCAAATTAAAATGTATGATGAAAAAACTTTCAAAGGTTTATTCTAATCTTAAAACGTGTGTGGACCTTTTGGTTTACTTTTGTGTTTACAATGTCGATAAACATCATGTGTTGGCCAATTTCCTGCTTGATTAAGTCTCAAATGAAGAAAATGAGTTAGATTTTTGATTATGCATAACGCACAAACAAATATCGCTTCATGAACAACTGTCTTTTTTTTTGTATGTCAGTGACAATAATGTGGAACTACTTTATTTTCAGAACTAAATGATGGCAAGAATACAGTGGGGAAAATATATGCATCACTTTTAATAGCAGAAAACTATAAAGCATTTAAAGCCAGTCAAACTCAGGCTTCCACTATGAGAATGGTAAGTACAGTACCTCTTGAAGGTAGTAGGCCTTGGTGCCAAGGGTTGTCACAGGTCACATTGCAGTAGATATTCAATCAAACACTTTTCATTAAAATTTAAAGATTCACATAAATTATTGAATATTTCTAAGTCATGATTGGTGAATCTATTTTTTCAAATATATTTTGAATACTTGTCATTGTAAATACATTTGTGTTGCTCAAAACATCAAAAGTTCTATAAATAGTTTTCTATCATTTAGGAAAGGACTGAAAAACATGTTTTACAACCCTTGTGGACTGAAGGTCTATTACGCTATTTGACTCCTATGTTAGAAAATAAGAGATACAACCCCCTCCATGTCCCTAAGTAGACACCTCTGTCCCTATATAGACACCCCAGTAATTGTTTTATGAACAAATCACTGTAATGTATGTTTAGACGTCCTATTAACAAGCTGTACCTGTCCTTCATATATAGCGGAATGTTAAACATTGTAACATTGTTAAATGTTGATGTGTCACCCCACAGTGTCTGCATTAAAACCATCATCAGATATACAGTAAAACCATCATCAGATGTACAGTAAAACCATCATCTGATGTACAGTAAAACCATCATCAGATATACAGTAAAACCATCATCAGATATTGCAGTAAAACCATCATCAGATATTACAGTAAAACCATCATCAGATATTACAGTAAAACCATCATCAGATATTACAGTAAAACCATCATCAGATATTACAGTAAAACCATCATCTAATATTACAGTAAAACTATCATCAGATATATGCAGTAAAACCATCATCAGATATTACAGTAAAACCATCATCAGATTTTAAACCATCATCAGATATTACAGTAAAACCATCATCTGATATTACAGTAAAACTATCATCAGATTTTAAACCATCATCAGATATTACAGTAAAACCATCATCAGATATTACAGTAAAACCATCATCAGATATTACAGTAAAACCATCATCATATATGCAGTAAAACCATCATCTAATATTGCAGTAAAACCATCATCAGATATTACAGTAAAACCATCATCAGATATTGCAGTAAAACCATCATCAGATATTACAGTAAAACCATCATCAGATATTACAGTAAAACCATCATCAGATATTACAGTAAAACCATCATCAGATATTACAGTAAAACCATCATCTAATATTACAGTAAAACTATCATCAGATATATGCAGTAAAACCATCATCAGATATTACAGTAAAACCATCATCAGATTTTAAACCATCATCAGATATTACAGTAAAACCATCATCTGATATTACAGTAAAACTATCATCAGATTTTAAACCATCATCAGATATTACAGTAAAACCATCATCTGATATTACAGTAAAACCATCATCAGATATTACAGTAAAACCATCATCATATATGCAGTAAAACCATCATCTAATATTGCAGTAAAACCATCATCAGATATTACAGTAAAACCATCATCAGATATTGCAGTAAAACCATCATCAGATATTACAGTAAAACCATCATCAGATATTACAGTGAAACCATCATCAGATATTGCAGTAAAACCATCATCATATATGCAGTAAAACCATCATCAGCTATTACAGTAAAACCATCATCAGATATTACAGTAAAACCATCATCAGATATTACAGTAAAACCATCATCAGATATTACAGTAAAACCATCATCAGATATTACAGTGAAACCATCATCATATATGCAGTAAAACCACCATCTAATATTGCAGTAAAACCATCATCATATATGCAGTACAAACATCATCTGATAGTACAGTAAAAGCACTGTGTATTGAATCGTATATCTCTTTCATCATAAAGCAACCACCATTGACCTGAATGTAGTCCTACAGAACAATGGATGATTATTGTTAGCATCTGTTTAGGCAGTTTGAAAATATGCTCATTTTGCAATGAAAAGACTCTGTTTTGAACATTTTCTGTAATGAATAAGCTGGATTGCCTGTTTATATCTGCTAGTTTTTCCCAAGTGCCCATAATACACAGTCATACCTCGTGCATATCGCAATAGAAACAGGTTGTGTCACTTTGAGTCACTCAGTTTTATAGACCCTCATCTTACAACGGTAAACTGATAAACTTGTAGAGTCAGGTTTCTTTCAGCTTTTAAGTTGTGCATTCAGCCAAATATTTTAAGTGATTACATGTTTGTTTTCTTTGAACAAAATTGTTTCAACTTTTCTAACCAAATTTTAGTACTGGTAGTCAGCAGTGTGGATACCATGAGGCATGACTTGTGTATTAATGTGTTTAGATATATACAACCCCCAACAGTCATGGTGACTTGCCATGCTCACTTTATGTCTTGTCTTTCTAGGCGGGTTTGGGTATTAATACCATGTTTTGGAACAATACCTCGAGTACCTCCATCAATAGGGAGGCACTATGCGAGGAGGAGTTACTGGTACGTAGCTCAGCGCTGTCGCCGTTGTCAGCGTCACGGGCACGGCTGGCAGTGCCTGCGCAGTCACTGTCCTAGTATCAGAGTGTAGTTGTTTGTTGTCGATGTTCTTGTTCATTTCATGTATGACTTGCCACAAGTTACAAACACGCTCTGAATACCACCAGTAGACTTCTCAATTACTTGTCAATTACTTGTCAATATCAAATGAAAAACTGAAATGATAACTGGTTTGTTTATGATTTGTGAAATCATGTAAAGATTTAATAACATTTTTTCACCTTGGAGGATTTACATAAAGTCAAATGTGAAAAAAACTTTTGTGTTACATTAATGTGAAATTGACAAGTATATGTTTATTTCTTGTGGAGAGTCATAGCTTTGACATGTCATTTGTTTGCAGATACTGAATTTGGTTGTCATATTGAATATTAAATTTCATTTCATTTCTTTGATTTCTTCAATGTAAAACTTCCATCATAAAAGTCATTGAATCATTTTATTTCTTTCCCATAATCATTGCAGGAAGAAAAAGAGGAGGTTAGTAGTGTTGGCATGGCAACAATCAGTCCTAACTTTGACCTTACTCAATGGCTAACATCGCATGCCAAGATTTGATTGGTGCACATTGGCACGCTTATCACATTTTCATCATTATTATCCATTTTCACAACAAATACACTTATGACAAATACAGATAAAGGAATGGAGAATTTACACTGTCTTCATTTTCGGAAATATTTAATTCAGTAATGAAGAAGATAATTAACATTTAATCATGCATTCAAATTCATTCACAAAATTTAGCTAATGTTTTAAATTCCAATTTTAAATTGTTTTTGTTCAGTATAATATATTATTTATATATCATTATACATTTGAATAGGATTCTGATCATCCGAAATGGAAAATCTCTAGTTCTCCTGAATGTATGTGTATTTGTCTTATGGTTCACCATCCTACCCACCATTCCTGACACTGGTTGAGTGCAATCGACAACATCAGCTGATGTTATTGGCACCTATCAATCACAGATGCACTGGAACTGTTGTACCTTGCTCTGGTTGAGCCCCACTACCAACTTCAAGACCTACTGTGTCGCTTGCTCAGCATTCATTCCACTCGTTCCATGTCATTTTCATCCTTGTCGATTTCAGTCGTACTTTTCATCCCTTGTTGTTTGCCCATCACTAGCATCCATCGCGCATTTGATCTTATTCTTTATCATTTATTGAGAAACTGAGGTTTTAAAAGAATTAAACCATACATGTTTGGTTGTGGCAATAAGTCTGAATAATATTAAATACAACAATAAAAAGTTCATTATAAATGCAATATTTGCTAAAGATATACTTCCATAATCACCAATATTTGCTACGGATATGTTCATTTCAAACTGATATTTCCTTTAGTTTATCATCTTGACCTATGGTCTCTTGCAAATATTTCTCTTTCATCCTCACGTCAACATTTTTATGCTTTTTTTTAACATTTTGCACTCTTTTTTACTGGTATCAAATACAATCATTATTAGAAACTTGGTGCCTTTTTTATAATGTGATCTGTCATATGTTTAGAAGTTGGCAGGGAGTAACAAATAATCTGATATATTGAAATATGTGCTTGTTAATTTCGTGCTGGCATGTGTGTATTTCAATGTGATGGGTGTGCAAGTGAACAGCTCTCTTCTTGACACTTGTAACCAGTTGTATTCTTTACATTTACCAGCCACAAGATGAGGAGGTAATTCAAGATGCTTCCAACATTTCATCTTTGAAATCTATTCGTTTTATTTGTGCATGTTAGACATTATAATCACATATTTCATAGAAGTGCTCCAACATTTCCAAACTGACACTGTTCCTATTACAACTCATCCTCACACTTCAAGGGAAGTTTACAAGTATTGTTTTAATTATCTCCCCTGATTGAACAGAAAACCCTGTCCACCAACCTACAGGCAGTGTGTTACCTTCATGTAACTGTTGCAGGAATATGTCTACAACATATCATAGTGAGTGAGTGTGAGTGAGTGAGTTTAGTTTGACGCCGCATTTAGCAATATTCCATCAATATCACGGCAGGGCACACCAGAAATGGGCTTCACACATTGTACCCATGTGGGGATCAGGGCTGGGTCTGCAGCATGATGCTTTAACCAATATCATCTCCCCAGAACATATCAGAAGACTGATGATATTCACTGCCTATAGCCCTGTTGGAGATTCTACCCATAGAAAACTTTTCCCTATTGAGGACAAATTTATAAAGTGTCATTGATAGCTGCAAACTTGCTGAGGCCATATTAAAGGATATTCCCTGACTCCCGTGTAATGGTACAATCAATCCATGAAGGTCAAGGTTAACATTGGTCTTCACCAACCCATGCTTCGTAAGAGGCGACTAAGGGACCGTTCATAATTTATTGCTAGGGGGGAGATGATGATTTTAAGGTGGACTGACCCATTGTACTCTGGGGAGGCAGGGGGTCAGCAATTTTGTACATACAAATATTAAAAAAATATGCTTAAAACATAGGAAAGGGGTGGCATTGATTTTGTACATGATATGGGGTGGTGGGGGGCACTTACTTTGAACATAAATTTCAGGGGGAGGGGGTCATTCACATTGTACATGCTTCTCCATCAAAAGCAACATCACCCCCCACTAGCCATAAATTAGGAATGGTCCTATCCAGATCAGGTGGTCAAGCTCACTTACCTGGTGAAAGCATGTCATGGTATCCTAACTGCATAGATCAATGCTCATGATATAAATCCCTGGATTGTCTGGTCCAGACTTGATTATTTACAGACTGCCATCATCTGCTGGAATATTGCAGAATGTGGCATTAGACAACAAACACATGAATTTTGAGTTCATTAAAATGCAAGGTTATTAATGGGTACAATATGGAAACTTGTCTTAAAAATCCCTAAGTGTTGAGGATGATTCAAATATAGACAACCTATACACACTCCTGCTCTTAAAAAAATCAAACGCTGTCTCTCTCATTTGTTAATTCCTGGTCTGTTATAGCTTCAACTGAGATCTTCCCTCCCTGAAACAGTCTTTACACACTGATCTTATCAATTAGTGCACTTCACCTAAACTATATAACCAAAATATTGCACATCATATTTCATATGTTGAACATCTACCTGTATCACACATGATTCTGCTGTCCAACTAGCCTGATCATGTCATACTCATATATTGATCGGAATTGCCCCCTCCCCCTCCCCCACTGCCCATGGGGTGGCCCAGCACACAACATCATCACGCAGCAGGAGAATTACTAGAGCGTGCTAGAAGCATGAGACAAGGGCCTCGTAGCATGGTCATTGTATAGCAATTTTCAGTAATGAAGTTTTGTGCCTGTCGATTGTGTAAGTGAGAGCTGTGATGTCCTCTCGGGGAACATTCATCCTGTGACCAGAGTAGGAACAGGCAAAGTTAAGGATGCATGTTCACTTCGAGACTAATTGAAAGTACAGCATGTGAAATATATTTGAATACTGTTATCTCATATTAGCAATAAATTACATTTAGATCTTAGCAGACTCACATAAAAGGATTTCTATATCCAGATGAAAGTGTGTTATGGAACATTTTCTCCATGTTCTGTATCTTGACATGGAATCAGATATATTGAACAGACATATTATGCAAAAGGGAACTATGATTGGAAGAATCTGATCAAAAGTACGAACAGAATCTAACAAGATGCTGTCAAGGTCAACCTGAAAATGGACTTGTGGGAGATTCCAGAATGGGATGATATCTGTACATAATGGTTTCATGACAGTTCCAAGGATTTTGGAAAGTTTACAATTTGTCTGTTTATTCAGGGACATTTACCATTGTCCTGGAGAAATCTGTCCAAAGACATTTTCCTTGCATAGTTTGTTTTCATGAACAATATCCTTGAAATTTTGTTCAGAATCGAATCATGAGTACATGTTCCTGCCAACCACTTCTGTCTGTAGTGTTCCCTTCGTAGAGAAAATAATGTTGACTTGGTCCAATTACTGATTAAATTCTAGAATTGTGAGGTAAAGATACGATTACATCAATCCTGAGTACATTAATCAAGATTGCATGCAGATTACATGGTGTTCTCAAGTGTCTCTATAAATGGAGACTGTGTATTTCATGCTGATGTGCGAGTGTGTGATACTGTTGGTGCTCTTGCATGCTTTACAATCTCTTGATTGACCACCATGACTGATCACTTACCTCAGTGACTGGCACCACAGTCTTGGGCCCAGGGGGAGCATGGGAGTCCATCCTCAACTTGTGATAACACTCACCCATAACCAGCTTGTCTTTAGGCGCATAGCAAGCCAATTTTTTCGTATAAGCCTGATAGGTTGCAAAGCTTTATGTTTAGATAGTATTAGAGCTTGCCCAACCTTTTTAGCAACAATCATGTGCAAGCCCGGGCTTGTTTTACAATGGTAACTATATCCCAGGTTGGGCATTGGGATTTTTGTCAAGTATGCAAATATTCCATTTCGACAAGTTAACTAAAACGCAGGTGACTGCAACTTTCTAACAGCCTGACATTTAAGAGTGTTTTGAAGTGTTACTGCTGATGATGCCAAGAATAGGATTAATCATGCATACCCATTTTTGGAATAAAACCCTGGTCTTCTGCATGAAGGCAAACACACCCTCAGTTTGGTAGGACAAAACACCGGGTTTAAGGGTGACATCAGATGAAGCGGGTGGTGTGATCGTCAGTGTTTATAACAAGCAGGACTCTGTGAGGTTGTGGCATTGTACGACTTCTTCAAACTATAACATATATAGTTGCTGATAACATTTGCAAGCAGGACATGGGTATTATTGGAGTAAGGTGGATAAGATGTTCTCCCTGTGGGCTCCAAGACTTGGTGGCAGCGGAGGCAGATCAACTGATATGATGGACATACGTGTGGCAGATTGTCTTAGTTTGCTTACATACACAAGTTTAGTATTGTACTATAAATCTGTACTCATGGCAGTGCTGAAGGTTCATTTGTAACATAGATAATACGGGGAATTTGCAGTTAGACTATACTGGAAATATTATTCTTAAACATTACCGTTCTCCACAAGGATTGTGATTGGGCATTTGTATTGTACAGCGCTAATGATGGTCATTGTGTACATAAAATATATCACTTTTTCTATTTATAGATTCTTATGGAAACAGAGATCATAAGATTATACAGGGCATTGAGTGCCTAATAGGACCATTTGTACATAAATTATTGATGGGATGTGACACAGAGATTTTATGACAAATTGTATAGCTTTTACAGGGCATGTGTACCTAAATTATATTACAATTTGTATATAGATTATACAGGGCGTTGAACACTTAGATTATAAGACAATTTGTTCACAGATTTTTTATGAGATTTGACACATAGATTAAAGGACAATTTCTATATAGGTTATATAGGGCAAATGTTACCCTGATCATGGACTGGGCACTTTTGTGCATAAACTAATCTGGCCATTTGTAGCTAGACTTAGGACATGTTGTAGTTCTGGAAAAATCATGTCATTTGGATAATGATAATACAAGGAATTTTGTACATAAATAATGCATAACATGAAGTTATTAATGTAATACAGGCCATTGTTAGTAAGCGTATTTTTGCAGGCTATTATGTGGTATAGGTAACACATTTTGTAATAGTCAGTGGTACTGTGTGTACCAGAGGGTACGCTGTTGAAGAGATGGTACTAAATGGCTTGTACTTCCCGTGATAGGTCATGTTTTCTACATATTAGTACTCTAGGTTAAGGTTGTGAAAAAGCATGGTAACTAAGCAATATATAAATAAAAATTATGAAGAATGTTACCAAATATTCCTCTGGTCATACACTGTCACCTTTTCTTCAATGTAGCCAAAGAGAAGAAAGTCGCATATGGTAGATAGCTTTCTGCCACCAGATAGCTTTCTACCGCCAGATAGCTTTCTACCGCCAGATAGGTTCCAAGCTCCGACTAGGTATCAGCCACCCATGGATCCCACTACCCAGGACAAGGCAAGAGTTTTCACAGTAGGAGTAGCATTTGTCCAACCAGATGTAGATTAACTCAACTGTCCACGGAGTTCTGCTTGTAGAGACTGTAGCCTGCAGCAGCAACTTCCTAGACATAACATTTCATAGAGTATTTATTGGCTTTACTTTTTATTTAGCCAGTTCTTAATAGGTTAGATTTGTATATTGGCTTTGGGTTGATTCCGTTTTAATTACAATGAATGAAATAGTTTGATAGTGCAATTAGATTCTCAGTTTCAAATATATGCATTTTATATTTCTTTTGAAGCCGTTCGCAAGACATTAGAAGAAGCACTTAATGATATTTTTTTCTAAATTGTTCAGAGTAACATGAATGTATGTTAAGCAAAGTAGATTTTCACTTCCAGTAGTGTAAAGCATGCCTCAGTATCATTCAAACTAGTCACTGAAAGAGATTTAATAATTACTTGCTGAAGTAATGTCACATACACAATATGTCGTCTGCTCATCTTTATTCGTGGATGTTAGTTTTTTCTTTGATTAAACCAAATAAAAAATATCTCCTGTTATTACCTTTTTTACTTAATTTTAAATTTAATTTTGTAATGTTTCTAAGTTAAACTTTTAATAGATTTCGATCTACCTTTCATACATATTTTTTTCAATTTCATTCACTTTTGACATTACTAAAATGTTTTTAGAGATGATTATATATTCTGATAAACATTAAAGTTTATTGATCCTGTCTTCTTGAGGTAATATTTCATTATTTAAAACATTTTGTTTTCAAAGTTAATTGAATAATCTTCTATTAATGTTATTTTCTTCAATGATATAAACATCTTGTATGTTGGAATATTTTAACAAATCACATGGATGACCTGTGTTTTATTGCTAATGCAGAATGACCGACGTCCATCAGTAAATGGAAATATTCCATCTACTCGGGTCATCCCACCAGAAACTGGCCCTAGTGAAACCAATGAGGCAAGAGTTACTTCCCCTTGAAATAATCAGCAGTATTTATTTTCGTTCTCAAAATCAGGAACATGAAATGATTCCAGTTTATTATTTATTTTATATTTTCTTTGAAATTGGACAATTTAACATTTCTGTGACCTTTGTTTAACCATTTCATTCCTTACAGTTAAATGAAGTTTATATGGAAGGTAAAAGTGAACAATACGTAAATGGAAGAGGTTTATGTGTTTCAAAACACTGTCATTGATTTCTTTTGTATATTCTTATATCTTATCTTCAATATCTTAATAACAAAGATGTTTATTTTTCACTTTTATATATCATACAAAAATATTTTTCTTCAGCTTTGTAGTGTGTTAGATTTGATAACTTAACATTGAATGTTGACAAAGAGTATTCTTTCCCTGCAGAAGAGTGCCATCCCTACAAGAAGTACTATAGCTAGTTTTCTCCAATCAGCTTTATCTCAGGATCCAGAGGCAAGACATCTTGTAGAATATCATCCCAGTCCAATATTTATCTTCAACAAATGACCAAATGTTTAGTATCTTGGGTCACAGCTTATTCTATATTTTATATAACCATTTATTTATCCCATTTTATTCAATATTTTTTCATGCTCTATAACAGCAGTCCCATCCCTTCCCTAATTAAAGTTCACCCAGCACCAAAATTTCAAATATATTTAGGAGATATACTGTGTTGGAAAATCACAGGTATGTAATGAAATTATAATAGATCTAAATCTGATTTAAAACTGATGTGTAGCATGAGGTTTTATATAAAAACATTAGAGCTATTATAATTTCTTTTTATTTTCCAACACAGTATGTTTATCTCCATTCTACCATAAGCACGTTAAGATAGTGAAAAAATACATACTGTGTTGGAAAATCAGAGGTATATAACATGATTATATATACCTCTGATTGACTTAAGTTAACCAATCACAGTCCAGTATTTACTGAAGTCTTGGTAGAATTATTATTTACCATAACTGTGCTACACAGCACAATCCAGTGATCAACTTTACCTTGGCTGTAATATGCATATCTAGAATGTTACGATGATAAAGATTTACATGCTTTGCATGAAAACAAATACGAGATGTTCAGTTGTTTTAAGAGAACACTATAAATACACGTAATCTTGGAAGTAAAAACCTGATATATCTAAAAACATTATCCTCTGTTATGCATTTTAATGTCAGTAACAAGTTACTCTTCAATAAATGTTTTTTTCTCAAATCTCCCAACTCATGGCAGTACGATGTATTTCACACTTTGAATCATATCAGAATGTACATACAGTATGAGATGAGGGTAGCTGTTGACATCCTGCATATGTTATACATTATCTGTAGATGTTCGGGCAAAGTCGCTGGCCAGTGGACAGTTGGGTGTACTGTTTGTAAGGATGTAGAGAGTATGTACCAACTGTTGGCGGCAGAGATCGGTGTCTCCAAGTGTGGAGAGTATACTCAGAATCAGGCAGTTCAAAACTGTTTATGTCCATCATATCTTCAGATGAATAGTTGTTTGAGATAACAGGCTGTTCTTGGTGGAGGGTCAATATATTGATTATTAGAATTCCTTCTTAAATGATTTAACTTTAAATGACATAACATCTTTCATCAAATGTTTTGTGCACTTACAAATTTGTGTTTGTATGGAAGTTTGATTCTGGACAAGCTTGAAGTGATGTCCCCTCACTGAGGTGCCCACTTCTCCCTGTTTCTTCCCCCTTCCCCACATCTTCCCTCATCCCAAGAAGTTTGACCTTCACCTTATCTCAAATACCAAATAGTCCTGAATTTTATCATGATTATCACACTTATCCTGAACTTGAAACCTTTGATCATGTTGGACCGTGTTTCTTATTGTCCTTGGTGGTGTCTAAACCTGACCATGTTGGTGTATAAACTCAATATTAGCTGGATGAAATTTAGAATAGCTGACATAACTGTTGCTAAGGTAATATTATGATCAATGAAAGATTTATAGTCATCAGTTTTGGACACAGATGGTAAATTAGTTTGAAAAAGAGCTTCTAGTAATGTATATAATGAAATGAATGAGACAATGTATGCCACAACCCTCCTGTCTCCGTACCATCATGTTCCATGTACATCAAAGTTGGATAAAAGAGGCTCTATGGTTCATCCTGCATCAATATGGTAGAGGAACCTCAACATAGTGTTATTTTTCAGATTTTTCTTTTCAGATAGTAGTTTGTTTATTTTAATCTTCAAACCATATTACCACATGTACGTACATTTCCCAGATTTGAATACAAGACATAATGCTGCATCAATCTCGACTCTATCTATGGATGTCTGTGTTGAATTCTGTGTGCATAGCATGACTCTGTGGCCATGTGTGTTGATTTCAGCAGTCATTCCTCAGATCTGTCAACAATAGTCTGACTACCATGTAATTTATTACACAAAACATATGCTTCAAACAATACTGATACTAAATGAAAAGATGTTTAATATATATTTAGTATTTTAATATTTATCTATCATAAATTACTAGGTTTGATTATCAAATAAAAAGATGTATATTTGGTGGATATATGATATTTGTGCATGAAATTTTCACACCAAAAACTTCTAGGTCTTTTGGCTGATCTTTATACCGCCTAGCGTCAGATTATCAGGTAAGATTATACTTGAGTTTGTCCCTTTCAGCGACCACCATCTCTCTTCCGTCGTTTGATTGGTGGCCTGAGAACAACACCTTCCAACAGATCAAGCCAATCACTGGACTCCGAACATTCTGATGGCGAGAGGGATTCAGAGGGAGGTCATAGGTCAGAACCCACAGCCACAAAATGCAGCACTTTTTTCTAACTTAATTTGACTTGAAGATACTCTCTCTTTCTACAGCTGAAAAACTAAGAAAAAATGTACAGTCTAACATCAAACGATTCTGTGAGATTTTCAGTTCTGAAGGAATTACTGTTAACTCTTTGAACAGTTAGCAGCACCAGGGTGTAGATTTTCGAAACATTCATAGCCCTACGAACCTCTTAAACCCAGTCTTAACACATTGGCTACGATGAAAGTTAAGAGTTCTTAGGGCTATGAACGTCTCGAAAATCTAGGCCCTGGACTGCAGAGACACCTTCTAGGACAAGTCAGACATTTGTCCTTATGTGCTATATGGCAGTTCATCAACAGCACTGTGCAGTGTGTCAACAGGATAGATATCGTACTTATGTTGTATTTCCATCCATCCCAAATTGGGAGGAGTGCAGCAGTGTGGTGACAGTGTTTCTGTTAGTCACTGAAGCAGCAATGTGGAACTTAAGATCACTTAATATATCTCAGATCTTACTTCTTGCTACTTTGTACACTGGTTGCGAGTACTAAGATCTGATTTTAGACAAATGCAAAGAAAGAAATTAGTTTCAAAGAGCCCGACCTTGAGACAGAGATATACCCATGGCACTGGTTACTACAATCTCATTATCTTGAACTTGAACTGAGTTCGGGGGATCTTTTATTGTCTGGCATTTCCAAAATAGTCTACACCTGTGAAGGGAAAACTACACAGGTGAAAGGCTGGAGTTTGTGTGTCATCCCGTTGCTGTACAACTGTAGAGTGGATGGTGCTGGTATGATGATACCACCAAGGTTGACAGGGTGTCATGAAACAAACACCCAAACTAGTTTCACATACCCTTTGAATGTTGGGCTATTTAGACACTATTTTTTCTCCTGATGATCTTAGAGCAAAAGTAGCAGATTTTTGACTGATCAACCTGCTAGTTACGATATTCCAGCATTTAAATTGGCTCATCACACCTTTTCAAAAATAATGGGCAATGACAGTTAAGTATTAATCTTCGGAGAGCTTTAAAGATGGCAAAACGAAAAAAGATCATTTACACAGACCCAACTGACGCTATTAAAGATTATATACTAAGGGAACAAAATAAGGGATCACATTAAAGCACAAGTGTTCCCTTATATTTTTCCATGTTTCTTCACAAGCTATGTGAAGAAACCTTGGAAAAAAAAAAAAAAACCCTTGTCCTTTCATGTGATCCCTTATTTTTTTCCTCAGCATATATTCCTTCAAGATATTGTCCACATTTCACCATATGTCCTGATGTTGCAGTATTGACAAAGGCCATCCGTGGAATCGGTCATTCAGCTTCCTGCGTCGAGGCAGCAGTAAACGGAAGAAGGACCCACACAGCGACAGCTCGAGTGTACAGGTGAGCTACAGTGTGTAGACACCAGCAGTGTCAGTCTACTCTATCACATGTATAGCAGCACTCAAAATGATGACAAAAACGTTGATCAATATTAACAAACTAATTTCAAATGAAAGATTAAATTACAGCTGTACATGTGAGATCTAAACTTGTATTTGTGAGCGTTGCAGTTGGCTGTTGACTATAATGTTAATAATATTTTGACATGTGTTTATCTTATGAATGTTAGGAGTGATGTTTATGTTTTTAAGTATTTTGTACCTCAATGCATTATGCATGATGTCATAATACAAAATGTTTAAAAAATAATGATTATTTAAAATTTTATGCAAACTTTCTTCAGTATAAGTTACTGAGTAATGTATGAGATATATTTAATATTAAATCATGTTCATTAGCTGATGAACTGTTTGAAGTGTACTTTAAGGAAACATCTCAAGCACTTACTGCAGAAAAAATCTTCATTGGTTAAGCAGTGTATTATATTTCCATTCTGTTATGGCACATACCCTGGACCCAGTCACTGTAGTAACGTTGTTTGAAACTGCATGATGCTAAATCTAGCTGTCCAATCAGATTACACAGATACACAGCAAGAGATGTTCTGTGCTAAGTTAATGATAAGAGAGATGGAGTATAGGTATGATGACCAATATGTCCAGCGTATTTATCACAACAGAGTGGACATGTAATTCACTGGACAACAGAGGATAACCATAATATATATGTGTTTGTTGGTATAGAACTGAAGTATAGAGGATAACTGAAATATAGTGGCTAGGATAACCATGATATATATGTAAGTTTGTTGGTATAGAACTGAAATATAGTGGCTAGGATAACCATGATATATATGTATGTTTGTTGGTATAGAACTGAAATATAGTGGCTAGGATAACCATGATATATATGTATGTTTGTTGGTATAGATATAGTGGCTAGGATAACCATGATATATATGTATGTTTGTTGGTATAGAACCGAAATATAGTGGCTAGGATAACCATGATATATATGTATGTTTGTTGGTATAGATCCGAAACATAGTGGCTAGGATAACCATAATATATATGTGTTTGTTGGTATAGAACTGAAATATAGTGGATAGGATAACCATGATATATATGTATGCGAGTTAGTCTAGAACCAAAATATAGTGGCTAGGATAACCATGATATATATGTGTTTGTTGGTATAGAACTGAAATATAGTGGCTAGGATAACCATGATATATATGTATGTTTGTTGGTATAGAACCAAAATATAGTGGCTAGGATAACCATGATATATATGTATGTTTGTTGGTATAGAACTGAAATATAGTGGCTAGGATAACCATGATATATATGTATGCAAGTTAGTCTAGAACCAAAATATAGTGGCTAGGATAACCATGATATATATGTATGTTTGTTGGTATAGATCCAAAACATAGTGGCTAGGATAACCATGATATATAGGTATGTTTGTTGGTATAGAACCGAAATATAGTGGCTAGGATAACCATGATATATATATGTGTTTGTTGGTATAGAACTGAAATATAGTGGCTAGGATAACCATGATATATATGTATGTTTGTTGGTATAGAACCAAAATATAGTGGCTAGGATAACCATGATATATATGTATGTTTGTTGGTATAGATCCAAAATATAGTGGCTAGGATAACCATGATATATATGTATGTTTGTTGGTATAGAACCGAAATATAGTGGCTAGGATAACCATGATATATATGTGTTTGTTGGTATAGAACTGAAATATAGTGGATAGGATAACCATGATATATATGTATGCAAGTTAGTCTAGAACCAAAATATAGTGGCTAGGATAACCATGATATATATGTATGTTTGTTGGTATAGAACTGAAATATAGTGGCTAGGATAACCATGATATATATGTATGTTTGTTGGTTAGGTAGTGGCTAGGATAACCATGATATATATGTGTTTGTTGGGAACTGAACCATAGTGGATAGGATAACCATGATATATATGTATGAGTTAGTCTAGAACCAAAATATAGTGGCTAGGATAACCATGATATATATGTATGTTTGTTGGTATAGAACTGAAATATAGTGGCTAGGATAACCATGATATATATATATGTTTGTTGGTATAGAACCAAAATATAGTGGCTAGGATAACCATGAATATATGTGTGTTTGTTGGTATAGAACTGAAATATAGTGGCTAGGATAACCATGATATATAGGCATGTTTGTTGGTATAGAACCGAAATATAGTGGCTAGGATAACCATGATATATAGGCATGTTTGTTGGTATAGAACTGAAATATAGTGGCTAGGATAACCATGATATATATGTGTTTGTTGGTATAGAACTGAAATATAGTGGCTAGGATAACCATGATATATATGTGTTTGTTGGTATAGAACTGAAATATAGTGGCTAGGATAACCATGATATATATATGCGAGTTAGTCTAGAACCAAAATATAGTGGCTAGGATAACCATGATATATATGTATGTTTGTTGGTATAGAACCGAAATATAGTGGCTAGGATAACCATGATATATAGGCATGTTTGTTGGTATAGAACCGAAATATAGTGGCTAGGATAACCATGATATATATGTATGTTTGTTGGTATAGAACTGAAATATAGTGGCTAGGATAACCATGATATATATGTATGTTTGTTGGTATAGAACTGAAATATAGTGGCTAGGATAACCATGATATATATATGCATGTTTGTTAGAGAACCAAAATATAGTGGCTAGGATAACCATGATATATATGTGTTTGTTGGTATAGAACTGAAATATAGTGGCTAGGATAACCATAATATATATGTGTTTGTTGGTATAGGGATAACCATGATATATTTGTTGGTATAGAACTGAAATATAGTGGCTAGGATAACCATGATATATATGTATGTTTGTTGGTATAGAACCGAAATATAGTGGCTAGGATAACCATGATATATAGGTATGTTTGTTGGTATAGATCCGAAATATAGTGGCTAGGATAACCATGATATATATGTGTTTGTTGGTATAGAACTGAAATATAGTGGCTAGGATAACCATGATATATATGTATGTTTGTTGGTATAGAACTGAAATATAGTGGATAGGATAAATATATGTATCGCGAAGTTAGTAGAACCAAAATATAGTGGCTAGGATAACCATGATATATATGTATGTTTGTTGGTATAGAACCAAAATATAGTGGCTAGGATAACCATGATATATATGTGTTTGTTGGTATAGAACTGAAATATAGTGGATAGGATAACCATGATATATATGTATGTGAGTTAGTCTAGAACCAAAATATAGTGGCTAGGATAACCATGATATATATGTATGTTTGTTGGTATAGAAGCGAAATATAGTGGCTAGGATAACCATGATATATATGCATGTTTGTTGGTATAGAACTGAAATATAGTGGCTAGGATAACCATGATATATGTGTGTGATTTGTTGGTATAGAACTGTTAGTGGCTGGATAAGAATGATATATAAATGGTATAAACCCAAAATATAGTGGCTAGGATAACCATGATATATAGGCATGTTTGTTGGTATAGAACCAAAATATAGTGGCTAGGATAACCATGATATATATGTGTTTGTTGGTATAGAACTGAAATATAGTGGCTAGGATAACCATGATATATATGTGTTTGTTGGTATAGAACTGAAATATAGTGGCTAGGATAACCATGATATATATGTATGCAAGTTAGTCTAGAACCAAAATATAGTGGCTAGGATAACCATGATATATAATATATGTATGTTTGTTGGTATAGAACTGAAATATAGTGGCTAGGATAACCATGATATATAGGCATGTTTGTTGGTATAGAACCGAAATATAGTGGCTAGGATAACCATGATATATATGTGTTTGTTGGTATAGAACTGAAATATAGTGGCTAGGATAACCATGATATATATGTATGTTTGTTGGTATAGAACTGAAATATAGTGGCTAGGATAACCATGATATATATGCATGTTTGTTGGTATAGAACCGAAAATATAGTGGCTAGGATAACCATGATATATATGTGTTTGTTGGTATAGAACTGAAATATAGTGGCTAGGATAACCATGATATATATGCATGTTTGTTGGTATAGAACTGAAATATAGTGGCTAGGATAACCATGATATATATGTATGTTTGTTGGTATAGAACCTGAAATATAGTGGCTAGGATAACCATGATATATAGGTATGTTTGTTGGTATAGAACCAAAATATAGTGGCTAGGATAACCATGATATATATGTGTGTTTGTTGGTATAGAACCGGAAATATAGTGGCTAGGATAACCATGATATATATGTGTGTTTGTTGGTATAGAACTATGTTTGGAAATATAGTGGCTAGGATAACCATGATATATATGTATGTTTGTTGGTATAAAAACCAAAAATATAGTGGCTAGGATAACCATGATATATACTGAAATATGTGTTTGTTGGTATAGAACTGAAATATAGTGGCTAGGATAACCATGATATATATGTATGTTTGTTGGTATGTTAGTATAGTGGCTAGGATAACCATGAATAATATATATATGTGTTTGTTGGTATAGAACTGAAATATAGTGGCTAGGATAACCATGATATATATGCATGTTTGTTGGTATAAAACCAAAATATAGTGGCTAGGATAACCATGATATATATGTGTTTGTTGGTATAGAACTGAAATATAGTGGCTAGGATAACCATGATATATAGGCATGTTTGTTGGTATAAAACCAAAATATAGTGGCTAGGATAACCATGATATATATGTATGTTTGTTGGTATAGAAATATAGTGGCTAGGATAACCATGATATATATATGTGTTTGTTGGTATAGAAGGAAATATAGTGGCTAGGATAACCATGATATATATGTATGTTTGTTGGTATAGAAGTGAAATATAGTGGCTAGGATAACCATGATATATATATGTTTGTTGGTATAAAACCGAAATATAGTGGCTAGGATAACCATGATATATATGCATGTTTGTTGGTATAGAAGCGAAATATAGTGGCTAGGATAACCCATGATATATATGTGTTTGTTGGTATGTTAGTATAGGATAACCATGAATATATAGTGGCTAGAACTGATAGTGGCTAGGATAACCATGATATATAGGTATGTTTGTTGGTATAGAACTGAAATATAGTGGCTAGGATAACCATGATAGATATGTATGTTTGTTGGTATAGAAGCGAAATATAGTGGCTAGGATAACAATGATATATATGTTTGTGAGTTAGTCTAAAACTGAAATATAGTGGATAGGATAACCATGATATATAGGTATGTTTGTTGGTATAAAACCAAAATATAGTGGCTAGGATAACCATGATATATAGGTATGTTTGTTGGTATAAAACCGAAATATAGTGGCTAGGATAACATCATCTTATACCCTAAAGTGGATGATGGGGTTATAACCAGTGAGTTGCTACCTTTCACATATACTAAAAAACATACAAAACATTGGGATTCCTGAGGCCTTTTATCATTTCAAACATTCAATTACAATAACAATTTTGCCATCAGTATTTTTTAAAGCTTCTATTAGTACTTTTTGCTTCAATTTTTCCTGTTTTCAATTTTTTGATATATGCCATTTTCCTCCTGGTGAATGTTTCAAAAATCGTGTGCCCTTTAATTTCTTTATCTTCTTGCTTGTTTGCATGTTTAAAATAACTTCATTTTAAATGCCTGCTTATCATTATTTTATAATTGTTCATATACATCGACAGTGGGTATCTGCAGTAACTGGTATATCAGCTGGAGATCAGTAAGCAACATGCAACATTAATCAGTTCATTTCCATCCATTCAAACAAAAGCCTAACCAATAGAATTATTACTCTTTATTTTAATTCCCACGTGACTCTCTTCAGTACGACAATGCCCTCAAGAACACATAATTCCCATTTCATAACCTTATCAAAATAATATATAGTCTTGTCTTCAAAAATACTTTATTCCCAGTTTGCAATCACTGTTTTAATCGCTTGTGTTGCTGTTATGGGATGAAGATGAGTAGTGACCATTGTCTCGGGACAGAATCCAGATTACAAAGCTCTCTGCATTCTGGGGATACTAGCTTCCCTATGACCATTATAGCTTGATGAGTTTGGGTGTCTTTTTATCCTTTCATTGTCTGTTGATCCCATCCCTATGTCTGTTTCGAGGTATGGGAGTTATGAAAGTTGTAAGATGAATAAGACTTCGCAAAACCCCTTTATCAATTAGCTGATTCTAGTATGAACATTATCAACCATGGTTTTGTCTGTTCTGGATGTGAACAGAAAACATTGGTTGTAGCTGCAGCTTTTTCTTCTGTTTGCTGACTCCTCTTATATAAGTTTAGATTTATGAACCCTGCCTCTCCCTGTTCTTCATGAACCCGTGAAGATCTGGGTTAGGATATCGATCTTCAGTAACCCATGCTTGTCGTAAGAGGCGACTAACGGGATCGGGGTGGTCAGGCTTGCTGGCTTGGTTGACACATGTCATCGGTGTTCCCAATTGTGCAGATCGATGCTCATGCTTTTGATCACTGGATTGTCTGGTCCAGACTCGATTATTTACAGAATGCTGCCATATAGCTGGAATATTGCTGAGTGCGACGTAAAACTAAACTCACTCACTCACTGTTCTTCCCGAAACATGACAGTATATATATTGATTGATCTCCAGTGTGTGAAATTTATGTTCGTCCTGTGGTCCTTGGTTAGTAAAAAATTCATCAGGACTACTAAATAAAAAAGTTTGCAGTGGTCCTGGTGGCCAGTGAATTTTTATATTGATAGTTAAGTACCGGTAAATCTGTGAATGTTATTTTGGACCAGTGAAGTACAGACAGGACCACTAATTATTGTCCACTCACTGGTCCTGTGGTCTAGTGGGATATTTTGAAAGGTTTCTTTCCCTGATCTCTGATAGCCTTGCCATGATAAACAGATGTAACAACAGAGCTAGTTGGCCATGTTGGCTGATATTCCAGACTGCAGCAGAGTAACCTTGTCCCCTCGTGTGATCACTGTAACGCAAAAGAATTAAAGACCTGTAAGCACAGAAATTCATCACCCAAATCCAATCTCACTTTTCAATAAAGATCCGAGCTGCTCTTCAGCTTCAGTAAACCCACACTTGTCGTAAGTGGATTGGATGGCTAGATCCACTTATGGATCAGGATCTCGATGGTCTGGTTCACAGTGGCATTGTGATAGCCTAGTGATTACAGTGTTCACTCATTATGCCGAAGACCCGGGTTCGATTCCCCACATGGGTACAATGTACGAAGCCCATTTCTGGTGTCCCCGCCGTGATATTGCTGGAATATTGCTAAAAGTGGCATAAAACCATACTCACTTACTCACTCACTCACTCATAATGCCGAAGACCCAGGATTGCTTCCCCACATGGGTACAATGTACAAAGCCCATTTCTGGTGTCCCCGCCGTGATATTGCTGGAATAATGCTAAAAGTGGCGTAAAACCAAACTCACTCACTCAATCGCTCTGGTTCACACTCAAAGTGTGTCAGACAGCTGAAAGTGTGGTGTTACTTTGCAAACAAACAACATACTACACACTGACAATAGGGAATATCTCTTCATTAGTTTTTTCACATCCTTCACATTATATTTTGTCAGGTTGCTGTTTCCATGCTTTTCAAAAAATTTCATCATTTTATCCATAATATTGTCCATATAAAAATTCTTCAGTATATTTTCAATTTTCCCGCTCCAAATCTAGGGTAGAAGTTTTTGTTGCCTCAAATTTCTAAAAGGCACTTCATTTTTTTATTCACAAAAAGGCCTTTACAAAGATCCAAATGTTTTGTATTGTTCAAAAACAGTATGCAAGAGAAATTCTGTTTATTCTATCCTACAATGTTTACTGTTGCGCTTGATAAACATGCTTAGTAAACAGAACTGAACCTAAACTGATGTGATATCTGTATTCAAGAATCTGTCTCAATGTCAAACAATGTGATGTTTTCACACGTCCCCAGGCACGCAACAACCGCTTTGCTGGGGTGGTTAATAACTCATTTTCAATTGATGAACAAGATGAGTTAGACGCAGAGGTAGTACCGAGTTATCTCCCTTTGGTGGATGCAAGCGGTGATGGTTTTTGAGGGGCTTTCAAAAAGGGACGTTTTTTCATTGCCTTATTTTTGCTTTTGTTGAAGGGCTATGGGCTAGTTTATCTCAGTACATGTGAACTGTGTCTATGCGCCTGTTTGATATAATTTGTTTATATTTGGTGATGGTACGGGTTGAAGGAAGTCATTGGTGAACTTACAAAAATTACATCCATTACTGTATTTGTAATTGTCTGGTGAAATCTACCAGTTTGTCCCCTGTGCTGTTCAATGTAGTGATGTGGAACTAGCATGTACTGAATGAGGACAAAGGTTATTATCTCACCCCACACATAAATCTCATTTTCTGATTGGCTGAGCCAATCAATGTACCTGCTTACAAGCGATAACATTTTCTATGTTACCCGTTGGAAATGCCGAACTGTGGGAATTCATTTGGTACTTCGTGTTAGTAGTGTTTGGGCTGTTGCCTAACTCTGGTACTCTTTATTATGATCCAGTAACCCTGCTTCAAACAGTTCAAAATTACCATTGAGGTGTTCGGCAAGATAAATATGTTGTTCACTGGTCCCTCGGGGCCCATGGGTTGATGTACTCGATGTTTGTCTATGTCCCCTGAGCCCGAACAACTAATATGATGGAACAACTAGTGGTGTTCCGATGATTGAAAAAAATCGAAATAAGGATTGAAAATGATTATCGATTGTAAAAAAAATATTTTTGATTAATCAGAATTTTGTTGTTTTTGTATAAAACCCTTGAATTTGATGAATATTCACGAACAAACATGTACTCAACAGCGTAAAGCTATGCGCATTGTAAATTTTAACCACTTTTATTGTTTAATTACAATTCCAGTGTCTTACTTGCATGCGTGCATTTCATTGCATGACAGTATTAGTTATAAAAAACATTACTTAGAATAAACCTGGGGAAAAACCCTTAAAATTGATTACATTAAAAATGTATATATTTTGATTATAATCGATAATCGATAATCTATAGTAGATTTGGTTTCTGATTCCCAACACTAGGAACAACCCAGGTATGCAACATTCATGGAACATCAGGCATATTAAGGACCATTGTCAACTTTATCATTGTTTCATCAGTTTGTTGTTTGGGGCTATCCAGTCCTGGGAATCTGGGAATCCTCATGTCAACATTTCATTTCTGTTATGATAACATGTATTTATAATCTCTGGAGAGATTGAGTGTGTTTGTATGCGTTTTCAAAATAATCTTTCTTTTAAGTAGCATAATGTTATGTTAAAGTGATTAACCCAAAATTATTGATACTTAAGGGTTATCTATTGTTACAGATATTAAATGTTAGTAGTTAAGAGATATTATAGCAATAATAGACAACAAAAAACAAGTTTCTGGTCAGTTTCAATGATCATTTTCGGTTTTTTAGAAGAAATATCAATTGTAAATATGGCACCAATAATTTACACCAGAGCTTCAAATTTATAAGATATATTTGAGCATTCTTGGTGTTTAGCAATACCTGTTTTTTCTTGTAGAGTTTGGAATTGAGAGATGTACCTCTAAGTGCATCTAGCACGAACCTGCCCAGTAGGGATAACTCACTAATAGCACTAGCAGCCAATCAAATAACAGCTTCCTTATCAAAGCTGAATGAGGTGATATTTCTATTCAACCTCTGATTGGTCGATCCCCAGTGTCATGTGATGTGTGTGTGGCTCTGTGGTCATCATGTGGTCACCCCCTAATCATGTTTTCTGCACCTAAAAAAAAATACCTCACATATATTCAAATCACTACCTGTGCTTTACACATTCAATAATGTATTTCTCCAGACAGTATGTGACTCATGCACAATTATTTTTTATAAATTATCATGAATACAAGAGAATCAGTTTTTTCTGAAGATCTTTTAAATATGACTTAATACTGTAAACCTATGGTATGTTACAGTAAGATTTTAAAAGAAACTATCTATTTGACTCCTGTTGCACTTTTTGACATGAAAGTATGAAGTCTGCATCCATCCCTGATATGGTGGTTTCATGTGAATTTCCTAATGTTTGTTTGATATGAATATTGTGTGTAGATACTTTCTCTGTTAGCAGAGCGCTGACACGTCGTGGGGTGTTAAATGTATTTGACATCACATCACACGCATGTTCACAATCTCTTCATTTGTATTCACTTGTTGAATTTTTAATGAAAGAACTTTTTTCCAAAGAATATGTTCATTACTTTTGAATGCCTATGTTTTCCTTTATTCAAATTATGTTTTGTTTCTTAAAGGTTTCGTCTTTCCTTAAGCCTTTCATTTTCATTTGGAATGCTTTATTTGAATGTATTTGTTAATATCAGAATTTTGAATTTAAATAATTCTTATTTTGTATTATGTTAAACTGTAATATTTTGAAAGATTTGTTTTTAGTATGGAATGACTGTAATCAAACCACAGTTTCTATGGAACTTGCACATTATACATAATCTTGATATTTATATTTATATTAGTCAAAATATATCTAGTTTTAACTGCACAACTAATTATTTCAAGTTGAGACACTTCCTGCCCATGCTTGTGACCAGTGAGGATGGTATATATCAATAGCCTAAACATGATGTTGAATGTTCAGTTGATGTTCATAAAGCCTTAAGTTTATCACCATGTCTTGCTATCAAGTCCTCTTTTTCCTCTCTCTGTAATTTAAAATATGTTTTAGTCCAGTAGAACATAGTCAACACTCTAAGCATTTCCAAGAAGTGTCTCAGGTTTTCTTCAAGCATGTGGAACTAATTGCTTTTCGATAATTGATTTTATGCACAAATGTGGCCTGAGAGAGATGCCCAAGCCTAACTGACTGCTTCCTCTTTCCAGGCCCCACGGTCAACCCAACTGGACGTCCAGAGACATGGAGCTCATACCCCATCTTCCCCTGTGTCACCAATGTCTCCACGCTCCCCCCTCCCCATACACAGTCCTTATGGGTCCCCCCGGGCATCACCTCTCCCCTCCCGCCGCTCCCCCTCTCCGAGACGCCGCTGATGTGGGCTTCGCCTCTGCTGTGTCCAACATCGTGGATCAAGCCCATCACATTGCGGAGCAGGATAGACGTAAGCACCATGGTGAGTGCTACTTCTGTACCTACAGTGGAGCTTGGAAACAGCATGAGACTCACCTCATACCTGAGCAAAGGCTAAGCTTGCTTGTGTAACCTATACCCTGTCTATAGTGTTGTTGATGCAGTCATGCTTCATGTAAATGTTTTTAGTTCAGCATTAATGAAATATTCCTTGACCTATTGAGTAATCTTGATGTCTTTCTTTTTAAAAAGATCTTCATAAAATTTACATTTGACATATCTTTTAAACATAATCTCAACCGAACAAGCATGTGAAATTAAATTCAAAATAATTTTTTTAACACAGCAGGGTATTGGTTTTTTCACTTTTATAAGTTTGGATTTTTGCTTGTAAAAATTTACTCTTTTCTGGAGTAGGACATCTGCTTCCTCCTTAAGTAGACGTTTTCACCATGTTTGTTGAAACCTGGTCTACCTGTATATTTACCACGCCAAGTGGTGTGTAGCCCTGAGATCCACCTGAAATCAGAGTATATATATATATATGTGTTTGGACGTTGCCTGTCAGCATGGCGCAACACAAACCCTGTTTCAAAACTGTACATTACAAGTGATGCATGGTTCTCTGTGTTGTGCACTTTGAACTATTTTAAGAACCTTTCTGTTAAAACAATGCACTATTCTTAAACACATGATTTCTTTTTTGATGAACAACTCTTTGAAACTTTCCACTGACCATGCAAGACAACTGTCTGTTTGATAAATAGGACAAACTCAGAGACAAATTGAATCATGACAGGACTAGTTGAAGTGAGACTAGAGACTAGATCAACTGTGACTAGAGACTAGATCCACTGACTAGGACTAGATCAACTGACTAGAGAATATGACTGACTAGGAATAGATCAACTGTGACTAGGAGTAGATCAACTGACTAGGAGTAGTGACTGTGACTACTAGATCAACTGACTAGGAATAGATCAACTGTGACTAGGAGACTAGATCAACTGTGACTAGGACTAGATCAACTGACTAGGAGTAGATCAACTGTGACTAGGAGTAGATCAACTGTGACTAGGAGTAGATCAACTGTGACTAGGAGGAATAGATCAACTGTGACTAGGACTAGATCAACTGTGACTAGGAATAGATCAACTGTGACTAGAGACTAGATCAACTGTGACTAGGAATAGATCAACTGTGACTAGAGACTAGATCAACTGTGACTAGAGACTAGCTGTGACTAGAGACTAGATCTGCTTAGATGTGACTAGGGATAGATCAACTGTGACTAGAGACTAGATCAACTGCGACTAGGAGTAGATCAACTGTGACTAGGAGTAGATCAACTCTGACTATGACTGGCTTAACTGTGACTAGGAGTAGATCAACTGTGACTATGACTAGAGTGTGACTAGGAAGTGTGACTAGGAGTAGATCAACTGTGACTATGACTAGATCAAGTGTGACTAGGAGTAGATCAACTGTGAGTAGGACTAGATCAACTGACTAGTGAGTAGATCAACTGACTAGGAGTAGATCAAGTGTGACTAGGACTAGATCAATCAAGTGTGACTGTGACTAGGAGACTAGATCAAAGTGTGACTAGGACTAGATCAACTGTGACTAGGACCAGATCAACTGACTAGGACTAGATCAAGTGTGACTAGGACCAGATCAAGTGTGACTAGGAGTAGATCAACTGTGACTAGGACTAGATCAAGTGTGACTAGGAGTAGATCAACTGACTAGGACTAGATCAAGTGTGACTAGGACTAGATCAACTGTGACTAGGACTAGATCAAGTGTGACTAGGACTGGCTTAACTGTGACTAGGACTAGATCAAGTGTGACTAGGACTAGATCAAGTGTGACTAGGACTAGATCAAGTGTGACTAGGACTAGATCAAGTGTGACTAGGACCAGATCAACTGTGACTAGGACCAGATCAACTGTGACTAGGACTGGCTTAACTGTGACTAACTCTTTCTTAGCCATAACTGGAGACTTGAACACCTCTGACAAGTGACTGTCCTCAATTTGATTACCTTGACAGAAGAAAGCATTGATGTGGCTTTGGTGGTTTTGAAATCATCTTTGGTGGCTGGGACTTGCTTCTGATTTCATCTGCTCTCACACTTCCAGACAATATCTGGACTCTCAGCTCCACTGTAGATAGTCGGGATTATGCACTTGCCTTAAGCACACTGACCATGTGTATAATGATCACACACACTTGGGAGATAACTGACAACAACTCTCTGTTGATCGATTTTCTCATGGAATGACAAAATAAACCATTGCACAAACTTGATTGCTCTTTTCACATTATTGTGATGCACAGTGATCTTCAAGTGTTCAAAATAAAGTGTAATTGTGGATTGCACAGTTTGGTTATCACTCAAGTGTGTTGTTTGGCATGATGATATTCACTTATATGTTCTTCCATTCACAGGTTATGGAAACTGCAGCTTAAATAGTTTAACTGCTTGATAATGTCTCATATCTGGCTTTACTTGCAGGCTATGATAAACGGTCCTATTTATGATAATGTTATGCTGAGGTAAAGATTCTAAAGGGTTTCTAAAATGGTGTTTATTCTCACTAAACCTAGCCCTTTGCAAATTCTATTTGTTTCAATTTTCATTACACTTCTACAGACTTCACTGGGATGGATTTTTTGGTCACCTGGGCTGAAAGTCCAAGTGAGCTTATGTCATGGCTTGTCTGTCTTCATTTGGAACATCTTCTCCAATGCTGTGATGGAGCATTGAGGACATCTATATGTTTTTGCTGTACCATGTCGCCACAGTCATATGTGTTTTAAAATAGCATTTAACATACACAATATGGTGGTTGAGCTATTTATAAAAATAACTTTCATTGAATAAATGCCAGTACTTGAACCAGGTGAGCTACAGGACTATTGCACAGTTTTCACAAATTTGTCACAGATGCAATTTTGGAGTGAGTTTCATCGTTGAAACCTTTCTTCTTATGTTTAGTAGTTAATAACAGTAGGTATTATTTCCTGTGTATTATGATACATCTCAGTTAAGAATACCTATTTTACCCAAATGTATTGTTTGAAAGTACATTTGGTCACGTTTAGTATTTCAAAAACTGCTTTTTCCAAAATTAAATTCAATAACATATATTGCGAGTTATATCCATTTTTGTTTCACCATTGTTTCTTTTGATATTTGGACAGTTAGGAAGAATATTTTCTATTAATTAGTATCCTTTCTACAATTACATTATTACTAGTTTTCTTATAGTAGTTTTTGTCTTTTTGGGGACAGGTTTTATGACTTTTATATAATCAATACTGCGTTACAATGCATGTGTATTCATGAATCACGGCAACAAATACTATCCCCTTTCAACAGTGTTTCAAATATTCAAGCATCACAGGAACAAACAGCACACCTGTTCAACTATGTTTCAAATATGCATCACAGGAACAAATAGCACACCTGTTCAACATTGTTTCAAATATTCATGCATCACAGGAACAAATAGCACACCTGTTCAACAGTGTTTCAAATATTCATGCATCACAGGAACAAATAGCACACCTGTTCAACATTGTTTCAAATATTCATGCATCACAGGAACAAATAGCACACCTGTTCAACATTGTTTCAAATATTCATGCATCACAGAAACAAATAGCACACCTGTTCAACAATGTTTCAAATATTCATGCATCACAGGAACGAATGACACACCTGTTCAACATTGTTTCAAATATTCATGCATCACAGGAACAAATAGCACACCTGTTCAACATGTTTCAAATATTCATGCATCACAGGAACAAATAGCACACCTGTTCAACATTGTTTCAAATATTCATGCATCACAGAAACAAATAGCACACCTGTTCAACATTGTTTCAAATATTCATGCATCACAGGAACAAATAGCACACCTGTTCAACATTGTTTCAAATATTCATGCATCACAGGAACAAATAGCACACCTGTTCAACATTGTTTCAAATATTCATGCATCACAGGAACAAATAGCACACCTGTTCAACATTGTTTCAAATATTCATGCATCACAGAAACAAATAGCACACCTGTTCAACAGTGTTTCAAATATTCATGCATCACAGAAACAAATAGCACACCTGTTCAACATTGTTTCAAATATTCATGCATCACAGAAACAAATAGCACACCTGTTCAACATTGTTTCAAATATTCATGCATCACAGAAACAAATAGCACACCTGTTCAACATTGTTTCAAATATTCATGCATCACAGAAACAAATAGCACACCTGTTCAACAGTGTTTCAAATATATAATCATGCATCATGCATCACAGAAACAAATAGCACACCTGTTCAACATTGTTTCAAATATTCATGCATCACAGGAACAAATAGCACACCTGTTCAACTGTGTTTCAAATATATAATAATGCAAATATCATAAATGCACATTTGTTTCTTAAACATAAAGATATTATTTTCAAGTACACAGCTTAATGAACCCATGATTCAATTAATATTCAACATTTATATGAATTTGCTTGCTTGGCTTGTTTCTGTTAAAGCACCAATGTCAAATACTTCACTATGATAAGATACTGAGTGAAGGTCATTTACAAAGTAGGTCACATCAGATCACCTTGCTAATCACCCAATCAGTGTTGATGTATGTAAATTCTCAGTACAAATGAACATTCAGACAAGAAAAACTGATTTCTGCTATCTCAAAAATAAAGTTGACATGGTTCCAAATGTTTATAACTGAAATTGAGCCATGTTGTTGTGGATATTTTATACAATTGTGAGTGCCCATGCATTTACATTGAAACAGAACTATGAAGGTATTTAACATATGTTATATTACACTTTCTTAGTATAGTACAGATTCTAGTACTTTTGTTGGGTTGATTCCCATCCGGGATTCGAACCCACACCCTCAGAGTCAGACACCTAATCGCTAGCACACAAAGTCAGACGCCTAGACCACTCAGCCACCGCAGCTTCCACATAATGGAAATGAAAATCCACAGTGCCATTTAGAGCTCAACCCAACAAAAGTACTAGAATCTGTACTTTACAAAGAAAGTGTAATCCGAAATATAACATATGTTACATTTGACCACTTTCTAAATGGCATTGTGTATTTCATAGCTTTCGGCCGTGGGAGCCATGCCAATAAACACATATCAGAGGGGTACACAAAGTCTGCAGTCTAGACTACCAGTTGTCTGACTTCCATTTTTGTGGAAGCCGCGGTGGCTGAGCGGTCAAGGCGTCTGACTTTGTGTGCTGGCGATTAGGTGCCTGACTCTGAGGGTGTGGGTTCGAATCCCGGATGGGACTCAACCCAACAATAGTACTAGAATCTGTACTTTACGAAGAAAGTGTAATCCCAAATATAACATATGTTACATGTGACCACTTTCTAAATGGCATTGTGTATTTAATATTTTATGGAGGTATTGTTTGGTAATCTGGTGATATTAAGCATTTTTCTGGGCTCAAATTGGATTTTATTTCCTAATGTGTAGATTTTGGTTTATAAATAAGATAACATTATTGCTGGAACAGAATTTTAGTACGCTGGATGTCTTGTGAAGAATAATGGGGAGATTTTGGAGCTGAAGTGTTGTGTTGAGATCTACAGCAGTAGACAGCCTTTCCTTGCAGCCAAGTTAATACGAGGGTTCATTGAAATGTTCTGAGCCTCACACTGAAGTAATAGCATAATAGTGAGATCTTTCCTATGGACATTTCATAATGTATGGCACTTAGGACTATCTTAGCGCTAAGAGAGCTTCGAAAATCTAGGCCCTGAAATCCAGGATATGGTAATGACTCACACCAAATAACTAAGCATCATATAGTGCTGGTTCAGTATGTGCTTCCCAGATGAGAGTGCACTTTATAATCACAGAAACTTTGGCAATGAAGAGAGTGGCAGCTTCTTGTGTCCAAACACTTCTGAGGTTGGACAATTAACACACTGGGCACGATGTGTCTGGTGATAAGAAATGGAAGCATTTGACATCATCATCAAAGAAGGCAATGACCATCCCATCAAAGTTCTGCAACCAGGTTCTGGGATGCCAAGGATGTCATAATGGTAGACTATCTTCCTAAAGACCTGACAATGAACAGAGTATATTGTGAGATGAAATTCAGACCATAAAAGGGAAGATGCATGACAAATGGTGTACTCTTCCATCTGGACAACACACCAGTGCTGGAATCACTCATTGCCATTTCTACAGTCCATAGGTTCTTGACTTCCTTCAGCAGCCACCATAATCTCTTGATCTGACTCCACCATACTTCCATTTGTTTCCCAACATAAAAAGACTCGAACTATTAAGTCATTGTGAAGAACAGACAAGGAAAGGACTTCAACAAAACAAGGATAAAACCACTCCAACATTTTTGGTAAAGGAGCATCAGTGTGGAGTGAGTGAGTGAGTTCAGTTTTACGCCGAACTCAGCAATATTCCAGCTACATGGCGGCGGTCTGTAAATAATCGAGTCTGGACCAGACAATCCAGTGATCAACAGCATGAGCATCGATCTGCGCAATTGGAACCGATGACATGTGTCAACCAAGTCGGAGAGCCTGACCACCCGATCCCATTAGTCACCTTTTACAAGCATGGGTTACTGAAGGCTCATTATAACCCAGACCTTCACGGGTCGCATCAGTGTGGAAGGGGATTTCGGTTGGAAAATGCAGCATTTCAATGTCTTTAGGTCAAGATTTTCTATATGTGGCTCAGAACAGATCAATTATCCCTTGTAGCTCGTCTTGGCAGAAACAGTTTCAAAAATGACTCAAAAACTTATGTTAAATGGTGTTGTGAAGGGGTTAAACCTGTTAGCATTGTGCTTGTATCCACAGACCAACATAAACTTTACATGGTAATGATATAGTTGGTACAATGTGGATTCTGGTCAATTGAGGAATAATGCAAGTATATGTATTGTTAAGAATACCTGATGATGAAATGCAGTGTGATGCTCTCACTAATCAATATAAAATATGTCCTTTGTAGTATCAACTGTGCTTGAAAATAACCTGATCTTGTGCAGATTTCATGAATATATACATTCCAAATTACAACTTCACTCCAAATTTTAAAATAACTAATGCTAAATTCTTTGTGGGGAATCTAAGTCTACAACTGAGTTTTGGTTTTACGCCGCTTTTAGCAATATTCCAGCAACATCACGGCGAGGGACACCAGAAATGGGCTTCACACATTGTACCCATGTGGGGATTCGAACCCGGGTCTTCGGCGTGGTTACGAGCCAACACTTTAGCCACTAGGCTACCCCACCTCCCCCTCTAAGACTACAAGACCAGATATAGTCATACAATTCCAGTGAGCTACAGTACCTAATGGCTTGGTTTGATTGCAATAGGCCTTGAAATTCTGTTTTGAAATGCTACTACTGATTGAGGAAATATGTCATGTTTATGTATTTTTCATGATTTCTCTTAATACAACATTTTTATTCACTGTGCTTTAAAGCCGACTTCATCATATAATATTTCCAACTGAATGAATTTTTGATTGAATATTTAGATTTTTCCAAAATTGACAATACATATGAATGATATACTCTTTCATCTGGAAATCAATTCCTTTTTCACTTTTGTACAATAAGACGTCAATATTTTTCAAATGATGAAATTTTTCTATACTAAGTAACACAAGGCACTACATCTGCAGTTTCACAATTATAAGATTTGTGGATGTACTTTCTTCTGCAGGCCATCGCCATGATGACAGTTTGAGTGTTCCAAGCTCTCCTCAGATGCGTGGTCGGACACATTCCCGCAACATCCGCCCTCCCCTAACACAGCAGCATCCAGTGTATGGCTCTCCCCACCCTAGTCCTAAACCACCCCGCAAAAACAGGGACTCCACTTTCTACAGATCTACATCATTAGAAAACCGATCTCGGAGCCCTTCGCCTAACCCTAACTTGTCGCAGTCTCAACTAGAATACTACGGTTCAGCAAACCTGACCGACAGATCCCGTAGTCCAAGCCCTGCCCAGTCACCTCCTAAACGTGTTGGGCGAAAGTTACCACCGGTGCCCGCGTCAAAACCATCATCATTAAATCTTGCTCAACCAAAACTGAAAGAAAGCATGCCCAGAGTAATGCCGTCTCCAACAGTTCCACAGCCACCAAAAAGCCCAGGGAGTATTAACTTTCCCAAGCTGAACGCATCACCAACGCACCTCCCCAAACTGAACATCCCGCCTCATTCCTCGCATCATGTGCCTCCACCAGGCCGGCTTGGGAGACCTGAGCCTTATAGTCCCACAGAGAGAAACAATCTCAACAAACTTAGTGACCCTAAATCTCACACCTTACCTATCGCTCAAAGGACTAGTGGTTACCATGGTGATTCACCGTACCATGGAGCTGACCGTGGAGGCCGACAGTCTGGCCGAGCACCAGATACTCATGCCAGTGATAGGAGTAGATTTTTAGCCAATCAGTTTGCAGATACACCACCCCAGGAGACAGGGGGAAGTGGGCGGGGATCTCGGTCTGCTGCTACCCTTCCCAATGGTTTTAAACCCAAGGTGAAGGGCAAAGGACGGAAGCCAGAGAAATATGAACTTCGCAGTGATAGTAACATTCCTTTGCATAATGAATCTGATGAAGAGGATGATTGGTGTTAGCGTTTGTGCTTAATTAGGATTTTCCAATTTATTCTGGTTGCCTTGGAGACCATTTGGTTACCATGGATACCAAAGAAGCATGTGGTTTCCGGTTTCTTTTCTATGTGTGATCATTCAAGACAATGTGAAGACCAACTGATATGAATGCTGCTTTTTTTTAAATGGAATATCTTCATAACCACTTCCATAATGTGCTCTTAAGTGTGTTTCCATGACAACTGTGGGTGTGGATACCATATATTGTGTGGATTACGTACAGTGTACATGGCATACAGATAGCACTACTCAGATGCAATGCTCAGTGAGGTCTGTCCAACCAGTCCTCTAGGCAGTCACGAGATGAGAGTCCACATTCACACCCAAACTTTCTCCTTGTGGACACTGGTCTTCTAGATCTTGTCAACTGGCTTCCTGCCAGGCTAATTCCTAGTGTATATCATGTACTGCAGTAACTGCTGCCGATAATGGCACTGGACAGTCAGCTGGTAGAGGACTACCATTCATGTTGCTAATCTGACCAGTTTTCACCAGTTGTTAAGCACGCTGGATACTCTTATATTCAGTAATGTTGTTATTCCATGTTTAAATAGGTGTATGTTGGTGATATGACAAAATGTGTAAATGTACATGCTGTCCAACATTCAAGTTGTTTCTGACCAAACACTATAGAGACCAACTATTTAACTGAAAAGAATGGTTTAGAAATAGCTATCTTATTGAGAGTTCTACAGTCTGCATAGGTTTTGCCATGCAGAAAATATACTCCACATTTGCTCATGTAGATACGCTTGCAAAAGTAGGAATATATGAGAAGTGGATTTATAATGTCAAAATTATGTTGTAAAGGCTGTTTTGCATAATTTATAACAAGGACCTGTTGTTATCTAAAATTGTTTTTCTGCATTATGAAAAGGCAAAGATGGTATAGAATAGTATTGTTCTATTGCTGAACAGTCAAGATGAAATTGTGGCTGTATATGTTCCAATATTTCAAGTCATCTGTCATCGGTGACCTTGTTAACGCTAGTTGCAGGTGATGTACATAGTTACTAGTTTGAAAGTGATATACTATTCCCATGCACAGGTTTTCACTTCAGGAATTATTGTGAATTTGTCATTTGTTTTCTTTTTTGAATTTATTTATATTTTCCTTAATTTTGTGCTGATCCAGCAGAGTCAATGTGATGTTGAAATAGTAGAAGACAATAGTGTTTCGTAGAACTTTCATTCTCACTTGTAAGAGGTAATGGGTGATATTAAGCTTTGTCATGTGTCGGAATTCTTCAACCTTGTCAAATGTATATCTCTTAGGCTGAAATAACGAATCAGTCACATCAGTTACTGTCTCATTGCTTTGGCTGTTCAGATCAGTCATATCCATAAATATCTCATTGCTTTGGCTGTTCAGATCAGTCATATCCATAAATATCTCATTGCTTTGGCTGTTCAGGTCAGTCATATCCATAAATATCTCATTGTTAAGGCTGTTCAGATCAGTCATATCCATAAATATCTCATTGTTAAGGCAGTTCAGATCAGTCATTTCCAAACTATCTCATATCCACATCAACTATCTCATGTTCATGTCATATCTGTTAATATCTTTGGTCATGGTTGTCTAGCCAAGTCATATTTATTAAATATCATTGATCAAAGCAGTCTAGCCAAGTCATATCTATTAAATATCATTGATCAAGGCAGTCTAGCCAAGTCATATCTATTAAATATCATTGATCAAGGCAGTCTAGCCAAGTCATATCTATTAAATATCATTGATCAAGGCAGTCTAGCCAAGTCATATCTATTAAATATCATTGATCAAGGCAGTCTAGCCAAGTCATATCTATTAAATTTCACTTATCAAGGCTGTCAAGCCACATCATATCTATAAATATCATTGTTCAAGGCTGTCTAGCCAATTCATATCTATAAATATCATTGTTCAGTGCTGTCTAGTCCCATCATATCTGTCACAATCTCAAGATTTTAGACTGTGCAGATCTGTTACACTGTTTCTCCAAGTCTCTTTACACCAGGAATATCCATCACTCTCTCAGACTGTTACTCATTGTTACTCAGAGTTTATGGTATAAATGACTTTCTCATGTCCATTCAGAACCTTAACACATCTGTTTCATGGTTATATTCATGTTAAGTTAAGATTGTTGTCTGTTTTAGACAAATGGTACCACTGATATTTTCAAAATAATTTTTGCTCCAAATTCTGTAGCAAGCTATGTCTGATGGTAGAAGGTATATTTATTTGAAGTCATATTGAAATTATTCGTGATAGGAATAATGGTGATTGTAAATAGAGACAAACTCACAGTCCCATCGAATTTGAATGTGATTTGTAGATTATCACATGTGGCATCATTAGTCAAGACAGAGGCCCACTTTACCCGCTCAACTAAACACTCGCATGCTGAAACAAAAAAGAGATCATAAAGAATTTTACTGAAGCAATTATACTGGAAGATTTGTCTGTCCACCTATTAGTAAATCAGAAATAGGTATGAGATAAGCCAGTACCATGGTGACATTGAAACATAATCATGATCCGGAGGTTTGTTTGTGTTTACATGAGAGATTTGTTTATTGTATCTCAGGTGTTCAGCTATTTATTGTCAGATGTATTATGTTTTATCACATGGTGTTTTTGTGCCTTTTTGTGAGCTGGCCTCATGTGTAGCCCAAGTTATTGTATATAGGATCTACATACAGCGCTTCTAGTCAACTTAGAAAGTCAGCAGGCCAATGGATTCTATCATCATAAGTACAATGATCTCACTGCTATACACAGTACTCACAAAGATATATGATGTCATCCATTTAAAAATATGTTGAAATATATTCAGATTTTATGAATTTGATAGATTTGAATTTAAGTACTATTATTCCTATAGTTATGTATTCATTGTCCCGGACACCTTGTTCTTGAAGTATCTCCAATGCTTGTCATTAGGACCAGGTGATGGTGTAGTGATGGCACCCATTACGGCAACCTGTGTTTGTGTGGATGCACTGTAGGGAGACTGTATGCCACACATAACACTACTTCTGTCCTTTTTAATAAGTTACAACACTTTGAAACAGTCATGTTTGTTTGACTATCCTATAGTGTGCCCAAACTGTCCCCTTTGTACAAACTGGTTGATGTTCACAGTGTCTGGCTTCATCCTGTATCTTGGAGGCAGGCTTTAAATTATTGAAGTAAATACTCAGCAGCAAATCAGATTTGAAAATATAATCTTGCTCTCTCATATTAAAACAGGTGTTTGTGATTCATCATCAATGACTTTCGACAATATGCTTTTATAACAAACACCTTTTTGGAAACATTTTTGTCCTAAGCTAGGTGTTAGCTGCTATACCATATCATTTAGGTGTTTAGTATGAACGTAATACGACCATTATATTGCAGCATGTACCAGATTTAGAACTGTAGGAAATTGTACAGTACTAAGGGCTCCATGCTCATATATCCATAAAACACTATGTACTGTCTAGTTGACAGCTCCACTTACAGGAGGCCATATATAGATCAAGTTGAAACAAGACTATGAATGATGCTGATGCTTGTTATTGCTGATGTTCATCAAGGTGCTCCCATCTTAAACATACAACAAATGGTAAATACATAGAGAAGGGGAGAGTATTCCCACATAGGAGTGGTTCCATCTCCGAGGCAGCTTCAGTTGGCCTAGTTACAGTTCTTATTGTCTGTAATGGATTGTTAGTTCTCACAAATATTATCAGAAGTCGTCTATTGTAAGTTATTTGTGAATGCATGTTAAAGAGCCATATATGTCTATTGTTGTTAGCTCATTTTGTATGTTTCTTCCACAGAACCCACAGTTTATTGTTACAGATGTTTGCTGGTTCATGCATTATTGTTATAGTACTAGTTCTAACTATTGACAACAACCTTACAATATATCAGCATCAGTTAAGAAACAAGTCTTGTGACAAGGACACTGTGATATGGAAAATACTTGAATCATGTTTACAGAACAACATGAGTGTATGATTACTATCACTGTCATCACATAGTCACTTGTTCATTTGTAAATAGATGGTGTCTTCTCTCTTTTTGTTTTCAAAATTTAAATTAAGAAATCCTAACAGTCGTATATCTGTTGAAATTAGTCAATAATCTTGCACAGTCACTCGCTATGATGTGCTGATCTTCTAGTTTTAGTAATATTATTTTGTTATTTCCATTATTATCTTTATTGATACTTATACATTTTGCTGCATGGATGTGTTTGCCATACGGTTTTCTATGCAATTTTCTCTTGTGAGTTTCTGAAAAAAAACAGTGAATGTGACGATCATACCAACTGTAAACTTGTTGTATATTGTGTAAATATAAGATCTTATATTTATAATGACATCCACGTTATATTTGTAAATTTTCACACATTTGTCAGGAAGGTGTTTTTGTTGAGAAAACAACTTCTTGATTCTGTTGATATACTAGGTCCTATGTTCGCTCACGACTTGCATTCAATGTATTGACTAAATTTTCATAATCATTTTTGTTAGAATCTTGACCTGTAGATATATACTAGTGTTGTTGAAGTGTTGACCGCTTCCTCACTGTTTGTTGTGCGGTATGTATAGAAACAATAGGATATAGAAGGGAACCCTGTCGCCCTCCATTCCCACCTTATAAAGAGACAGTGATCAGTGGTCCATGTTCGACGTAGTTCAAACAATCAAACATTGCAGCCACCTCATGATGACTGGCAGGCTTTTCAGCATGTTAAAGTGCTCCTGAAAATTTATCAATAACTTGTTTTTATTCTACTCAATCTCGCCTTAAAATTAAAATATCTTAAAAATTGGAAGTTATTTGTTGTCTTTTGTCCTACATGAGTTTTGAGTTTGGGCTTTGTGAGGAGGACTTCACAAAAACCATTAGCAACTAAATGCCACCCATACATACAGAAAGAAGGAATGAACAGACCTGTATCCTACTGGAAAGTCTTTGCAGATACAAGAGCAACTCCTCCGAGACAATAAAGGAAAATGTTTTTCTCCGGATTGTTGATTCCCAAAAGGTAAAATTATAGGTATTGCCCAAAAGAAAGAAAAAGTGGGAAATAAAAATAAATATTATAAAGCAGAATTAAATCTAAAAAAATCCTAAAAGCATATTTACAGACAATTCAAGACCAAAAGGTGATGGTGATCTTGATAAATGGCCTCCCATGGATGACAATGAAAGGTTCCACCCTATAAAATGTTTGAATACAATATAAAATCTTCACAAGGAGTTTGACAAATCTTGTCATACTGCTCTTCCAACAATATCATTTATAGAGAGCAGAATGGAGCAAGGAAGAGATGTAGGGATGCAAGGATCAACTTGCCACTGTAACGACTCCATGTGCTGTATTTACTAGCATACTACTCTGTCCCTCATGAATGGATTCTGAGGTATCTTGACTGCAGTGACCTATCTGAGCAACTACTTTATTTACTGAAGTCTTTGATGAGTTGCTCGTTGACTCAACTTGAGATGTACTCGCAAGGGCAGGTGCAGACTTCATAGTCTATTCTAATCAGAAGGTAATATTCTATGGGGACTTTTTTGTCTTTTAATCCTTCGACCTTCCTGCTCAATAAAGAGGAGGGTTGCCATCCCAGACCTACACACCACAGATTCCCAACATCACTTACTCATGTGCATAACATGGATGACATCACCTTCCTTTCTAAAGGAGACGTCAATTAGTTCTATCAACATGAGTAGGACATTTTGACTAATTAACTTGAAAAGTGTTGAATGATGACCCAGTCAAGTTATATAGGGGCAGGAGTTATTGAGCAACTTTTGGAAAATCAGACATACATGTATCACAGTTGTCTAAATGATGACAATGACAACGATGACAATACTTTATTACCCCTAAGGAAATTCTTTATACATTTGAAAGTGATCACATAATTAAATATTAAAAATGACAAAGTTTAAGAAAACACAACACAATAGACAAACAAAGTTAACAGTCATTTAAACGGCGAATATATGCTGGAATAAAAGAATTTTGAGCTCTTTTTGTTTTTAAACGGGGCATTTGGTATTGGCAGCCTGAAGGAAAAACATTATATTCAGAAAATATAACATGGCTGGAATCCGATAAAATTCCCTCAGCAAGGATAAGAACACTTGAAGTAAAAGACGATAATCCGAAACAGACACACCAGAGATTTTACTTGCAATTAAAATGATTTTGCTTTTGATATAAAGAGAGCCCTACCAGCATTGAACTGAAAAGGTTAAAATACTTTTTAAAGAAACAATGATAAAACGACAGAATCACCTCTTAGTATATGTTAAAAGATTCAGTTTGCGCATAAAATACAATCTTTTAACTGACATTTCTTAAAACTAAAATCAGTGTTTGGACACCACTGAAGTTGTCAATAATAGTGCCAGGATATTTGAACTGTGTTACAATTTCGACAGTTTCACCCTTGATTTCAACTGGCATAGTGTCTCTTTTTGGTTTCTAAAATCCACGATGAATATGTAATGAAATGTTGACTGCACTAGTGGTACAACAACAACTCTGAGCATATACAGGGTGTCATGGAAAATGATTCATTTAAAGGCCTGTTTGCAAACCCAAAAAATCCCAAGGGTTTCTAATTGGCCTAGCTATTCCTCAACAGTGTAGATGTTATCAGCCCATGAGTGACAGGACTGTAGCGGTTATGGTGCCTGAAGATTAATAATGATGAATTATTATGGATATACATAGATTCTAATGTTTTTGTTGCTTAACAATGACATTTGAATCTATGTCGAAACGCTGCCTCCACAGAATAAAAGAAGTTGTATATCCATAATAATTGATTCTTCATCAACTCAACTTTAAAATGCCCATCAAAGAAGTTGTGGGTGCCTGGTAAGAGCCTGACAATGTCAAGGTTAACATTGGAATTTACTACTAGAATAAGCATGTGCCTTATAGTAAATGTCGACAACCTTTGCTACTCTTAATTTGATGATTATAAGAGATTAATTTGAAAGCATATGTAAATATTTTCCATAATAAAATTTTCAATATGGTGATGTCAGCATCAAATAAGGGTACTTCTAACCCTGCACAGCATGGTGTCAAAGTGGGAGGGGTTATTTTCACAGCCTGCCTGAAATATGAAACCCTGAAAGAAACTTTTAAACACTCACAGGCTTGTTTCTGTGGAAACACACCTACTCTGGCCACCTGACTGATAGTGGGAAATTCAAATCTGGATTTAAAAAATAGAAATATATATATATTTTTTCAAAATGTATGTTTTATAGGCTGCCTGCATACATACATTTTAACGTGAGCCTTCATAACACTTCTTTATGCTATGGCTTAATTTCATAATGAACCGGTAAGTCAATTTTGTGATACTTGATGGAATGTACTTGAATACTGCATTGCTTTGCATCGAAAGACAGCTTTGACAAGGCAAGGAGGCCACATACCATCTGTGTATCGGTTTGAACGCCGGCCTATGAACATCTTTGGAAAAATAGGCCCAAATACAGCCTAGGAACAAATCCTGCCAAAAACATGATCTTGTCCTCCTAGAAAAAAGCCAATGTATGTTATTGAATTTGCTGTCCCTCTGGACCCCAATATAATTCAGGAAAAGCTAAATATGTGGACCTCACCTTGAAATGTCTTATATACCATGTCTTATATACCAAGTAACAAGTTGTCCGACCAGGTGCTTATATAATCCCGGAAGTGTTTACTTCAGACTGACACTTCTTTGAAACACATTGATTTATATGCCACATCGTCATAGGTAAGTTACCTCAAGAGTCAGCGAGCTACTCCTGTACACTAAACAGTGAGCGGAAAGCCTGCTTGTCTATGTTTGCATGTGTATTTCTCAGTTTTGAGTAATTAATGTATCAACAAACAAACACTGAAGCCATTTTGAGAGTAATGACTTTCTATCAGATATCTCTGTACATGTATTCCTGCAGTCTGACTTGTTCATGCCAGAGGAGATTTTTATCAATGTACATGAATACAATATAAACAATTTGATAATCCTAATTCAGGTGCTTTGAATAAAAAGTAAATGACACACCTGAGTGTATCTGTGAATCACAAAAACATTGTAAAATCAACACAAACTTTACATATGTACAAACAACACACGTCAATGTAACAAAATCAACAAAGTATATGTCAACACAGTATATGTACAACCAACACATGATGGTGTCGGCCGCTGCTCAACATCCTTCAGGAATAATCCTTGGCAACGACTGCTCTGCCTTCAGTTAAAAGGCCTTGACAACCCTCCATTCCACAAAGAGTACTGACACAAGCCTGTGTCTGTTGTTTCTAAGAAGGGACAATGCTACCTTTTGTTGCCAAGTGGAAGGTAACTGGGGCTTCAAGAGATGATTGTTAGCAACTGGTTTCTTCGAGATATGATTGTTCGCTACAGATGATCAATAGATGATTGTTCGCTACAGATGATCAATAGATGATTGTTAGCTACAGATGGTCAACAGGTGATCCTGCCTCGGTTACAGTTCGGCAATGGTAGACAGTTGTAAAATACTACTCTGTGCACTCTCACAAACACAACAATAATGTTTTGAAATTTTGTATTTTAGCAACATAGTATTTAGACCACATCCTTTGTAGGTGAGACATTTTTTGTAAAGTTTTGTATCATGTTTATAAATATGCTTTATGACCATTCTCTTGATAGGGAATGACAGATTTGACAGACCTTGTATTTAAACATTTTTTGACTGAGGACAGGAAGCTAATCAATCTTAGAAGATGTCTGGCACAGGAAATAGCATTCACTTCATGACTCTTTGAACTGGGATCTTAAAACCACCATTTCTAGCAGGAAGCTTTGTGGATTTGTATGACTGTATAAGAGTGGTGGCTCTTGTAGAGACATCGCTATACTTGACATGGGGTGAGAAGCATAAGAGTCCTGGAGGATGCTTGGCACCGGGCTACTGCTCACAGGTTCTTGTGGCATGGGATGGTTATTAGAACTGCTTAGTGTGGTGCTACGTCCAATGGATGTCACAGTTGTAGTGTCCTCTTTGGCTTGAGTATACACAGCCTGCTGGTTGTTGTTCAATCTTGAAACCATATTCTGACATGTCGTGAAAGGAGCACTGTTTATTATTGGTAGATTGTGTTCCTGTAAACCTTTATCACCTGAGACAGACGTCCTGCAGTCAGGTTCAACCCTTTGTCGGTAGTGATGCTGCTGGTGCAGTGTTGTAGTCACTGCCATTACAAGACATCATATTGCTCTCAGCAGCATCTTGGGCTGACATCCAGCTGTGTGGTGTAACTAGTAGTCCTGACAATGAAGAAAAGCCTGGCTGTGTACCTATGTCTGACATGGTTGTAAGACAGGATGAATCTGATGAGGAAATTTTTGAACCTTGATTTGTATCCAGTTGAAAATCTGGCACAAACTGAGATTTGCTTGAAGAAAATGTGAATGGGTGTTGACCTGTCTTCGTCATGAGCTGTGAACCACCTGGCTGTGTCATGAGTTGAGGTCCACCTGGGTGTGTCATGAGCTGTGAACCACCTGACTGTGTCATGTGCCGTGAACCAGCTGGTTGTGGCATGAGTTGTGAACCACCTGGCTGTGTCATGAGCTGTGAACCACCTGACTGTGTCATGAGCTGTGAACCACCGGACTGTGTCATGAGCTGTGAACCACCTGACTGTGTCATGACCTGTGAACCACCTGACTGTGTCATGAGCTGTGAACCACCTGGCTGTGACATGAGCTGTGAACCACCTGGCTGTGTCATGAGCTGTGAACCACCTGGCTGTGTCATGAGTTGAGGTCCACCTGGCTGTGTCATGAGTTGAGGTCCACCTGGCTGTGTCATGAGTTGAGGTCCACCTGGCTGTGTCATGAGCTGTGAACCACCTGACTCTGTCATGTGCCGTGAACCACCTGGCTGTGGCATGAGCTGTGAACCACCTGACTGTGTCATGAGCTGTGAACCACCTGACTGTGTCATGGGCTGTGAACCACCTGACTGTGTCATGAGCTGTGAACCACCTGACTGTGTCATGAGCTGTGAACCACCTGGCTGTGGCATGAGCTGTGAACCACCTGGCTGTGGCATGAGCTGTGAACCACCTGGGTGTGTCATGAGCAGTGAACCACCTGGCTGTGGCATGAGCTGTGAACCACCTGGCTGTGGCATGAGTTGAGGTCCACCTGGGTGTGTCATGAGCTGTGAACCACCTGACTGTGTCTTGTGCCGTGAACCACCTGGCTGTGTCATGAGTTGAAAACCACCTGGCTGTGTCATGAGTTGAGGTCCACCTGGGTGTGTCATGAGCTGTGAACCACCTGACTGTGTCATGGGCTGTGAACCACCTGACTGTGTCATGAGCTGTGAACCACCTGACTGTGTCATGAGCTGTGAACCACCTGGCTGTGTCATGAGCTGTGAACCACCTGGCTGTGGCATGAGCTGTGAACCACCTGGCTGTGGCATGAGTTGAGGTCCACCTGGGTGTGTCATGAGCTGTGAACCACCTGACTGTGTCTTGTGCCATGTGCCGTGAACCACCTGGCTGTGTCATGAGTTGAAAACCACCTGGCTGTGTCATGAGTTGAGGTCCACCTGGCTGTGTCATGAGCTGTGAACCACTTGGCTGTGACTGTGTCATGAACTGTGAACCACCTGGCTGTGCCATCATCTGAGTACTTGACAGGCAATTGCTACTCCAAGTGTTTATATCAGACTGTTGTACCTTTGGCCAAAGGTGAAGTTGCTGATACAAAGGCGTCAGTGGTCCTATGTGCTGACTAGATTGGGTCTGGTTAAAGAGGATAAAGAAGTACATGCAGCAGGTTGTAAACAGTAAACCTATCATTTGAATCTGAATCACCTAATCAAATACTGAATAATCAGGTTTTTGACATTTATTTTGTTTCATTTACATCAAAACCCTGTTGCATACCAGATACATTCTAAATTACCTACTGTGCTTACATGGTGCAATCTTTAACCATAACGGGAATGTGTGGAATATGTCAGAAACTAATTTTCTGTATAATATTGTGTTTTAGTAGTATAGAGCAGTATGTTGTGGGCTTGCAGGCAGTATGTTACACAATGTGGCTGGTCTGTCTGTCATGGTTAGCAGCCAGTAGTATAAGAACAACAGCCAGGCATGTCTAGTCACAATATACTTACATCACACCATCCAGGAGCATCCACACTTACACCTCGCCGTCTTCTTCTGAAACCAAAGGCATAAAATGCTGTGACCAAGAAAATTATTTCAAAGTTAACCACTGAATGAATGATGATACTTAATCAACAGTGATACAGAACTTGGTTTCTTCTAATTTCCTTTTCCTGCTGGGTGTATTTCATTGCTTTCGTTGTCATGCTTGCAACTGACATTGTGACTTCACCAGGTTACACTACTACAGAAGGAATTGGGATGGATGATCTTCATGGCTGACAGTCAGTCACATTGCGATATCATTAGGTTACTCTCATGCTGTTACAGAGCACACCCACCTCCTTGGTGCAGTGGTTAGAACCCTTGACGGAGAGCAGAAGGTCGCGGGTTTAATCCCCGGTCACGTCATACCAAAAGATATGGACAGATCAAGAGGGGGTTGTGCACCCCCACTTTTGTCCTAAAGGTTTATCAAATGACCATTGAAACTCTCGTGAAAATGAAGTGTGCACCCCCTCTTTCTCAAAAGTGTGAACCCACCCCACCCTCCCCCCACTTTCACAAAAAGCTGTATCCACCCCTGAATTCGAAAGAAGTTAAAATATGGTACTTGTTGGTCCCTGCCTTGCGCTCGCCATTAATGGGTACAACAAGGACTGGTCAGCTCGGAGTCAGTATAATGTGTCTGAGTGGGGTATTCATGCTTCACTGCGGCATGGTATATCAGTGAGCTTGCACTATAAAACCAGCATAAGTCTGGGCTAGTACCAGCAGCCACACATACACACGCATGAGCAAAACATTCTAAAGTATGAGGTTAAACCCCAATTCACCTCACAGAGCATACTGACACATACAGTAGCTGGCCATAAGTGAGTCATCATTAGTGAAATTCCCATAGACTTGCATGGTAATTAACTATTACAAGAATAATTTTCATAAATCTAGTTTCGGTCGAATTGCTTTTAATGCTTACCTACCAGCTGGGAAATCATCTCAGCTACATACACATAATTTACATTCAATTTACCGATGATTATTAAGAAAACTGCAACTATTTAAACAACACATATTAGACATACCAGTCAGGTTTAACATGGCTGTGTATGGGGTAGATTAAAACTTGTATGTACCTATGATGCTTAATCAGGTGTCATTCGGTAACTAATTAACGGAAAGATGAAAGGAAATTATGTACACATAGCTGAAGATGATTTCCTAGATGTTTGCAAAATATCAAAACAAAATGACTTCTACTAAATTTATGAAAATTATTCTTGCAACAGTTAATTAACATGTAAGTCTATGGAAATTTCACTAATGATGACTCATTTATGGCCAGTTACTGTATGTAGCTCAGAGGCAAAAACTACAAGGAGACACACATTTGCTATAACTGCTTTATCCATAATAAATTTAAAATTGGCAATGATGACTTCAGTACCTTGGAATGCATTACCAGGATACACTGGTGAATTCAGTTTTCTAACTCCTGTTAGACTGACCATAGCGCAGTTAAAACCAGAAGGGCATGAATACAGTAATGTCCCCAGTACCTCAAGGTAACAATTACAGATCATTTCTGGTTGGTACCTATTCCTGCTGCTTATTACATGATGCAGTTGAAAAACTTTCACTTTCAGGTAATCTGGGTGGACATGGAATGATGAAAACATGAACATGCTAATAAACAGAACTGAATTCCTCTTTCAAGTTTCCTGCATTAAACTCAGAAAAGGGTAGATCCAAAAAGATACGGCAAGGAGGGAAGCAGTAAATCAAAGCAGTGCTATTGTCAATATGGCTGATGACAATACACATGATAGGATAGCAAGTAAGACTGCTTTTACTTTTGTGCTGTTGCAATAACAAAATGAAAAAGGAATCATCTATTTCTTCCTCAATACAACATTATTTGAAAGGGATGTAGGTATCCATTCATAACATGTTCTTATTTAGGCAAGATCAAGCAAAACCTAGAGTAACATCCCTTATGGTCAGCAGGAACTGTACTAGCTGTAATATCAAACGAAACCACTAAATCAGAATCTAATATTTGTTTTAATTTACCTTTTATTACCTTTACAATATCTAACATTCCTAACTTTCTGTTACACTAAACCTCTCTCAAACAATCTAACACCCAAATGGTTACCACTAACTGACAATCTCAAGGCGTGCTGCCTTATCAACATATCGAAACGAACTAACTACAATTCAACTTCGAACCCCACACGTCGTTGAGAAAACGCATGCTTTTTGCATGCTCGAGCTTCCCGCGAAGTAAGTTGCTGTCTGGTGTGTTTTCGTGGACTGTTCATACGTACACAAACTGTAACCTGTCTGGTTAGTAGTAGTGAATAAATCAGTACAATGAATGAACAATACATTTGTGTGGACAATCTTTTTGTCCACATTAGCTTTCTAAATGTTTCCCAACATTTCACTGAAGCATACAACGACAGATGAGTATGTAGGAACACACTATTACCGGTGCTTACAATACTGTTTCTATAGTGGCACAAATATTGCAAGAGTATTGTAAAGGAGGTGTTCTAACTATTTGTTAATACTGAGAAAGTGAAAAGGATTCAGACCACCCCGGCATTTGTGAAATATAATTGATCTGTTCTTAAATTTCACAACCATGAGGAAAAATGGCACCAGAAATGTACAGTAACAAACAAAAACATGGAACTAAACTGAAAAAGAAAATATTCATTTCTGAAATGACTTCTCAGAGAAGCCTCAAGTTATTTATATATGTGCAAAGGCATATATATGTTCATTCATTTTCCTGCATTCTGGCGAGCGGAAGGTCGCAGGTTCAATCCCCGACCGAATCATACCAAAAGACGTTAAAATATGGTACTTGTTGGTCCTTGCCTGGCGCTCGGCATTAATGGGTACAACAAGGACTGGTCGGCTCGGAGTCAGTATAATGTGTCTGAGTGGGGTATTCATGCTTCAATGCGGCATGGTATCTCAGTGGGCTAGCACTATAAAACCAGCTTCAGTCTGGGCTAGTACAAGCAGCCGCACATACACATACACACGCACATTGTCATATGAGCGAAATCTTCTCAAGCACGACATTAAACCCAATTTCACCTCACCTCACCTCCTGCATTCTGGTGTCCTAGTTTTATTGAGATATCTAAAAATGTCAAAAACTGAAATCTACACATGGGCTTGTAACGCTAAGAACTGCCATCAAGGTATGTACTGTCACTAATGGGGTATTAGCACTATATAAAGGGATCAATTGACATAGTGCTAAGACGCCGTCAGTGACAGTACATACCTTGATGACAGGTTTTAGTGTTACAAACCCCTGTGGAAATCTAGACATAGTGTATGTTCCTGGGTAGGTCAACTTCACACATTAAATATAGGAATGTGAACATGGGAAAAACATGTACTCACTCCGTGGACAGAATGTTCCTTACAGCAGAAGACCAGGTTCTACTCTCTGGTGTCTTGCCCATGTTGTCACGTGCAGATGGATCTGCACCACACTCCAGGAGTAATCTCACCACTGCCTCAATCCCACTCTCACATGCGTCATGAAGAGGTGTAGACCCATTATTATCAGTCACTGATACATCAGCATTCTTGTCCAGTAGTAATCTCACCACTGCCTCACTCCCACTCTCACATGCTTTATAAAGAGGTGTAGACCCATCATCATCAGTCACTGATACATCAGCATTCTTGTCCAGTAGTAATCTCACCACTGCCTCACTCCCTCTCTCACATGCTTCATGAAGAGGTGTAGACCCATCATCATCAGTCACTGATACATCAGCATTCTTGTCCAGTAGTAATCTCACCACTGCCTCACTCCCTCTCTCACATGCTTTATGAAGAGGTGTAGACCCATTATTATCAGTCACTGATACATCAGCATTCTTGTCCAGTAGTAATCTCACCACTGCCTCACTCCCACTCTCACATGCTTCATGAAGAGGTGTAGACTCATACATGTCAGTCACTGATACATCAGCATTCTTGTCCAGTAGTAATCTCACCACTGCCTCACTCCCACTCTCACATGCTTTATAAAGAGGTGTAGACCCATCATCATCAGTCACTGATACATCAGCATTCTTGTCCAGTAGTAATCTCACCACTGCCTCACTCCCTCTCTCACATGCTTTATGAAGAGGTGTAGACCCATTATTATCAGTCACTGATACATCAGCATTCTTGTCCAGTAGTAATCTCACCACTGCCTCACTCCCACTCTCACATGCTTTATAAAGAGGTGTAGACCCATCATCATCAGTCACTGATACATCAGCATTCTTGTCCAGTAGTAATCTCACCACTGCCTCACTCCCTCTCTCACATGCTTTATAAAGAGGTGTAGACCCATTATTATCAGTCACTGATACATCAGCATTCTTGTCCAGTAGTAATCTCACCACTGCCTCACTCCCACTCTCACATGCGTCATGAAGAGGTGTAGACCCCAACCTGTCAGTCACTGATACATCAGCATTCTTGTCCAGTAGTAATCTCACCACTGCCTCAATCCCACTCTCACATGCTTCATGAAGAGGTGTAGACTCATACATGTCAGTCACTGATACATCAGCATTCGTGTCCAGTAGTAATCTCACCACTGCCTCACTCCCACTCTCACATGCTTTATAAAGAGGTGTAGACCCATCATCATCAGTCACTGATACAATAGCATTCTTGTCCAGTAGTAATCTCACCACTGCCTCACTCCCTCTCTCACATGCTTCATGAAGAGGTGTAGACCCATCAACATCAGTCACTGATACATCAGCATTCTTGTCCAGTAGTAATCTCACCACTGCCTCACTCCCACTCTCACATGCTTTATGAAGAGGTGTAGACCCATTATTATCAGTCACTGATACATCAGCATTCTTGTCCAGTAGTAATCTCACCACTGCCTCACTCCCACTCTCACATGCGCCATGAAGAGGTGTAGACCCCAACCTGTCAGTCACTGATACATCAGCATTCTTGTCCAGTAGTAATCTCACCACTGCCTCACTCCCTCTCTCACATGCTTTATAAAGAGGTGTAGACCCATTATTATCAGTCACTGATACATCAGCATTCTTGTCCAGTAGTAATCTCACCACTGCCTCACTCCCACTCTCACATGCTTTATGAAGAGGTGTATACCCCCACAGTTTGTTAGTCACTGATACATCAGCATTCTTGTCCAGTAGTAATCTCACCACTGCCTCACTCCCTCTCCCACATGCTTTATAAAGAGGTGTAGACCCATTATTATCAGTCACTGATACATCAGCATTCTTGTCCAGTAGTAATCTCACCACTGCCTCACTCCCACTCTCACATGCTTTATAAAGAGGTGTAGACCCATTATTATCAGTCACTGATACATCAGCATTCTTGTCCAGTAGTAATCTCACCACTGCCTCACTCCCTCTCTCACATGCTTTATAAAGAGGTGTAGACCCATTATTATCAGTCACTGATACATCAGCATTCTTGTCCAGTAGTAATCTCACCACTGCCTCACTCCCTCTCTCACATGCTTTATAAAGAGGTGTAGACCCATTATTATCAGTCACTGATACATCAGCATTCTTGTCCAGTAGTAATCTCACCACTGCCTCACTCCCACTCTCACATGCTTCATGAAGAGGTGTATACCCCCACAGTTTGTTAGTCACCGATACATCAGCATTCTTGTCCAGTAGTAATCTCACCACTGCCTCACTCCCTCTCCCACATGCTTTATGAAGAGGTGTATACCCCCACAGTTTGTTAGTCACTGATACATCAGCATTCTTGTCCAGTAGTAATCTCACCACTGCCTCACTCCCTCTCTCACATGCTTTATAAAGAGGTGTAGACCCATTATTATCAGTCACTGATACATCAGCATTCTTGTCCAGTAGTAATCTCACCACTGCCTCATTCCCTCTCTCACATGCTTCATGAAGAGGTGTAGACCCATTATTATCAGTCACTGATACATCAGCATTCTTGTCCAGTAGTAATCTCACCACTGCCTCACTCCCTCTCTCACATGCTTTATAAAGAGGTGTAGACCCATTATTATCAGTCACTGATACATCAGCATTCTTGTCCAGTAGTAATCTCACCACTGCCTCACTCCCTCTCTCACATGCTTTATAAAGAGGTGTAGACCCATTATTATCAGTCACTGATACATCAGCATTCTTGTCCAGTAGTAATCTCACCACTGCCTCACTCCCACTCTCACATGCGTCATGAAGAGGTGTAGACCCCAACCTGTCAGTCACTGATACATCAGCATTCTTGTCCAGTAGTAATCTCACCACTGCCTCACTCCCTCTCTCACATGCTTTATAAAGAGGTGTAGACCCATTATTATCAGTCACTGATACATCAGCATTCTTGTCCAGTAGTAATCTCACCACTGCCTCACTCCCTCTCTCACATGCTTTATGAAGAGGTGTAGACCCATTATTATCAGTCACTGATACATCAGCATTCTTGTCCAGTAGTAATCTCACCACTGCCTCACTCCCCCTCTCACATGCTTCATGAAGAGGTGTAGACCAATCATAATCAGTCATTGATACATCAGCATTCTTGTCCAGTAGTAATCTCACCACTGCCTCACTCCCCCTCTCACATGCTTCATGAAGAGGTGTAGACCCATCATCATCAGTCACTGATACATCAGCATTCTTGTCCAGTAGTAATCTCACCACTGCCTCACTCCCACTCTCACATGCTTTATGAAGAGGTGTATACCCCCACAGTTTGTTAGTCACCGATACATCAGCATTCTTGTCCAGTAGTAATCTCACCACTGCCTCACTCCCTCTCTCACATGCTTTATAAAGAGGTGTAGACCCATTATTATCAGTCACTGATACATCAGCATTCTTGTCCAGTAGTAATCTCACCACTGCCTCACTCCCACTCTCACATGCGTCATGAAGAGGTGTAGACCCATGATCATCAGTCACTGATACATCAGCATTCTTGTCCAGTAGTAATCTCACCACTGCCTCACTCCCTCTCTCACATGCGTCATGAAGAGGTGTAGACCCATTATTATCAGTCACTGATACATCAGCATTCTTGTCCAGTAGTAATCTCACCACTGCCTCACTCCCACATGCTTTATGAAGAGGTGTAGACCCCAACCTGTCAGTCACTGATACATCAGCATTCTTGTCCAGTAGTAATCTCACCACTGCCTCACTCCCACTCTCACATGCTTTATGAAGAGGTGTATACCCATTATTATCAGTCACTGATACATCAGCATTCTTGTCCAGTAGTAATCTCACCACTGCCTCACTCCCACTCTCACATGCTTTATGAAGAGGTGTAGACCCCCACAGTTTGTTAGTCACTGATACATCAGCATTCTTGTCCAGTAGTAATCTCACCACTGCCTCACTCCCACTCTCACATGCTTTATAAAGAGGTGTATACCCCCACAGTTTGTTAGTCACTGATACATTAACATTCTTGTCCAGTAGTAATCTCACCACTGCCTCACTCCCCCTCTCACATGCTTCTTGAAGAGGTGTAGACCCATGATCATCAGTCACTGATACATCAGCATTCTTGTCCAGTAGTAATCTCACCACTGCCTCACTCCCTCTCTCACATGCTTTATGAAGAGGTGTATACCCCCACAGTTTGTTAGTCACTGATACATCAGCATTCTTGTCCAGTAGTAATCTCACCACTGCCTCACTCCCTCTCCCACATGCTTTATGAAGAGGTGTAGACCCATCATCATCAGTCACTGATACATCAGCATTCTTGTCCAGTAGTAATCTCACCACTGCCTCACTCCCTCTCTCACATGCTTTATGAAGACCGTGGAATGTAGTCACTTGTCCATTCACATTCTCATCACATACCAGCTGTTCCAGTATCCCAACATTCCCGGACTGACAGCATACCAGGGCTACCTTGACTTTCTCTTCCATTGTACAGTCCTGTAGAGAGAGGCCTTTTGCACAGAAACTGTCATAGAGGAATCTTTCTCGGGATGAGCACAGGCAGGACAGAAAAGACCCTCCAACAACAGAGTCGGTGGAGCTGTATAGAACATGTCTGTCATCTGGTGTCAGACCTTTCACACCTGCAGCAAGATGCTGGACAAACTCGGGATCATTACATGCTGGGTGACTGAACACACAGGCGTATCTCTGGTCGACCACTGCTGCAGCAAATCTCCCAGCGAGCAGCTGATAGTGACATGGACTAATCAACACATGCAGCTTATTGACAGAGTCAGGTTGCTGAACAAAGACATAGTGATAGATGAACTGCAATGGTAATGTTTTGATAATGTGTTCTGTTCGTTCACAGAGTATGGCATTTAATGCCTGAAACAGTCCCTGCTTACACTGGACATACAGACAACACATAAGTACTTTACATTGTAATATGTCCCTGCAGTGACTGATGTCATTGTAACAGTAAGCCATTGAGAGGTCCTCCACTCCACTTATCTGTAGTGCCCAGTCCCACTGGATCCATCTCCTCCTGTCTCCCTTTTCATACTGTCTCCTCTTAGGAAAGTTCCAGAGCTGGGCCTCCATCTTCCCACCTTGCATGGCCAGCAGCAGGAGAGCAGCAAATAAAACCTTGTTGTTGCTGTAGAGGTGGCGACAGGTGGCCAGCAGCGGGATGGATGCTGTTGATGCTGCTGCTAAAAAAAACATAGGCAGTGTGTCATACAACTCTCTCTGTTCTTCAAAAGACAGGACATCCCAACTATGAAAAGTAAGTGAGTATGGTTTTACGCTGCTTTTAGCAATATTGCTGCGGAGATATCAGAAATGGGTTTCACACCCCATCTATGAAAAGACTAACATGCATGTAGCTGACTCACCTCAGCTTCACTACCCTGAATATGTCATTACCAAAACACTTGCAGACATATATGTACAATCTTATTTCAAACCAACAACATAGCTGTGCATGTTTAAGTGGAGCTCTCATAGATTGTATGCAGGATTAAGCTAATATCGGCTTCCACCTGTGCTGACCAAGAATACCATTTCTTCAAACTATTGTGACCAAGTCAATTTGACAATTTTGTGATGTACAAGTCCTCCATTTACCACAAGCTTCCTATTTCTTTGATTCTGTCTTGTTTGTGAGAAACAATATACAGACTTTGATGTTTCACTATTGCTGATTTTCAACATTGCGAGATGCAATATGAGATGTTGATCTAAATGTTCCACCCCTCCAGATAGTGTAGTGCCTTTAATGGAAAAACAGAAATTGTACTTACCTGCAGTTTGGCATGTTAAATTTTCAGGAATACCGGGCAAAACACAGAATGTAGAATCATGCAATGAATGCACATAGCACACCATCTACATCATGACACTGTCCTGAACATTCACTGATAGATATTTCTCATCACAGGAGGGACCAAATACTAGACTTTCTGTATGCAACCTTAGAGAGCTCTGACAAGTCATGCACAGTGGTGGAGCAATGCTTCTTCTGCAATATTGTACTCTGGACTTAATCTATTACATTCATTCTGGACACACAGGCACCACAGTGAACCATGAATGCAGCATTCCAGTTACTGGTGATATGTCACACCTTGGGTAAAACTGTGCATCTTTGTCTACCATGAATGCATCAGAGATGCCAACACAAAAGTGTTGTAAATAGTAGTTTCAAGGATCAAAATTAGTAGTTGACCATAAAATTACTAGTCAACTAAATACTTAAACTCATGATGGATTCTGAGAAAGATAATATGGCACAAATCAAGAGTGAAGCTTTAATTTCACAAATTATCAGCATTACATTTCTTCTTGTCTCTTTTTGCTGAAAATACATTTAATCGACGAATATATGTTTTTGTCTATATATCCGAATTTTAATTAACTTTCTTAAATTTCTAGTGCAATTGTATTGGAGCAGTTTGAGGGTAAAATTCATAGCGACTGCAATGCAATCTAGAGGTGAACATATCTGAATACATGCGCTGACTATATGTGATGCAACATCTACATCGCACATGACTGGCATGAAAACAGACTTCAACAAATATGTAAGCATATCAGGTTTTGAATGAATTATATATATTTGGCCTGTCTGTCTGCTGGTGATGCCTACCTAAGGAGATGGCAATACCATGTTTGGTGTCACAGACATGCTAGTCTGTCGTATTTACTGTAACCAACTTGCTCAGATGGAGACAAAATGAAAAAAAAGACCTGGTTCCTATTATGTTCTTATGAGATATTGCTACACAAGAAAGGAGAGATTTTATGTATAAGGCCTAAGATGAAGTTACCAAAATTGACTGTACTTCAAAGACCCTGTAGACCACTTAACGAGATAAATTTTGTGCCCACTAGAAGAATAAAGCATACGGTATAAGGGATTAGAATCTTTATACCTTATTTACAATACAGCATCTGATCTTCAGGGATATATCACTATCTGTATTGTCTGGTTGTATACTGACCCACAATGAAAACGCATAAGGGTCTTTGTTTTAGATCACTTTTGAAACATGTGTGAGAAGAACTAATGATGCACTGAATATTTGAAATGAATGTTCAAGACTTCATTAGGAACAGTTGTTGGAGTTCAAATCCACTTCATGCTTTCGGAAACAGAAACATTCATGAAAACACATTTTTGATCATTCGCTGAAAGACAGCAAGGCAATCCTGACAATGAAAATACATGTGCACTTCGTGAAGTCTTTCCCATATAATTCATGTGTATAGAGAGCTCGGTAGCCAGTCTTAAACATGCCGCGACTGAATCTGCAGCAACGTGCACACGCTCTGGGACTCCTTGAAGCCGGTACTTCACAAAATGTTGTTGCTAGGCACCTTAATGTCAACCAGTCCACCATTAGCCGTCTTGTCAATCGTCACCAGATGGCAGGGAGCGTTGCCGACTGCCCTCGACCAGGACGACTTCATGTTACAACAGCGAGACAAGATCGACAGAGGCGACTGGTGCACCTTTAAGATTGCTTCAGAACACCAACAACAACAGCAGCAGCAGCAACGACTGGTATCCATGGAAGAAGAATCCACCCATTGACAGTCATTTGACGCCTGAGACAGGCCAGACTGAACTGTCGACTACCGTGGCCCAGTGCTTCAGCCCCGTCACTGCCAAGCCCGACATCAATTCGCACAGCAGTATGCGCAACAACTACCACTTTTCTTTCGTGGGCTTGTCTTTTCAAACGAGTCGCAGTATTGTGTGTCATTAATGGATTGAAGGTAGCGTGTTTACAGATGTCGTGGGGAACATTATGTGTCAGAGAAATCGATTTGTGGTGGTAGTGTAATGGTTTGGGGGACCATCAATGCACGTTTCAGGAGTGATCTGCTTGTCATCCAAGGTAATCTGACTGCACAGCGTTATGTGGATGAAGTCCTGAGGCCCATAGTAGTTCATTGGCTGCGCCGTCACCAATGCCCTCAACGTCCACTAACATTCCAACATGACAACGCCCGTCCTCATGCCACCAGGGTGACAAGCATTCATTCAGCAAGCTGGAATTAATGTGATGAACTGGCCAGCGTATTCACCAGATCTCAACCCTACTGATCATTTGTGGGATGTACAGGGGAGATGTGTTTATTGACGTCAGCCACCACCAGCCAATGTCACAGATCTCACACTGGCCTTGCAGCAAGAATGGAGGAACATTCCCATGGCCTTCATTGCTCGCCTCTGTGACTCATTGCCCCATCGTCTCAATGCCTGCATCAGGGCGGATGGAGGACACACAAGATACTGACAGTGTTTAAAGGGGTGACCTTGTTCGACCTATCTGCACCACTCCCATTTGCTGAAATCCAACTTATCTAAAACCATAATCATTGCTTATTATCCATGTCATAAACTGAAAATGATTTTGCATCTAAACCTTTGTTTGTTGTCACTTTATTCCACATCAAAATCAGTTATGCGTTTTCATTGAGGGTCAGTGTAGATACTTGCTGCACCAGTATAAGAGTCCACATTGGGGCGGTCCTTGGACACCAGATACAGATAAAGTCCATCTCTGATCTCAAAAAGCATCCTTCCATGATCAGTTACTTAAAGAGCAATGGTCTTGCTACTGCTCAGATTTCAATTGGGTTGTAGGCAACTGGTGGGGGTAGACCAGCAAAGGTGTACGCTTGAAGGATGATTATCTCATATGTGAGATTTCCAGTGTAGAGGCTGTCGAAAGCAGGATAAACAGGCACTTAGAAAAGTTGCAGATCTCCAAAGCTTTAACAGGGCAGAGTGACAGATCTTCTTTATCATCAAGCCCAAGAATGGTGGATAATAGTGGAATAGTGAAGAGTCTATCAATTCCAGTAATTGGTTCTCAGCTATAAAGTACCAACAGATACCAAGGAAAACCATGCCATGTTCCTTCTTCTCATATCAAACTCAGTCCACATCCAGTGCATGGAGTTCCGATATATGGGCACCAATAGTATGACCTACTGCATTTGTCTTGGGGGTGATGTGTTCAGGGTCCTTGTCTTGAAGAGATTGATGGTTGACTGAGGTGAGGTGCCTCAGAACTATCGACAGGTCCGTAGACAGTGAATGGAATGATCTGTCAACTTTTTAGGAGTGCAACAAGGAGTTCAGGCACATTAGAAATCTTCATACCCGTCACTGTCATCACTACAATGATCATGGCGGCAAGGCATGTGGACAATGTCAATCCCAGAGTTTCCTCGAACCACAAAGGTGAAGCTGAAAAATGATCTGTGCTGAAGCCATCGAGACAATGAAATAATCTTCAAAATTATTCCACTTGAAAGCCAGCAGTGTGGTGCTCCAAAGCAATCACTGGAGCAACTATTCATGAATATCCTTTAGCAATCAACTATCTCTGTAGAAAGATATTGATGAAACCCCTGGAGCGACCAATGAAGACGATCAGAGTGAAGGTTGATCAACATAATTTGTGTAATTTTGTGCTGGCATTCCATGGACACAAACCGGGGGATAGCTGAGCGTTGAAACTGGTCACATATGGTTCCACCTGATTGGTGATCAGGAAGCAGACAGACCTGAAGATCTCTGGACTATTGGTATCACTAAACTTGGGGACAAGGCTAGAGAATAGAATGATGTGGGGATCCCAGGAATGTCATCACTGACATGAGGGTGAGTGAGTTTAGTTTTATGCCGCTTTTAACAATATTCCAGTAATATCACGGCAGGGGACACCAGAAATGGGCTTCACACATTATGGGGAATTGACTGACTGACTGAGTTTGGTTTTACGCCGCTTTTAGCAACATTCCAGCAACATCACGGCAGGGGACACCAGAAATGGGCTTCACACATTGTGCCCATGTGGGGATTCGAACCCGGGTCTTCAGCGTGTATGGGGAATTGAAACCAGGTTTTCAGCTTTAACCACTAGGCTACCCCACCACGTGTACCCCACTGCTCACCTAAATGCACCATCAATATTAACAAAAGGGACATTTAAAAGCTTATATTGATGAAGACTTGGACAAACTTGGACAGTGTTTACCATATTGATGGACATTAGTAGTATAGGGAATGGGGGTTTTGGATCAAGTCCAACAAAAGCCTCTGCAAAGCCTTATTTCACAAATAAGGCTTTGGTCAGACCCTTGATCCAGCTACCATTACCCCTACTGCTTTTGAGTCCCCCCGGCACTCAAAAGTTTGAGACGCCAGACGCCCAATGTGCCGCACCACTTAACTACCGGGGACATGGCTGAAGTATGCCAGTTTAACGGGTCTATCCTGGGGCACTATGCCACGTTGACCTCGATGAAACAGTTTAACGTGAATCGCCTATAATCTCCTTGGTGTTTGTAATAAAGGCTTGCTGAGCTTTTTTCACCCCTTGTTCTATGTACTTTTTTTTCTCGTCTTCGCTGATATCAGACTTACGAGACTTGGATCGAATCTCGTTTCATTTTGTTATATTTTTCGAGTTCAGAGAGGATTTTACGAAACTCCTCCTCCGAGATCTTGTTGTCAGTGAGTGACGTGGAAATACGCTCACTTACCGTGTTAAACTTTGCTTCGGCCAGAACCCTGATCTCGTCGTGTTTCAATGCCTTACGATGCAGTCTACGTGATGCAAACTTAAGCACCAACCCTAACACCCCTACCACCCCAGCTGTTATTTCGATGCCTAGCACTACGGGGGTAGCCACGATGGTGGCTAACAACCAAACACCTGTCGCCCCCAGCCCCATGCTGGTTGTCATAAGGGCAGTATCAGCCCCGTCCACGATACTGAAAGCTCTATGGTACTTCTTACATAGTGCTTTATGCGTGTCGCTGTCTTGTTCTAGTTGACGTTTTACATCACATAACCGTCTCAAACGGAACCCGTCTACAGTTTCCAGGGTCTTCGCTACTTCCTCTACGACTGGGTATAGACCCATTCTGTGTGACTATAATATATCTGATAAAATATTTTTTAATTGGGTATCAGTTAATAGCCGATCAACGTACTTGAAGTTTATAAGGCCCACGTTCTCGGGTAGGTGAATAGAGGAAAGGTCAATAGGTAAAGATGGGGAACTTCTAAATACACTGGAGCTTGTTAAGGGGGGCAGCAACCCCTCACCGGGCCCCGAGTCCGTCGTATAACGACACTACAATGGTGGTCTCTATAGACATCAGCATGTGGTCTTATTTGCACCCCAGATAAAAAGTACCATGGGTCCACATGGACGTTTTTTAAAAAGAGTATTATGATTAATGTGGAGCCCGGAGGCATAAACCTAGGAAATGGTGATAGGTCAGAGTATATCTTAAATGATAACCGTGCATTCCCGGTTGTATCTAGCATGTAACCCGGGTGATCTGGGATTTGGGAAATTCTCATATTTTGAAGGCCGTATCATGGAATAATAATTCATACAAAATTCATTATTCATTATTACCACTACAAGCAATATATTAGGATTCAGATATTAGAAAAATATAAATATAGAATATTAGTAATAGCTTAGAGAAAGACTCCAGTCAAAAGTTGTAAAACTCATCTCACAGACATATTATTGAAAAAGTCATAAATTATGGCTACACAATTTCACAGATATTCAAGATAAAATCATAGCCTAAGGTATTGAGGACTCAAGCTGTTAAGCAATCCTTTCAGTAATTCAGAGTTATGACCAGACGATCAAATGCATCTATTGTAATCCAAGCACCTGTAATTGACACATCAGATTAGGCTCGTTAAGATCTAGCCCAGGGTAAGCATCCAAGCATCCAGTAAAAGTGCCATCTAGATTAGTGCCAGTTAAAATAGGATTAACAGGATTAAGAGTAATTGCCCTGTCTGGTCATTGAAGGACACACCCCATTTTGTATATTCTGTATTTGATAGGCTGATGTAGGTTACATCCATTTTTGTATCAGTCAACCAATCATAATCTCTTTATTGTTTTAAATGTAGATAAAATGTCTCTTACTACATTTGTCCAGCAGTAGGGTTTAGACTCCCAACACAGGTCAGCTCTAGCCCTCAGCCCAGAGGGTTGTACCGACTCTGTGGCCACCCCTTGTTACTCCGTTCTTGCAGAGACCATATAATAGAGGGACGGCCCTCTAGCCAGTGCGCAAAACCATCAGCGCTACGGCTTGTACGGCGCAGCCTATCCGGAAGCTGGCGAAAACGAGTGTTGACTTCAGTCATCGATTTCGCGTATTTTCGTTGCAAAGGTGAGATTTGATTTTTTTCATGTATTCTCATGCATATACTTACATTTGCAACAGTGCATTAGAGGTGTATTAGGGGTGCTAGAGCATTATTTGTCTTTGTATTTGATGAATACTGTCATGTGTGCTCGTCGTTCTGTGAGAACAATGGCGGAAGTGTAAAATCGGCAAAAGTCCCGATTTTGATTTTAAATAACGGATGCTAATTCTGAATGCAAATCCTTAGTTACCGGGGTGTAATGAAAGAAAATAAGATAAAGATTTGTATAGGGGCATTTATAAGTCTGTGGCGTTCGCGTCATTCCTTATTTTGGCTCGTGCAATGCGATGAAATATGATGTTTTCCGAAATATTTTACTCCACAACACTTGATTTTCGCACGCTTTCACAAGAACAGCTTATTACAAGCATGTTTAAAATAAAGACGTGAACATTCACGGCGATTTCCTCTTTTGCGTGGTACACTTTTTATATGGCTACGATCGGTATTTTATTTTTATGATTTTGGCGTAAACCCATATTTGCGTCGTATACTGAACATTTCAGTTATCATGTAGCGAGACGACATAACATTCATTTTGTTCATTAATATAACGTGAATATATATTTAAATCATTCTACAAAGTCTCATTCACCTGATCGTTTGAAAAAGTACATATTTCCATTATTGTTCATTTTGATGATTATATTTGTGGAAAAGGTCCATATTTATCATGTAACAATTCATATATTTTTCTGTTATCATTATTCTTCCTACTGAAGTTAGAGTTATATTGCTATATATTATTATATTATTATACAGTACCAGCAGCCTGACTTTATGCAACAATGAATCAACATTTTATTTATATCATTACACTATTTATATAATAAATTATCATTTGTTTGGCAGATGCCCAGGAAAAAAAAGTTTTCATCGGCAGTCGCCGGAAGGGCTACTCAAAGTGGGGTCCGAGACAACAAGGTGTCAGTTCTTCCTCTCTCTGACATTCTTATTCATCAGTTCAATCAACTGTTCTCGACGATTGCAGGTAAGTAATAATGGAAGTAAGAAATTCACAAATGATGTCTTTGAAAAAAAATGAGTAAATTTGTGTTGATATTTTGTAGTTATTGGTACTTGTATATCTGGTACCTGCAGAAATAAGTTTAAAATATCAAAGCAATTGTATAATCAAATATTAAAATTTTCTTTTCTTATGTAAAAACAACGGTATAGTGTAAATTATTAAATACAATATTCCCATCTTGAGTAAGTAACTAGACCTTGTTTGAAAGAGCATTGGCAACCAACTATTGCATAATTTTAACAACTATTTAGAACACTTCAAATATATTTTTTTAATATTAATATTGTGTAACTCCATTTTCAGTTCAAGAGATGCACTGTGGGACAAAGCATGGAAGTCATTCTTCATTGACCTCACCGATGAACCCACAAATACCCCATGCCTGGAAGAAGCGACATATTCTGATGGTTGTTCGGCTGATGAATTCTTTGGGTTTATTTGACACAATTCACCAGTATCATCCGGACAACAATGTAGATGAATTTGTTGATGACATCCTGCGATACCAGCAATATTTAACATTAAAAAAGGAGCTCATGTAGATGAGCTAGGCAATTTTACAATTTCAAGAAACAAGCGTGAAAACATTACTATTGTGCAGTTTTATGACTGAGGTAGGCTCAGTCCAGCTTTCAGTAGTCATCAAGCCATCCTTTACATATGCAATACTAGTATATGCACATCGACGTGACTTTGGCCCAAATCATGAATTCTGGATTGGTTTAACTGCATTTTTCCCCAAATGTAATAAAGTACATGAGTAGAAATTATGGAAATTAAAATCCAATGTACAGTTCACTTCATGGATATCTAAAATATCTGTTAATGAAGTCATATTAAGATTGTGTTCAGATTTGTATGATTTTATGTTTTATGTTTTACATTCACAATCAGTCCTAAATGAACAACATAACTATGCAGGTTGTGTTGCAAGAAGTTTATAAGTTATCATCTTCCCTTATTTTATCATGACTACAATAAATATATTTTTCTGTTATCATTATTCTTCCTAAAGAAGTTTGATTATGAGTTTACCCGGGCTTAGACAGTAACTACAGCCTGTCTTATGCAACAACAAAAATGAAAAATGAACTCATTATTCAACATTACATTTATATCATAAAATTATCATTTGTTTTGTAGATGCCCAGGAAAAAGAAAGTTTTCATCGGAAGGGCTACTCAAAGAGCCTACTATTAAGTACAATATTCCCATCTTGATTAAGTAGATATACCTTGTTTGAAAGAGCATTGGCAACCAACTATTGCATAATTTTAATTTCAAATTCAGTTTAGAGTTTATTTGCAACAGTTGAAATTCACATTTACTGTGTTTTTAATGAAAGAATATCTAAATGGTTGAATTTAGTAATACATGATTGTACATATAGATCTATGGTCCTATTCTACAATAAATACATTGTACATATAAGAACGTGTGATGTTGTGTTTTAATGATATTGGTTGCATTTTCCTGCCAAGTTAAAGTTGACACTTTGCTGAAATTTATTAATTGATAGGGTAATGTAGTACAGCCCATTTAACACATATATTTCATGGGCTCGGAGGCAAGTGACTTTAGTATTTAGTGGCTTCCCTTTGAAAAAAAACAACAAGTGTCTCCATACGGCCCAAAGCAGAATCACTGCTAGCCCCAAACTGGCATTATAAACACATTAACGCTCTTGGAAAATGTGAAATCGCGTGTTTCGTTGGGACTATAAACTTTATAATAAACACCAGTCAGTCACAGCCCCTGTCTTTCTTCCGAGGATTCATGATTTTAATAATATTGTTTTTGAGATGACACCCCGACTCAAATGCTTCACAGTACAATACATAATGACAAGGTCGACACTTCTAGGGTGCACCCTACCCGACTGGCGTTGCTCGATCGCCACGCTTACCATCGCGATGCAATCGATTAAAACTTTATGTAAACATAATCATGGATGATTGGCCTATCGAGCAACACTCATGACACCTACCAATTCTTTATTGTTATTTCTGCAAGTCGATTGAAAACCAATTTTGACTCTCAACTAAACGATCTTGACACAAATGGATGACGATATGTCCGCATACACAAAAGGGTGTGGTCGAAGCAAGTCCTCTGATTGGCTAACGCTTGCAAATCTGCACATTCTTTATATATTCAAGGGAATTTTTACTTTCATCGACTGCTTGACCACACCTCGTTTTGTGCCAACGAATACTTGCAAGTAAATCTTGGGATTAGCCATGTGATGATACGTTTTAGCGCAGCATCGATATTGGCAACTGTAATGTTAAAACTGCCTTTTACCTGACTGGGTTAGTTTGATTTTTGTATTTTGGTTTATATTCTCTGTCCTGTATGGTAGTCTGTGAATTCTCCAAGTAAGTATCGAGGTCCAAGTCGAATCATCCCAGTGAATGAATTAAGTCGTCCATGGCCATGCCGAATGTTGAAACAAATATTCCAGGCTTATGGCGACCGCATTTCAAGGCTGAATGATACATGTTCTGCGATGTTGTCAGTTGACATGTGCAAATGAGAGAGAAGATAACAATTAAGATTATTGTAATCAGTTTAATGGAGCTGTCCATGTAAAGCTTAACTGTCAAACGCAGCCGGTGAAATCCCGCTAAGGGAATTAACTCTAGGCCCGGATATTACGCAATATTGTTTACGTGGTTACCAGAGTGCTCATTTGCGAATGTCTGCGCATTTGTTGCGCATGTGTACCGGTAGAGGGAGGTTAGCAGCAGGGTGTCGATGTGTATCAGTTACATGCCAGGCCGTAGCGCTGATGGTTAGTGATAAACTGTTGGGGAGGGCCGTCCCTCTATTATATGGTCTCTGGTTCTTGTAAATAAAATTGTGATTAGCTTCTTGTGACGTCGGACTCTTTTGCTGAGTTAATTCCCCCAAGCAGACCAGCACGTCAGTTAGATAAGGCGTTTCACCGGAACCACCACTTGGACCCAAGACCCTTATCATAATAGTTGGCGGAGAATCAACGATTTTCGGATCCTCTGAGCCCAGGAACTAACTACAACCAGCTACAAGAACACATGGAATAACAAGCGACTGCATCCACGTCTGATCTCAACACTGGATTAAGGACCACCAACTCCTGTAAAGACACCAACAAAGGAATAAAAAGTCTTCAAAAATTGTAAGTACTACTTTACATTGTTGATTTCTTGTCTTTCTTCATTATAGTACGGTACATACTATAAGGTGTCATGGCCAATATGGAGTCTGGTATGGAAAGTAACTGTGGAAGTGAAACTGTGTCCTTAGTTACCCCCCTTGCCAAAAGTGTAATTCAGGTAACATTTGGCACTGAAACAACAACTTGTTTAATAGATACAGGGGCATCCATTTGCTGCATTTCATCTGCTTTTCTAAACAAAGCTTTCAACAACCCTGTACTTGGAAACTCACCCTTTCCACAAATTCAAGGTGTTGGCGGCGAATTGCACAAGGTGTTGGGTTCAGTTGTGTTAGATTTTGTCATTGAAGATCAAGAATTTTCACAAAAATTCTATGTCCTGCCCTCATTACCTAAGTCAGTCCTATTAGGTGAGAACTTCCTCAATGACAACGATGCAGTCTTAGATTATAGCTGCCATTCCCTCATAATAGGCAACAGCACCTCAGATAGGCAGTATATCAATTTCATTGCCAATCCAGATCAAGAAATTTGTGGATTAGCAAAATCAATAGATCAGATATATATTCCCCCTCGGAGTGAAATTCATTTCAAGGTAAGACTGCCTGAGGCAAACAATGATTCCCTCATCCTCATTGAACCAACTGCCTCCCTCACTGCTCATTCAGAAGTAGCAGGTGGTAGGACCCTCTCGAAAGTGCATAAGAAAACTGCTACATTTAGGCTTATGAATCCTTCCCAAGAAGAAAAAGTTTTAGATAAGGGTACAGTTGTAGGAAAATTTAGTTACATTGACAGCCACTCTATCTTTGAAATTGACTGTGACCAACCTTTAATAAATTCAGTTAACACTGACATTAGGACAACAGACAATGACACTAGGGATTACGTCAAAATTGCTCAAGACTTAGGATTTGACTTGACCAAGACACAACTGACGTCAGGCCAACAACACAGACTACTCAGGTTTTTAGGACAAAACAGAGACATGTTTTCCACAAGCCTTGCAGATTTAGGGAAAACTGACATGCACGAGCATGTCATTGACACGGGCAACCATCCCCCTGTTAAGTGTAGGCCTTATCGTCAGTCTCCTCATCTCCAAAAAGTCACAGAAGAACTTGAAGATTTTCTCAAATATGATTTAATAGAGGAGTCCACTTCAATGTATTCAGCCCCCATCATCTTAGTTAAAAAACGTAACGGCTCATATAGATTTGTTTGTGACTACAGAAAATTAAATTCTGTCACATTACCCATGTCATGGCCACTCCCTGTTTTTGACGATGTTGTTGATCACATCGGCAATAGCCAAGCTACAATTTTTTCCACGCTAGATCTTGACAATGGCTTCTTCCAAGTGCCATTACACGAAGACTTAAAGCATAAAACTGCTTTTGTCACCCATCAAGGCCTTTATCAATTCAAACATTTGCCACAGGGTTTGTCTAATTCTCCACTTTGTTTTCAGCAACTCATGAGCAAAGTGCTACGAAAATTGCTTTTCAAAGTTGCGTTGATTTACATTGATGATTTGATAATCTACAGCAAAAACTTTGAAGAGCATCTCCAACATTTGGAGCAAGTCTTCTACTAGCTCAAACAGGCAAACTTAACACAAGTCATCAAAATGCAATTTTGCAACAGACAAGGTTTCATTTCTGGGTCATGTTTTATCATGTGGAGGTGTTCAAGTTGATGACAAAAGGTCGAAGCAATTAAAACCTTCCCAATACCCAAATCACAAAAACAGGTTCGTTCATTTTTAGGCCTCACAAACTCTTACAGAAAGTATGTGAAAGATAATGCTAAAATAGCACTGCCATTGAATGCATTGTTAAAAAAGCATTCAGAGGCAGAAACTGGGAAGAAGCCAAAGTTCCAGTGGTCACTTGAGTGTGATCAGGCTTTCAACACACTCAACATGCTATGTGTAACACACCTGTTCTGGCTTATCCAGATTTTGACAAAGAATTTTTTCTCGCAACTGATGCCAGTGATATGAGCATAGGGTTTGTCTTAAGTCAAAGGGCCGAGAAGAATAATGAACATCCTATAGCTTTTGGAGGCAGAGCTCTTCACGGCAGCGAAGAATTGGAGCATCACAGAAAAGAAGGTTTAGCTTTAGTTGAAGCCATTAGATCATTTCGTCCATACCTTGCAAATTCCAAATTCACTGTCTACACAGACCACATAAGCCTTAAAATGGCTCAAATCCATCAAGGATGCCACAGGTAGGTTAGGGCGGTGGTCTTTAGAACTGTCTACCTATATGTTTGATATTGTTCATCGGCTGCAAAACCAACGGGAATGCTGATGCGCTCTCACGCAGGGAATATGAGCAAAATATTAACTGTCAGAGTCAAACAGAAGAAGATGCTGAGAAAACCGTCTTTACAGTAACTTCACTTGAGCAAAGAAGCCATACCAACATTTCAGCAAGCCCGCAATTATCCTCACAGATCACCCAATCAACTCAGACTGAGGATGATTGCATACCAAGTATTAATCACTTAGATAGTGAATCACAGACAACTCATTTGTCTGTCACCTTTGAATATGAAGAGGACTACCAAACAGTACCAGCAAACGTTGTTGCAGCATTACATGCTACAAGTGGAGATGTCACACAAGCCACAATGGTTGAGGTAAATATTAATACACATCCCAACTTACGTCATCTACAAAGAATTTGTCCAG